CTACTGTTTTTTGACCAACCCCAAGGTCTTGTGGTGATTTAATTACCGTCCGAATCCGCATCTCCGAGTTTAACAAGAAGAGATCAATTCAAAATTCATTGTTTAAATCCTTTCGATCACTGCACAGCACCTTACGGGTGATAACTGTACGGGTTGCGCTTCACTGTAATGTACATGGATTTTAAAGATGTACACTTATTTACCTCAGCGAACAAAGAAGAAGAGAAAAAAACACGTAAACATTTGAAATGGCCATTATCTGTGGCAGCAATATATGAACAATTTAAAATATGTAGGCTATTATAACACAACATTAAAAATACAAACCGAGTAGCTTTATTTATTATCTCATGTAAATAAGAGGCTGCAACTTGTTTCCGCTTATTTTCATTTTTTTTAAATAACATCCTTTTGAGATAAAATGCAAGACATGAAAACCACGTACGCGCATCTAGCTTCCTTTCAAAAAGTAAGATTTAAATAACAGAGTTGTCACGGATAGCAAAATTATTGTTTCTACCAGTTAGGGGTGTCCATGGTTAACGATTAACCGTTTAAAATTGCATAACCGAGTGAAACCTTTTTGCTCGGTTAAGTGGTCAATACATATTTGCACAAAACTTTAGCGTTTTTTTTTTTCTGAATATCAATAAAAAAAATTGTGAAATGACAGTGTTTCCATTAACGTGTTATGCGACTAATAAAACATCTTTTTTTTCTTTCGCGATTAGTCATTCCAAAAATAATGCAACGGACGTTGGTAGTCGATCACGAGCCGCACACTAAACATTATTATTATTTATGGAAGGAGACGTGGTGTGTCATCCAAGCATTAATGGCAGGGAAAGAGACAGAGTTCCTGTGTGTTTCTCCCTTATTTCTGCTCCGAGGTCTGATTGTGGCATTTCTTTGAGGTTTTGTCTAGTAGGCTTTCCTTGTATCTTTTATGAATTTTAAAAAAGAACTCTGCCACGTATTATGTCCAAACGGTCTACTTTTGTGTTCATTCGTTTCCCCTTATTTAATCCGTTGGCCTAATTGCAAAATGAAAAATGAACGGTTGTTGTATTTTGTAAAACGCAAAGTTGAACTCCAAAATGTTAATTTGAACTGTAGGCTTGTACGCCAAATGCTGCGCAAAAACATATAGGCTATATATCGACGATTTTGCCCCTTAAACATTTAAAATATTTGACAAATTAATATGAAAAAAAAGATTTTACTGGTTTTCTGAGGCCAAATTAGAACCTGGAAATGATATTTCCCCGCAATGCTGAATGAGAAGAGCCGTAACCACAGCCTACAGAAAGGGGATTTATAAGTGATTTATATAGGCTATAATAAATGTGTCTGATATTGAAATAATATAAAATAACGAGGCATTAATTGTTTATTAATAAACTATTGTTTTTTTAAATCATTTTCGGCTAAAAACAATTCTCCATCTCCGGATGCACATTTAGAGAGAAATTAATTTGCTATAAAATTACATAGTCAGAAAATATTGGCTTTCGATTAGAATTTGTTAGTTTTAAATTGGACATTTAAAGCTTTAGCCTACAAAGGATATAACCCCCTAGACTAAAGCTTTAAATGTCCAATTTAAAACGAACAAATTCGAATGCGGTGGCTGTTTCAGTTCGCGGAGATCATGAAGCGCGCCTGAATGTTAAAGAACAACGTTTTCTTGTTATTGTGAGTTTACGCAAATAAATTTATTTGCGAATAATGTATTATTATTTTCTGTATGACCAGAAATGAAAGAGTATTTTAAGTTGTTTCCACTGAAAGAACTGCAAGTGTTCACATGGGCATCTCGCAGCCATCAACGCGCGCTACACACACACTGGATATGCGTCCAAAAAATTGTGTTTATTTGTGCTTTGTTCCTTTTTTTGGATAAATGCGTCTTCTACATAATATGCAGCCTAATAAAATGTTACAATAATGATGATTATTATTATTATTTGCGGACACAAAGTTTTTGCGAAATGGACGTGTCAGTGTGCTTATTTTCAATTGGTAATTTCAGTTTGAAGGGTGATGGAAACGCGCCTACTTTAACTGCTCTGAACTTACCACTGCATTTTATTTCTATAAATTAATTTCGTTTCAAATGGGGTCCAACCAGTTATTAAAAAGGTGTTAAAAATTAACCCTGTATCTCGAGGTTGCGGCGCGCACATGGTTAACCGAGTATTAACCGATAAGGGCCTCGGTTAACGGTTAATGAAAAACTTGAAAACGTGCAGCTCTAATACCAATACCAAGTCAAGAATTTTTTCTGATAAGGAGAAACACTTTCAAATATCATTGCTGTGGTTTAATTTAAAGCTGCTGTCCGTAACTTTTTTAAGTTAAAAAATAATCCAAAATAATTATTTAAAAAAAAAAAAAACATATTCTGCCAGCGGTCAAAACTATCTGCTTGCCATAGCTAGATTCAAAACGGTTAGCTTGTAATAATGATTTTAATTCCAGTGGTACTGGTGGGTTTCCGCAGGAAATTCGAGCATGTCTTTGCGTTATTACGTCACACCCGTACACAAAAAGGAGGAGTTTCGGCTAGCTGCGTGTGAGGAGATGTAGAGATGTATAGGCTTTTCTCGCAGCACTTTACAAAATTAAACTTATGATCCAAACAATCATCAGTGTCAACTGGAGATTCAGCAGTTATACAACCCAAAAGACTTCATACGTCAGATTTAAGTTGGCTAGAAAAAGAGAAAGAAACCGTCTCATGCGAACAGAATGATTTAGACATCGGCGGGGCTTTTGAAAAGTGTGTGAACAAAAGTGTGTGAAGTGTGCAAATGTATTTTTACAGACGCCCACGTGAGAAACAATTACCTTCTAAATAGGGCTTAAGACAAATTATTCTCGGCAGCCATCTTTGAAACTCCTTTCTCTTTGAATGGGAAAACATCAAATTCTCCAAAGCTGTTCACCAAACTTACGATTAAATTTCATATTTGAAATCACCAATGAAATCTGACAACAATTGTCCCATAAATGTTGTTTCTAAACACTCAAATCATGACAAAAAAATGCATTTTTCCCATTCATAGTAATATAAGTGCACCATCTTTGTTTATCTAAAGTCTATGGTTTAGCTCTTATCCTAAACAGACAACCCAAACAAGCTTATCATGTGCTGTGTCCGAAATCGAATACTTCCCTACTATGTAGTACGTGAAAAACAGTACGGCAACAGGTTGACCTTCTACATTTGACAATGTAAGTCACAACAGTGTAACAACATGCCATGTCAACAGGTACAGTATGTCTGAATTTCATTTGTATTATACTAGGGTTGGGAATCGAAACAATTCTGGAATTGTCAGGAATCGGATACTTGTTATAAAATTTGAATTTCGATTCCTCTTATCGATTCCTTTGTAAGCATTTCAATATAACTAAACCATTCAAGCACCAGACAACTCGCTTGCTGTTTTCAGTGTGCAGGCGTGTGTAACTATCGTGTAGTCAAGTCAAGTATATTTATATAGCACTTTTCACAATATAGATTGCATCAAAGCAGCTTGACAGTATCAATCAAAACATAATACCAATGTTCGTTTCTTAGTGGAAAAAACATCCACGTTTGGTAGAGCTTATCAAGGATTGGTTAATTAATTTGAATATCCCCAACTGAGCAAGACAAAGGCAAATCAGTTGGGGAAATTCAAATTAATGATTCTTTTAAATGATTAATGAATTAATGTATATTTGTTCAGTTGTTTCTATTGTGGTGATTGCTATTTTTTTATTTGTTCTTTCTTAATTACTGTGCATTTACTTGCATTTAAAGGAGTAGTTCAATTCTGAAAAAAACTTATGCTGATAATTTACTCACCAAGATGTCCATGTCATTCTTTCTTCAGTCGAAAAGAAATTAAGGTTTTCGATGAAAACATTCCAGGATTTTCTCCATATAATGCACTTCAGTGGGAACCAAATGGTTCAAGGTCCAAAAGACAGTTTCAGTGCAAACTGCAAACTGTTCAAAGGGCTTTAAACGATTCCAGACGATGAATAAGGGTCTTATCAGGCGAAACGATCGCTCATTTAATAAATAAATTTGTGAGTCTCGTTTGTGACTCTCCTGTTCGAACTCGTTCATCAAAATGAATGAATCTTTTTCCGAATCATTTGGTTCATTCAACGAATGAAACGAGTGAATTGACTCAGAAAAAGATTCATTCATTTTGATGAACGAGTTTGAACAGGAGAGTCATGAACGCACATCACAGAACAGAGCAAGGCGAGCATTTGATCTTATAAAACATAAACTTTGTTATTTTTCTTTTAAATGAGCGATTGTTTCACTTGATAAGATCCTTATTCATCGTCTGGAATTGTTTAAAGCCCTTTGAGCAGTTTACAGTTTGCACTGAAACTGTCTTTTGGACCTTGAACCGTTTGGTTCCCACTGAAGTCCATTATATGGGGAAAAATCCTGGAATGTTTTCACTGAAGAAAGAAATACATGGGCATCTTGGATGACATGGGGGTGAGTAAATTATCAGCAAAATGTTTTGAAAAGTGAATTACTCCTTTAATAATGTTTGACATTTATATTAGTTAGGTTAGTTGTTTTTCTATGGTATTTTTGAACCATAGGCAAACACCATATGTGTAAGTGTTCTTTAGCCTGTTGATTTTTGCTCATTATATTATAAGCAGAAACAAAATCGAAATCGTGTTCAAATGATAACCAGGGCTGCACACATTCATAGAAAGTATTTTTTTTAATGGTTGCGAAGTAATTCAAATGTAGTACCTACTCAGACAGAGATTTCGGATCCAGCGACGGTGTTCAGAATTAATTGTAAATCGGAGACGGCTGTGTTTAATTAGACTTGGAACTAAAGTGTGCAAGACACCAGTCGCCCAGCACTGAAGTTGAAGAGCCCTGGTGTATCATACAGGTTGTATTGAGAAATGATAGTTTTGATTGTATCATTCACTCTCTTCCTCCTGTTTTTGTGTTTGTCTAGCTGTTATGGAAGGAGGCTCAGACATACCCTCTCTTCTCATTGCTGGGGGAGATGGAGAGTCACATGTTCGAGTGTGTGAACCAGGCAGCAGTTCACGAGGAGCTGGAGGACGAGACCAGGCGACTATGCGACGTGCGACCGTTCCGGCCTGTCCTCAAACTGATCACACGCAACTGTGGACGTGCAGAACGCCTACTAGACTCTAAGATCGGAGTCCTCATTGGCAAAGGTGACACTTAATCACATGTGTAATGAGAGCTCTACTTTTAGATAATATCCATTAGATTTGGATTTTTCAGTGACCCTTTCTGCAGGTTATATTTCAGTCCCTCCAGAAAAACGCGATTATGCGATCGCTGAATTCAATGCAAAATCAGCCAAAGTCCGCATATTTATGCGGCGGCCGCATTTTTTCGAATAAGCCGCACTTTCGCCGCATAAAATGCCGATTTCCACGCAAAATATGCGGGGCTTGCATGATTTCATAATCCTCGTATTTTCGTTGCAAAAAAAAGTCACATATATCTTCGCAGAAAGTTGAAAAATGTTGCGTTTGCTTCATACAAGAGCAGCCATTTCCTCCGGTTTCCATGGGAACGTTATGAAGTGACGCAATTACGCGACGGGATAGCTCACAGCTGAAGTTATTGCAGAGGCCAGAAAGACTCACGGAGGCGATTGACATCTCACAAATCGAACTCGTATAACTGTCTGTCACACGTTCTACCGTCACATCGTTACTTAATAAAATAAGATAAACGAATAAGCATCAAACAGAAATTACCCGCACACGACATGGGGTGTTTGAGGCGCACACACTGCAGACAGTTCAGCGCGCAGCTCTTAAAGGGGCCACACCTTATTTACACTCGTTACAGTCTGAAATAAAACATTGCTGATTTTGTAATTGTGAAAGAGAGTCTATTGTGCACTTATTGTTTGAATGTCCCTATTTTTCAATCTTTTGGAATGAGATGTCTCAATTTCTAGGTTTTAAAATGAATTGCAACCTTGTCTTAAATTTGTCATCTTCATACAAATGATTTTGACTTTCCTATAAGAAAAATGTATGTTATCGATTTTTTCTATTATTAGGAAAATTTCATATTCATCAAACTAAGTGGAGTAGCCTAACTCAAAACCCAACTTTGCTCATTTCAAAACAGCCTTTAAAATGTATTTTGAGTCTTTAAAATTTTTAAAAAAAATCGAAAAGCCCAAAAGATCTGTATCTCTGCTAAAGGAATTTAATATGTCTGTGATGCCCTCTATCTTTTTTTTTTTCTTTTTTTCTTTTTTTTTTTTTTTTTTTTCCAAATTATTGTTTCATGTTTTAGGCTACTTCTCAGATGTTATAGCCTACTTATCAGAAAATGTGTAAAAGAAATGTCAAGAACTTGATATCAAACTCTGTGATTTTGAAAATTTAATAAAAATAAAACAAGATGAGAAATTAAATATTCCCAGCACTTTCTATGATGTAGTATGCTTGCTACATCATAGAAAGTAATAAGAAATGACTCTTTACATTAAGGTAGTAGCCTAGTGAGAACAGGATGTTGGGGGAATCACTTTTTTTCTCTTTTTCATCAAACCGCAGTTTTTGCAAGTTCCCGCAATTTTTGCAAGTTCCCGCAATTTCATCGCATAAAATTGCATAAATATCCCGCATATTCCATCGCATTTTTAAAGAAAACGGGCCGCGTAATCAAGGATTTTTGCCCGCAACAATCACAAAAAAACTCCGCGTTTTTCTGGAAGGACTGATATTTGTTACCCCAGTGGGTAACAACAAGCAAATGTTTTTTTAATTAGGAGAGGATCACTGAATCATTCAACTCAACTAATTTGGTCAAAAACTTTGATTAATTCAGTGATAAACTGAGGCATGCAACAGTTGTTTTTTAGGAGCAAATTTGTTTGCCGATCAAAAATAGACCAAGCAACTAGCAATAGTGTGTCTTAAATGCACATTGCTTCATATGAACTTTTTTTACTGAACTGATATTTAAAAAAAATCACTCAATTGAGCTGTCAAAATATCAGGACTGTGTGATGACCTATGGCACAACAACACTCTTGCTTTTGTCTTACAGATTTAAAAAAACAAATGTGTTAATACCTAAAATTTTTATTTTATATTTAGGGTTTTTTATGTACAACATGTAATATATATATATATTATAGTGCTTTGTTTTAAAAAATATTGGCAATAAAAATGAAAACACCAGAGTCTGCGTTTGAATTGCACTAGTAGTATAATCAGTATTTAAAAGCACATCATATTTGCCTTGATGTTTTGACAAATAAGAGCTCTTTGTACCATTAAAACATCCTAAAGGTTTCATAGCTTAAAAAGTCCTCCTCATGAATAAAGCATATAAATAAATTAGGGCTGTCAGTTAAATGCGTTATTAACGGCGTTAACGCAAACCCATTTTAACGGCGTCAATTTTTTTAATCGCGCGATTAACAGTCTTTTTGGCCAAGCAAACTTTGTCGTTTTTTTTCACATGTTTTTGCAACAGGACGCGGCGCTGCGCTCTGAAACCCATTCATTTCACTGGCAGCGCGAGGACGTTTAGTTGCTTCATCGACCAAATCGCAAGCGGATCTAGCTAGACCTGAAACAAAACGACAGGCATGCCGCACAGACTCGTCCAGGCTTGCGAGCCTGCCAAATAGTTGGTTAACGTTACGTTTTGAGTGGATGACGAGCGCAATACGCCGAAATGGATGCCAATAAAATTCTGAATGGAAAGTTTACTTTTAAAAGTAGCCAAATGGCCCCATTTACAAGACCAAAGTGATCTGTGTGTTTTGTCGTTGTGAACTGAGCCATCATCATCGCAGCACGTCTAGTCTGAAATACCACTTGATGATGGCCAAGCAAACACACACACACACACACAGCTGATGCGAATTCTCCGCCCCCTTGTCAATAAAGGACCTCGTCAGTATTTCTTTCACCCTTTTATTGATGGACAGTTACATTGTGTGAGAGATTACTTGCTCCAAGTGAGAACGTTAGTGTGAAATTGAACACTATACGCTAATGTTGTTTTCAATAAAAATATTTGCACAAATCAAGCCGATCCACTTTTCCATGTTGATAAGAGCATTAAAATGAGAAAAAAAAATAATGGGACAAAAACAAAAAAACAAAAATCAAGAGACATTTAGAATAGATAAAAATGTGCGATTAATCGTGAGTTAACTATGACATTAATGCGATTAATCGCGATTAAATATTTTAATCGTTTGACAGCACTAAAATAAATAAATAAATTTGCTTACAACTCGCTCAAGTACTGGGGAGCTAAACCATTCAGTGCTTTGTAAGTAATTAGCAATATTTTAAAATGTATACAATGTTTAATTGGCAGCCAATGCAGGGTTGGAATCGGGCTAATATGGTCATACTTACTGGTTCTAGTAAGAACTCGAGCGGCTTCGTTTTGGACTATCTGGAGTTTGTTTATTAAGTGTGCAGGGCAACCACCCATTAGAGCATTACAATTATCTAGCCTTGATGTCATGAACTAATTGTTCCGCATTCGTCAATGAAGAGCATTTGATGTAATTTTCAAATATTTTTAAGATGCGGTTTTACAGACTATTCACGTGACTTTCAAATGAAAGGTTGCTATCAAAGAGCACACCCTGGTTCCTAACCGACGACGAAGACTTGACAGAGCAGCCATCAAGTGTTTGACAGTATTCTAGGTACTGTATGAAGCTTGTAATATATGGTGTCTGTTAATCTTTGGCACACACTTTTGGTGGCAGCAATTGTGCATGAGACTCAGCAGAGGCAGATATGAAAGTGATGCTGATTGTCTGTTTATGTGTATGTACGTATTAATTATAATAAGACTATGATGAGATGCCAGGCGAGGCTTACTGTATGCACACACAATCTACTTCCCTTACTCATTCACTGGCTCTGAAACAAACAAACACACACACGCACATACACACACACACACTCTACTTCCCTTACTCATTCACTGGCTCTGAAACAAACAAACAAACACACACACACACACACACAATATGGGTAATCTCTCTTAGTGGAGAGGATCAAATGAATTTTTAATGCTCTTTAAATGTCATCATGTGTGTTATCTAAAAGCCATTTGAAACCTTTCCCTCAGAACTGTCTCGCAACTAAACACACCGATGTCATTCAACGGGAACAGACGCTCATTAAAGGAATAGTTCGGTCAATAATGAAAATTGTCATAATTTAAACTTCTTTAATTTTGCAGATCCAAATAATACATTTTTTCTGTGAAACAAAAAAGGATCAGTCTTGTTTTATTTTTTTCAATGAAATTACATATTAGTCCACACACCTAGGCCTGGTTTCAGACAGGGCTTAGATTTAGTCAGGATTAGGCCATAGTTCAATTAGGCTTTTATAAACATGCCTTATCTTCTGACAAAACAATGGCATTGACAGGTTTTAAGATATATCCAAAGTGCAAGTTACTTTCAGTTAAAAACAGCTCAAACATGCACTTTAGTCTGAGACCAACTTAAGCCTTGTCTGCAAGGCCGGACACAAACCTGGCCATCTTCACAACACACAATGCACACTGTTAACTGTTTCTTTGACTTATCACACATTGTTTTTACTCTTTTATAAAACTCAAAGCTGTAGCATATGATTTTAAAAATCGGTCGAGAAAGCCTGAGACGGTAGGGAAGTTTTAAAAAACTCATCCTGCCCCTCCACATACACACACCCCTTCCTTCTGTGCTACCTGATCCCTGACCTATGTCACTTTTGAGTTCACATCAACGCAAGATTAGCCTCACATGGGTAACACTTTATAATAACTGCACACTATTAATCATTAGTTAAGCATGAGTAAACAGTTAATTCATCATTTATAAAACATTAATAGACATTAATATGCAGTTTATAAATACAGCTATACATGCTTTTTTCTTGATTTATAAGCATATCTATAATGCGTTTAATGATTGTATTTTCATACTTTGTTAATGATCAATTAATAATTTCTAAATGAAGTATAGCATTATTTACAAACCAGTTGTTTAAGAGTTGTCAGTCATTCATAAGATCACTTAGAAAGTGTAAGTAAATGTAGTAAATACAGGTAGTTATAAAGCATTTAGTAGTGGTTAGTTAACTATTTTTGTGACCTAATCTAAAGTGAGGACTATTCATGCTTTGTAAAGCATTTATAAAGGTGATTTAAAGACTCGTCAATCTTCTAAACAGTAAAATGTAACAAACACAACGCAGTGATACAGAACACAGAAATATTTAACAGCCTTTAAAAATGCTTTACAAGGCATGACTAGTCCTCACTTTAGATGAGCTCACGGACATAGTTAACTGACCACTACTAAATGCTTTATAACTAGCCAAATTAACCCTTAATTACAGAATTAATACATGTTAATAAATCATGTATTAACACATTAAGTAACCATCACTATATGTCTGAATAATAAGATGTATGAATGTACATTTAAATAGTTTATTAATCATTTACTTACTCGCTCTAAGTAATCGTATGAACCACTGAAAACTCTTAAATAACTGGTTAATAAAAAATGCAATTCTTCATTTAGAAATGATAAATTGATCATTAATAAAGGATGAAAATACAATTATTAAACAAATTATAGATATGCTTTTAAATCAAGAAGAAAGCATTTATAGCTGTATTTATGAACTGCTTATTAATGTCTATTAATGCTTTATGAATGATGAATTAATGGTTTACTCATGCTTAACTAATGATTATTAGCGTGTAGTTATTATAAAGTGTTACCAACACATGAAATGTTCTAAACTCCCCACCACCATTAGTATAATACTACTAGTATTGCTAAGGTTTTGAGTAATTGTTATAGCAGCACACAGCGCATCTTGTTCAAATTTCGATCGGCTCGAACAGAAACGCGCTAGGCATACTGAAATATATTCAAGCACTTAAAGAAATATAATTACTTTGACCCGTGATAGGCGATGCTAAACGGCTAACATTCCAATGCCGACCGGCAGCATGAGCAAGTTGTCAGACTGATAAAAAGCTATTTATCTCCCTGAAGCTTCCTCCAACGGTCAATGTGGACCCTATATTTATCCTGCTTAGAGTCCGGCATTAAATTTTTTTTTTATCTCTGCTCTTTCCTCTGCAGACTTTCTCTTTCGTCTAAACTTTACAGTAGGGGCAAGCAGGGGCCGCTTGCTGCTGTCGTTTATATTTTTATCCATTGCTGATCTGAAGCTACGTAGCTAGCTAGCTACCATAGACTGTCTGTCCGCTGCTTGCTCGCGCAAGGAGGGGCCGGGGTCGGGTGCGGTTGGAGATCAGGCGGAGTTTCAAGTGGAGCTGGTTATTGGATGAGAGCAGTTGACCAATGTAAGCTGTCCGGCCAGACAGCTTCCATTGGTCAACTTCTCTGCGGCTGTACAGCCAATAGAGTGAATGGATTTTTTTCATTCTTTTTTCTATTCATATTGTTAGGATTCTACTATATAACCATAACCAGCATCTAAACGATCTTTGAAATCGTATACCCTAGCTTTAAAAAAGGCTTGATTTTGGACCAGTGTTAAAGTGTGCATGTTTTTGAAGCAGAAATTCACAGCATCTTATATGCATAAATGTTCAAACAACATTGCTTCTGTGACGGAGTGATTGACACTCGGCAGAGTTCTCATGATTTGAATTGAGATTCTATGTTATTCATTGCATAAGCACATTGTCTGACGTGGATGTTGTTGAAATTGTGAGAGTGTAAAGTCACTGAACGTTATGCCACATGGCACAGGTCTTCACGAGTTGGACGCCCTGCAAGACCAGGAAGTGAAGGACTTTCGTTCCAAAATGAAGCGAATCAGCGAAGAGAAAATGCACCAAATGCAGATGATGTCGTGGGGGGAGTGGCTTCGGAGCTGTTACTCCCCTCAGCTGGAGACAGGGTTATTGGAGAATTTGATTGACAAGCATGAGGGCGTAATCAAAATTACCATGCACTACGACCAGTCACAGGTGTGTACTGTTATTTTAGTACATGGTATGTTGCACCAAGAACTGAATGATCAGTCTTATCCTCGTATTTCTTTCTCTCCGTGTAGGACACAGCTAGCCTGAAAGTATCATTGCATTGTTCAGTATCTGAACTACTGGACCAGGCTCTCAAGAAATGGCAGACCACTCATGGCCCAGAGGAAGACATTGGTTCCCGGAGTGATTATGTGCTGCGTGTCAGCGGCAAACTGGAGTTCCTGTTTGAAGATCACCCTCTTAATCAGTACAAAGTAAGATTCAAGGCTTTGAGGGGTCAAACTGTATAGGTTTTTTACTATGCAAAAACGTGAGAATGACATGTACAGAAACACCCCAGTTGTTTTTCCGAAAAACAATTAAAAAGAATGTTGCTCAGTGAAATGTGTCTAACTGGTAGGTCATGTTCAGACATCAAACAAAAGAGTGTGTGCTTCACTTTAAATTTTGTGTGCATAATAGTTTAGTTCCATCATGAGCCTGAAACCAGTCAGGTGAGCGATTGGTCACAACCGTTCATTGGAGATCATAAGGGCCTTCCAGGAAATGCATAAAAAGCTCAAACCATGCAGACACAGTTATCAGAAATCACTTTACAACTTACAAAAAAAAGTAGCAGTATTATTTCCGTCAAGTCACCTTTATTTATAAAGCGCTTTTTTTTACAATACAGATTGTTTCAAAGCAGCTTTACAGTAATAACACGAAAGTAATGCGTCAAAGTCTTTAGTCTAGACATAGCTAGTCCTACTATGACACTACACTGAAGTAAGTTGAGTGATGGTTCATTTTTGTTGTAAAGTTCATTTAGTTCATATTTCTATATATACAGTACAGCCACACTGGAGAAACTGTGACGTCATCGTCCAGCTCTGTTCAGTTCTCATAATGGTGTCAATGCAGACAGATCAATACTATTTGTTTTATATTAACATGGTAGCATCATGGAGTTCTTTCAGGTACCTGGTATTTTCTGTATGAAAACACTAATCTAAATGTTTGTGTGTGTGTAGTACATTAGGGCTTGTTTGTTGGCAAATGAGAACCCTCATCTGACAATGGTTCACTGTGGCGTTGTGAAGGCCATGTTTGACAAGGAGATCAGCACCATTGGATCAGTGCTTGCTCGGAAGTGTTCGAACCCTCCTCTACCACTGCCCCCGAAGAAGAGACAGCCGACGGTAAGGACACTGGGTGTCTGTGTGTCCTGCACTTCTGTACTCACATGTTGTCCTCATTTGTGCCCCTAGCAGCACCGCAAAAATATAATTCTTTTTCTCAAACGCTCCTATTGCATCTCCACTTCACATCTCAAATGCCGTTGTTCACCCCAAACTCACGCCAATGTTTGAGCCGAAGTTGGACTGCTCAAATAAAGAGCATTGTTTCGAAAGCGCCGTAGGGTCACAGTGTTTACACTCTTCGCTGAGTCTAACTACGAATGAGATGCAGTAGTTATTTTTACACATTTAACTGGAACAAGAGAAAGTGAAGGCAATTAGCTGAATCATTTGAATGCATTTATCTCAGCAGGTGTCGTGTGAATTAGGGCTTTGAACCAATTAATCGCGATTAATCGCATCCAAAATAAAAGTTCGTGTTTACATAATATATGTGTGTGTAGTGTGTATAATTATTTTGTATATATAAATACACACACATGCATGTATATATTTAAGAAATATTTGCATGTATAGACTTTATATATATTTTTGGACTGTGCAAAAATTAATTGCGATTAATCGCATCCAAAATAAAAGTCTGCGTTTACATAATATATTTGTGTGTGCTGTATATAATTATTTCGTATATATAAATACACACACATGCATGTAATGTATATATTTAAGAAAATGTGTTATTCATATATAAAATATTTATATTTATATAATATAGATTATGTATTTATAAATATGCATGCATTGGTATTTATATATACAAAATAATTATATACAGCACACAGAAATATATTATGTAAACACAGACTTTTATTTTGGTATGCGATTAATCGCAATTAACTTTTGCACAGCCCTATTATATTTATACAAAATTAATATTATACATAAATATAAATATTTGATATATTAATAACACATTTTCCTTAAATATATACATGCATATGTGTGTATTTATATATACAAAATAATTATACACACTACACAAACTTTTATTTTGGATGCGATTAATCGCGATTAATCGTTTCACAGCCCTAGTGTAAATGCATGTGCATACAGTACAGACAGAGTAGGAAACATCAAAATTGGTGTTTTTTGTTGTTGTTTCTCTTTTTTACAGTATTGTGATACTTGTTTATTGGCTGGTGTGTATTATCTGCCGTGTGGATGAGTAGCGTTGTGTAGCGTCCAGTGTACATTATAGTTTGTTTCCTTCACACGCAGTTTTAGGCCAGTGAGTTTCATAAATGTGTTCCAGGAAGTGAGTCAGGCATGTGTGTTTGCACTGATCATGTGAGTTATTTTGCTGACCATGTCAAAACTGCTGCTGTTAAACCAAAACCCCTAAGGGAATGTATATGCATTTGTGTGAGCGTGTATGTTCGTTTGCATTTGTGTCTATGAGGTCACAGTGTCAAATGTATAGAAATTGGGTCCCACTTTATATTCAGTCTTTAAGTACTACTATGTAGTTTTGTAGTCAAGACCACCTAAACCAAGGATCAAGACAAAAACTAAATTCAGGGCGAGACCGAGTCGAGACTAGCAGACTAAGACTAGTTAGACCTTTAACACTCCTCAAATTCATCTGAAAGATCCACATTTACATTGCCTGTCTTATGTATTCAATAAATAAATAATAATACATTATAAAGCTGTTATTAATCAAATGAAATTACTAACAGATGTTACTAGCAGATGTTGCACAGAACACTTTTTTTTTTTAAACAATTTTGAATATAAAAATATGATAGCAAATTAAAATGGTACTTTTAACTATGAAACCAAAACCAGTAGGTTGCAGCGTAACATTTAATGAATGAGTCACTGAATAATGTATTCAACCGATTCGTTCAAAGCTGCTGATTCATTCAGGAGACGCACAGCAATAGGATTCGTTTAAAACTATTTTTGTTGCTATAATAGAGAAAAAAAAAACATGTTCAAAATTGTGTCTAAAATGTCACTTAAAGAATAAGGTGGGCAATTCTGGAGAAGCTAGCAATAGTTTTAAAAGCATGAGATCCTCCAAAGTACATTCAGGTCTGCAAATCGTCAAGAGAGGCGGCATTGAGTTACCTCATGTCTCTAAGCATGGGTTTACGTCTGTAAGTTACGGTAATCACTATATGGCTTGAACGCATCATAAGCTTGTTGTTTTGGTTCAGGAGGAACTGTAAAAGGCGGCGGTTGTTTGTTTGTGAAACTCTGTGTCTGTCTACAACTCTGTGTAGCTTCGACGAACGTGCTGATGACATGTGATGTCTGTGTGAGCAGGTTCGCGGAGATATGGAAATACATACGCTAACGGGCAGTTAGGCCATCCCATCATTGCATTCAGACCTAATTCACTGATTGGATGAACTTTTTAGTCCTGAGACTTCTACAGAAGCTATATGTAAAACAAAAACAAAATATATATATATATGAAGAGTTCAGATGCAAAAGCCTCTAAATGCCATTTGAAATTTTCTTCTTTAATGATGATTTTTATCAAACTTGTATATTTAAGTTCAGTAATTTCACTTAAACAACAATTAATAGGTAATTATCATTGCCATTTAAGTGAAATTACTGAACTTAAATATACAAGTTTGATAAAAATCATCATTAAAGAAGAAAATTTCAAATGGCATTTAGAGGCTTTTGCATCTGAACTCTTCATATATAGACCACTTTTATTATTGATTGCTATCAGGATGTGAAGAGAGTTTCAACTAGTATAACAAAAAGTATTTAATATTAACTACTTGTTTATTGAAAGTTTGCATAAAATCAGTATCATTTTTGCAGTCATGCTCATATTCATGAAAACAGCTTTCTTACTCTTTCTTGCTACTTGTCATACAAGAAGTAGTTTCTTTTTTGCAATCATATCTTGATTTTTTTTGGGCATTTGTATTCATTTTGGTGACATTTTTAACACAATTGCCCATTCATTTCTGACCCGGCACAACAGTAACAAAACAAATCAAATTAGAAATTAGTTGCTGATTGCATTTGGAGCTGAAAGTTTTGCATCAAGTCACAGTAATGATGTGAACAAATAAATCAGACAATGCACTGGGAATTTACTGATATCCCGACGTTGATCTTGAATCGTCTTGTGCTCTTAGTCTGAAACTAAACCGAGACCTTCAAAAAAGGGTCTCAGGATGGGACTCAAGTACTACAACACTACTAAAGGTTTAGGTTTACCTTAAACGTACCCATACTACCAAACCTGTATCTACCAAACCTGTTTGTGATATTAACAGCATTGCAATACAACAATTCAGCATTTAACACAATAAATACATAGTACCTAACATTTTTTTGGATGCAAGTGCACAGTAGTTGAAGACAGCTAATGTAAAGTGTGACTGCAAATTGTATAGTGATTTAAACTTAAGCCACACTTAATGTGACAAAATGAACATCAAACCAAGAACCTTATGCAAGAATGGTGCAACATTTTAAAAGCCATTTTAGAGGATGTCAGGTCATCAAGTTCATACACGTGTCCCAAGAGAGAAACCACATGTATAATTCAGCACTTTAACTGTTATTGCGTTCCATTGGCGTTTGACTACCAAAACATGTCCGACATTTTGATGTTCAAACCTATTTTAGACAATTCATTGTGTATAATGTTTGCCTGAAAAGCTACTTGGTTTAATTTTTGTTACCCAATACACTTATAATACAGTATGCTTATACTCTTCATAATTTATTGTCATCATTTACTTACATTCTCCTTTATTCTTTCTCTCTCCTCAGCAGTTACATACGTGTGTTTGGAAGGTCCATTCTTTGTTCAGAATTAATCTTGTGAAAGGTAACAAGGTGAACGCTGACGATGCTGCTAAGGTAAATAGTGTCAACACCTCTGAATTTAGCATGATCTCACTAACACTAACCTTTATCTGCCTCCTGCTGGCCCAGAATCAGTATTGCATTACAATTAAAACAGGCTGCAGTGTCTTTGCTCCGTTTCAAAGTAATGACTATTTCCAAATTCCAAACATACAAAAGCAGACCATTAGGGAGAGTAAAGGGTGAAACATCTAGCATGCAACCTTTTACCTCAATCAGCAACACACAGTCCCACCTCCAAACGTATTCAAATACACAAGAACACACCTTGTTTTAGTGAAGAATTCATGCGTTCCAGTGTTTCACCAAAAATATATTATACTTAAAGGAGTAGTTCACTTTTTAAAAAAACTTTTGCTGATCATTTACTCACCCCCATGTCATCCAAGATGTCCATGTCTTTCTTTCTTCAGTCGAAAAGAAATTAAGGTTTTTGATGAAAACATTCCAGGATTTTCTGCATATAATGGACTTCAATGGGAACCAAACGGTTCAAGGTCCAAATTAGGGTCTAATTTAGGGTCTAATTAGGAATAAGGGTCTTAGCTAGCAAAACCATCGGCCATTTCAAAAATAAAATAAAAAAGTTTAAGTTTTATAAGCACAAATGCTCGCCTTCTGTGATGAGCGTTCGTGACTCTCCTGTTCGAATTCGTTCATCAAAATGAACAAATCTTAGATAAAGGGTCCTAGATAAAACCCTTATTCATCGGCTGGTGTCGTTTAAAGCTGCACTGAAACTCTCATTTGGACCTTGAACCGTTTGGTTCCCAATGAAGTCCATTATATGGAGAAAATCCTGGAATGTTTTCATCAAAACCCTTCATTTCTTTTCGACTGAAGAAAGAATGATATGGACATCTTGGATGACATGGGGGTGAGTAAATTATCAGCAAAAGTTTTTTTTTAAGTGAACTACTCCTTTAAATTATTAATGCTTTTAAACTTTGCCTGCTAGGCATTTACATTTAAGTAAATATCTAGCATATTTCTTTAATCTGGTCTTTACTTCGTCATATGTTGATCTAAAATTGCCCCTACTTTTTAACAAATCTTTATACCAATGCCAAATACCTTTTCAGTCTGACTATTACACAAAGCAATGAAAGCACTATCATAATGTCAGTCAAGTTAAGTCACTTACTGTATGTATACAGCGTTTTATACTATATAGTTTTCAGAGATAACAGGAAAATTATGATTCAGTGATTCGGCTGTAAAGCAGCTCTAAAAAGACAACAGTAAACATTCATTATTCAGTTGAAGTCAGTTCAGTGTTGATTCAGTTTTTTATAAATCTATTTCTATATAATCTATGAAGCAGGTCTGCAGAAAAAAAGTGATGTCAGCTCAGTAATATTGCTGAATATTATTCAGTCAGTTAAATCTGTCGTTGTCAATTACCTGGATAAGAGTAGCATTTGCGCGTACATTTGAGTATAACAGTTGTATGCAATTTCTGTAACTTGTGTGCGTGTAGATCCAGGTTCGAGCGGGGCTGTTTCACGGCACAGAGATGTTGTGCAAGACCGCGGTCAGCAGCGAGAGCAGCAGTCGATCTGAGCACGTGTGGAACAAAACGCTGGAGTTTGACATCGCTGTTTGCGACCTGCCGCGCATGGCCCGCCTCTGTTTCGCCATCTATGCTGTTATGGACAAAGTGAAGAAACAGAGATCCACTAAGAACCCTCAGAGCAAATACCAGACTATCCGCAAGGCAGGGAAAGTGGTGAGATCAACACGCACACAAACTTTATTCACAGCACGCACTGTTATAGGAGAAGTTCACTTTTAAAAAAACTTTGCTGATAATTTACTCACCCCCATGTCATCCAAGATATCCACGTCTTTCTTTCTTCAGTCGAAAAGAAATGAAGGTTTTTGATGAGAACATTCCAGGATTTTCTCCATATAATGGACTTCAATGGGAACCAAACGGTTCAAGGTCCAAATGAGAGTTTCAGTGCAGCTTTAAACGACACCAGACGATGAATAAGGGTCTTATCTAGGACCCTTTGAGTCATGACTCAAAAAGATTTGTTCATTTTGATGAACGAGTTCGAACAGGAGAGTCACGAACGCTCATCACAGAACGGAGCAAGGCGAGTATTTGTTCTTATAAAACTTAAACTTTTTTATTTATTTTTAGAATGACCGAACGTTTCACTTGATAAGACCCTTATACATCGTCAGGAATCCTTTAACCACTTAACTGTCACCGTCCCACAGGTGGGACGTTTGCCACTATATTTTAAAACAATAATTCTTAGTAAATACCTTAAATAATATGACAAACTATATATCATTTGAAAGCTTACAATCTCTAGTTTCCAATTTGGTGACTGATTTTCAAAATATATTACAGAGGAGCCATAATTTATCAATATAAAACAAGAAATTTTCATACTCATAAGGCGTGTTCAGACTTTATTTAAAATAGCAGTAAACATGAAAAATCATGAAAAAATGGTAGATACCTCAGTTGTTTTCATGCCAAAAAGTTCAAAAGATAGAATCCATTCAATTATTTTGGGGAAAAAAGTCTGAAAAGTTGAAATATCAAGGAAAAAAATAATAAATTCACCATTTCTGACGTGGCAGCTAGCTGTGACTTACATGCATGTTTCTTTGTAGTTTTCTTAGAGGTTCAATTCATATCAAAATCTGCCAAACTTCCCATGCTACTTCTGAATAGGATCTCTACTTCAGAGAAATTGTATAAAAATTGTGAAAATAATGGTTCATATCACTCAAAACACCGAATGGAAATGCAGGCGCCCTTATATGGCAGTAATGGAGTCTGATTTGTGCCCTAGTGAAAAAGTTTGGTACTGCGCTCAAACAAAATCTTACTGAAGCTCATTTTTGAGATATCAACCTAAAATTTGAAACACAACTTGTTCAGATTTTTGGCTTTGATCTTTATGAATTTTAGAGTAGCCCAGGTTTTGAAAATATATATTTTATGTAAATATGAATAAATTAATATTTTTACATTGTATATTTCCATAACTCAACTTCTATAACTTTTTTTCTGTTTCACTTTCTTTAATTTATTTCACTTCTACAAAAATCTGCCAAATGTCTTCTTTAAACAAGACAATCATATGTCTATATTCCAAAAGCATTCTTGAATACAACCATTTAAGTTCGAAATGTGCATTTTCATGTCTATTCAAAAAAGTGGGGGTGACAGTTAACAGGTTAAAGCCCTTTGAAGCTGCACCGAAACTCTCATTTGGACCTTGAACCGTTTGGTTCCCATTGAAGTGCATTATATGGAGAAAATCCTGGAATGTTTTCATCAAAAACCTTAATTTCTTTTCGACTGAAGAAAGAAAGACATGGACATCTTGGATGACATGGGGGTGAGTACGTTTTTTACCGGTAACAGATCATATGTGAACAGGACCTTTTCAAATGTACCAGTAAATTTGTTCCGGCAATTAACCAGTAAGGGAAGTTGTAACATTACCAGTAAATTAATTACCGGTGAATGCGGAATGAAGATTACCGGTATTTTGCGCGTAGGAGGCCAGAACACGCTGACGTAAGAAGTGATTTGGGCCAATCAGAAGCTCTGAGCCATTTATAAAATGATGAAGCAGATGACACGTTTACTCAGCACTGTTTACAAATGTCTTTAAATTGGAGTGATAACGAAACTAAAGCGCCTCTCCGCGTCCGGGCGGATGAAGAGATTTGTCAACTTTAGATGTTACTTCCAGTTAATGATGTCAGCACAGAGTTTACCGGTATTTTGTGGCTGATGTTAATGGTCTGTTACCCTGTAAAAAGCCAGAACGCTGTTGCTTGTGTGAACAGCACATTTTTATATTTACCGGTATTCTGCCAATTTTACGGTACTTTACCGGGATTGCCGTGTGAAAGGGGCTATGAGCTGATCATCTGTTTTATTTGTTAAATTTTCTGTCTAGCACTACCCAATAGCATGGGTGAACACGATGGTGTTTGACTACAGAGGTCAGCTGAAGACTGGGGACATTATCCTTCACTGCTGGTCCTCTTTCCCTGGTGAGAACACACACACGTTCACAGGTGCCAAAAATCGCAGAGCACCCACGAAAAAACACTAGATATTCTCCATTCATTTTAACCAATCAAAAAATCGATTGAGATTTGGGAAACTTTCTTATTGTTGTATCTCACGTCTGTTCTACTGTAGATACTGTAATTACTGCATAACAACCTGACAACCATTTTGTTTTTTTGCATGATGATGAATAGCATTTTAAGTAATTAACTTCAAAATCATCAGGTGTATCAGCAAGAGCTATGCCCGACATACACTAAAGAATATGTGGTTTTATTTGATTGGTAACCAGGGTTTGAAATGAACTTTTTCACTCACAGGCCAAATTGGCTACTAAGTTACCGGCCATTTAGAACTTGTACTAGCCAAAAAAAAAAAAAGCCAGATATACACAGATTCTGCGCAATACGCTGTATTTAATATATCACGATGACCATGATGATGACTACCGAGTCGAGTATTTGCGCTAAATCTGCGCACAAACTTCCCCTTCAAAGTAATAAGTAGCATGCCCAATTGGCTAGTGATTTGACAGCTGGTTTTATGTGTGCGTGCGTGTAGAGCAGAGGTCTCAAACTCGCGGCCCGCGGGCCGGAATGATATTTTGTGGCCCCCTACTTGATATTAAAGTTTAATGTTAGTGCGGCCCGCCATTGTGTTTGCCGCGTTTTTTCATTATTAATATTTTTATCCCTTATGGGCTACCATATATAGTCTCGTGACAGCTTACGGTGGGTTTGTTGTCAGTTGTCATAGACAACCACGAAGTACAAATATACTGCGCCTGGAAAAAATGAGCGCGTCGCTTCAATTATGAGGGCGCTTGATGCGCGCCTACATCTGAAACGTAATTGAGCGTGCAAAATATGTGAGCGCGATATGTGAACAAGGCGAGCTACCACCACCAAATCAGGCCACAGCTCGCGAGCGACGTGTTGGATACCCCTGCTCTAAAACAATGTGAGAATAATCATTTTGAGCTTGTAATATGCGTTGTGTCTGAACGCGTTCAATGAAAGATATAGTTCATGATCTCGTTCATATTTTGGGCGAACGTGAACTGAACGTAGCCTACTGTATTACTGCCTGATGAAAGTTACAGTGTACTCGTTCATTCTAGTAGTGTCTGTGAACCGAGGAGCGAGGAGGCGTCGTAAGATCATTTAAAAGGCTTTTATGAGGTCGGTGAGGATGGGAAAATCTTAATGTGCAAAATTTGCCCGTAGACAAAATTATTGTTATCTGTGGTTGTATATGGGCTGTGGCAATAATAATACCATAATAATAAAAAAGAAGCTCGCAGCAACATATGGAAAAAAAGAACTAACTAGTCCATTTTAAAATTTGTGAACTGAACTTTGAACTAGTTCATGTAATGAACTTGGTCCAACAGGTTGATAAGAAGGTTTGCTTTGATATGTGCAAAGTCAGTAATTTTAGTAAAAAAGAGACAATATACATATGTAGAAATAATTATTTGTATTTCAAAAGCAGTAATTGTTTTTCTAAGTATAATAAAAGGAAATATGCCTTTAGGAAAAAAAAAGAAAAAAAACATTCAATATAATAGTGTTGTATAAAGAAAATAAAAAGCAAATTTGACTATCATCACGAAGATGTTGTATAAGAAAAAGACAGAAAGTTTGTAAAATGAACTTCAACTGTCAGAAGGACAGCTCACGAAGAACCAATCATGTACAGAAAGGATGTTCAAACAGTTCAGGAACAGTTCAAAAGAAACGTTCATAATAAAGATTGAGAAGATTGGATCAGTTGTGCTCCATTTTTGGAATACTTAAATACAATTTTTTTTTTTTTGTAATACTTGATGCGGCCCGGCCTGACCCAGACTCTATCTCCAGCGGCCCCCAGTTAATTTGAGTTTGAGACCCCTGGTGTAGAGTAAACTCTGTATGAGTTATCAGTTAATCTGTGAGTAGTACTTCATTTTGTGGAAGGTTGTGCTCTGTCTTGTAAAGGAAGGAAATGTGTTCAGGAAATGCCTTTTTTTTCTGTGTTTTGCAGATGAGCTGGAAGAGATGTTGAACCCTATTGGGACGATTCAGACCAATCCATACACGGAGAACGCCACAGAACTGCATATAAGCTTTCCTGAATACTCAACACAATCAGTTGTGTTTCCCGCTTTTGACAAGGTATCCATATCTCACATATCACACTTACACATGTCCACTCTCCATTTACATTTATTCATTTAGCTGACACTTTTATCCAAAGCGACTTACAATTGCTGTATATGTCAGAGGTCGCACGCCTCTGGAGAAACTAGGGGTTAAGTGTCTTGCTCAGGGACACATTGGTGTCTCACAGTGGATTCGAACCCGGGTCTCTCACACCAAAGACGTGTCTTATCCACTGCGCCATCACCACCCAAATATTTTTATTCATTTACTGAATAAAATAAAACTTTTAATTCATTTAAAATTTTAAAAAAAATCATAAGGTTGAATAAGGTTCATTAGTTAACATTAGTAACTAACATGAACTAACAATGAGCAATACATTTGTTACGGTATTTATTAGGGGTGTAACGGTACACAAAAATCACGGTTCGGTACGTACCTCGGTTTTAAAGTCACGGTTCGGTACGTTTTCGATACAGCAAAAAGAAAGAAATGCCAGAGAAATTTCCTATTTGTTTAAAGAAAAAATATTTTTAAATAAGTGTGAGTTTTCCTCGATCTTGAAACTTTCAGGTTTATAAATGGGGATCATCTTTGACGGATGAACAAATAATGTTTTGGTCCTCACATTAAAAATAACTTTTAAATATATATTTATTAAATATTTGAATTTTGAAGTGCTGGAAAAAGATGTGTGAAGTACTTGAAAGCATTTTACCATTCCAGCCAAACTGGTTTCAGTTAGTGTTACTATATTAAATCCATGGTGAATGTTGCTGGTCTGTGGACGTAAAGTATTACACTAGTTCAATCACGGCACAATGTTTCTCCTGGTTTCCATCTAATAGAGATCTACAGTTAATAACGGAGAAATGTGAACGCTTCTCACTAGATCTCGCAGCGATGTTATTACCTCAGTGGCGAATTCAAATGTTTTCTTTACCGGATCTCTTAGCGCTGTGTAGTAACAGTGTCGCTTGATCGAGATCGGCTCGCGCTGCACAGATGTTGCTGGTCCGAACTGATAAACGATCCATGAGAAGCACATAATGAGTAGCGCAGTTTCGTTCTGCTTTCATTACGCTTGCCATTTGATGTTGCGCAACGTTGTGTTTGCCGATGCGTCAGCACGAATTTTGCCGGCAGGAAAAATGGTCCAAGCAATCGTTCGATTTGTATGCGTACCGAACCGGAAGCCTCGAACCGAAACGGTTCAATACGAATACATGTACCGTTACACCCCTAGTATTTATTAATCTTTGTTAGTTTATAAAAATACAGCTGTTCATTGTTTGTTCATGTTAGTTCACAGCACATTAACTAATGTTAACAAATGAATTTAAATGTTGAAATTAACTAAGATTAATAAATGCTGTATACAGTAAGTATTGTGTTTATTCTTAGTTCATGTTAACTAATGAACTTTATTGTAAAGTGTTGCCATTATTTCTTAACTCTTAGTATGTTTAACGCACACGCGGCAATATTTTCAGCCTTTTATTCTCTTTTGGCTGAAAACTGAAAAACCAAAATAAGTTACCAAAATGTAGGCAAAAATTGAGTGTTAACAAATGTTTAAAACAAAACTCTGCTTGAAACGGAAAAACTGCGCACTCGCACCCGAAAAAGCATGCGTTTACCATTTTTGCATACATCAGTCAGTGGATAGTCATAACATAATTGAACATTTGTCATGTTGTGATATTTTTCTTCCATAGATCCTGGAAAAAGCTGCAGAAATAGCAGGGTCCAGTGAGACCATGACAATGGTAAAATTGGGACATCCATAAACATTTAACATGTTTAAATAATGTCCCAGCTTCTTGGTTTCATGTAATTGTGGATTCTAGTTTTATCAAATCCATTGATATCATGCATTAATATCATAAGCTCCACATAAATACCATTTCTATGAGATGATCTTCCTAATGAGGTGAAATCCATGTGTGCAGGGTCGTGGGGGTAAGAAGTTTTACATCGAGCTGAAGGAGATCATGGAGAGGGATCCTCTCTCTCAGCTGTGTGAGAATGAGAAAGATCTGATCTGGACGCTTCGCTACGACTGCAGAGAAAACTTCCCTCAGTCTCTCCCCAAACTGCTGCTGTCGGTCAAATGGAGCAAGCATGAAGACATGGCTCAGGTATACGCTCAAACATACACACACTTGCGCATTCATTGGGGACATTTAATATTCAACGATATTATTGATCTGCCTGCATTGACACCATTATTTGAGAACCGAACTGAGCTGGATCTCTGTTTTCTCCAGAGCGGCTATATATAAATTAACTAAATTAATATCTTTTTTACAACAAAAATGAACCATCACCGAACTTACTTAAGCTGGACTGTGACGCTATTTTCTTCTGAAAGCATTATTTTCCTGTTTTCACTGTAAAGCTGCTTTGGAACAACTTGTATTGTGAAAAGCACTATATAAATAAAGGTGACTTGACATTCCCCTGTAGATGTGTTCAAACTCAGTGTTTTTCTCTCTTGTACTGCAGCTACAGGCTTTGCTGCAGATTTGGCCCAAGCTAAGCCCTCGAGATGCTCTCGAACTCCTGGACTTTAACTACCCCGACCTGTATGTCAGAGAATTTGCCGTCATGTGCCTTCGAGATATGAGGTGAGCAGCCCACGTTGTCTGGGAGCATGTCAAGGAAACCACATGAGAAATGCTGAAACCCTGAATGTGTGTGTGTGTGTGTGTGCTAGTGATGACGAGCTATTGCAGTATTTGCTGCAGCTTGTGCAGGTGTTGCGCTATGAGCCGTACTACGACTGCGCCCTCAGCCGGTTCCTCCTGGAGCGCGCTCAGACCAGCCGCAAAATAGGCCATTTCCTATTCTGGCATCTCAGGCAAGTGTGTACATGTGAAGAAGCCTGAATATGTCAGTAATTCAGTTCACCTGCTATTTCAGTATGCTTACACAGAACTCAAGGTTATGATTGTGTTTGTGTGTTGTACGTTACAGGTCTGAAATGTACATGCCACCGGTATCGGTTCACTTCGCTCTGATTTTGGAAGCATACTGCCGAGGCTGCATCCCACACATAGAGGTCCTAAAAAAACAGGTACACCACTTTCATTCCAGCCTAATAATTAAGGATCAAGTATCATTCACTCAGAGATAGCATTTGGTCTGTTTAATATGAAATCAGATGGCAAAAATGCAAGAAAAAATACAATTATAAACTTGGGGAGAATTTCTGCTTCGTTGATCAAAACATTGCAGTTCTGATTTCTTTCATTGGAGTAGAATTTGATTAATTGAGATTGGTATTTGTTTCAATGTTCAATCGTAACAAAACACTTGAACACATGTGTTGTGAAAATGTATAGAAAGTTGGGTAACACTTTACAGTAAGGTTCATTAGTTAATTACATTAATTCTCATGGACTAATAATGAACTTGTAAGTAAATGTCCACTGAAGGCAAGTTTGAAGAACCCGAAGAAGTGCAGTATTTATTCACCAAACATGATTAAACATAAAACAAAGGCATGGCATGAAACTCAAAACACGACGTGAAGCTTAGCAATAGTGGTTACAGGAAACAATACTTGATCAAGACACATTGCAAACATGAGGGCTTAAAGACACAAAACTAATGACTAGACAGGGGACACCTGTGAACATAGTCAACACAATCAACCAATGATAACATGACATTCACATGGGGAACACACGGCAGGATCACGAAACATGAAACTAAAACCAAAACATGACAGAACTGCACTTCTACAGCATTTATTCAGCTTTGTTAAAGTTAATTTCAACATTTACTAATACATTCCAATCACAACAGACTGGGCCATCTGACCAATCAGAGCAGAGTAGACCAATCACAACAGACTGGGCCATCTGACCAATCAGAGCAGAGTAGACCAATCACAACAGACTGGGCCATCTGACCAATCAGAGCAGAGTAGGCCAATCACAACAAACTGACCATCTGACCAATCAGAGCAGAGTAGACCAATCACAACAGACTGGGCCATCTGACCAATCAGAGCGGAGTACTTTGTAGACCAATCACAACAGACTGGCCATCTGACCAATCAGAGCGGAGTACTTTGTAGACCAATCACAACAGACTGGGCCATCTGACCAATCAGAGCAGAGTAGGCCAATCACAACAGACTGGGCCATCTGACCAATCAGAGCAGAGTAGACCAATCACAACAGACTAGGCCATCTGACCAATCAGAGCAGAGTAGGCCAATCACAACAGACTGGGCCATCTGACCAATCAGAGCAGAGTAGACCCATCACAACAAAATGGCCATCTGACCAATCAGAGCAGAGTAGACCAATCACAACAGACTGGGCCATCTGACCAATCAGAGCAGAGTAGGCCAATCACAACAGACTGGGCCATCTGACCAATCAGAGCAGAGTAGACCAATCACAACAAACTGACCATCTGACCAATCAGAGCAGAGTAGACCAATCACAACAGACTGGCCATCTGACCAATCAGAGCGGAGTACTTTGTAGAGCAATCACAACAGACTGGCCATCTGACCAATCAGAGCGAGGTACTTTGTAGACCAATCACAACAGACTGGGCCATCTGACCAATCAGAGCAGAGTAGGCCAATCACAACAGACTGGGCCATCTGACCAATCAGAGCAGAGTAGACCAATCACAACAGACTAGGCCATCTGACCAATCAGAGCAGAGTAGGCCAATCACAACAGACTGGGCCATCTGACCAATCAGAGCAGAGTAGACCCATCACAACAAAATGGCCATCTGACCAATCAGAGCAGAGTAGGCCAATCACAACAGACTGGGCCATCTGACCAATCAGAGCAGAGTAGACCAATCACAACAGACTGGGCCATCTGACCAATCAGAGCAGAGTAGACCAATCACAACAGACTGGGTCATCTGACCAATCAGAGCAGAGTAGACCAATCACAACAGACTGGGTCATCTGACCAATCAGAGCAGAGTAGACCTATCACAACAGACTGGCCATCTGGCCAATCAGAGCAGAGTAGACCAATCACAACAGACTGGGCCATCTGACCAATCAGAGCAGAGTAGACCAATCACAAAAGACTGGGCCATCTGATCAATCAGAGCAGAGTAGGCCAATCACAACAAAATGGCCATCTGGCCAATCAGAGGCCAATCACTTTAAAAATTTGCATTATGAGGAGTGAGTGAAAGCAACATGGCTAACATGTGCTCAACTATTGGTCACTAATAAAAATAAATTGTTAAATGTAACAGTGTCAAAAATAACAAGTGCAAATGCCAGACATGGACAAACTGTGTCAGTTAAGAGGAACAGTACTGCCAAAAATGACAGCTGGACATTTCAAAATCAAGGCAAAAGTATAGTGCTAAAGGTCACCTCTTCTGTGACACACTGTCAATAAAAGCTGTTACAAAACATCTGATGTTTAATGTACAGTAAAATCATTAAGATTTCCTTCTTCCGGCTCAAACCGGCTGAAAGCTTTACTGTGTGTAATTCAGTACAAACTACTACTTATAAAATCCTTATTATACTTTGGGGGTCTGTAAACTCATATACATAAAAATTAATAACAGCCATCCTTCTTAAATAGCTGTGCTTCAAAACTGGAAAACAGTTCTGCTTTAAGATTGTGTTGATGTTGCACCGATAAGGAATAATCCAATGAGCGAAGGTTGCAGAGATGTGTTAAAACAAATTCAAAGTCAGCAGCTTCCTGATTCTTGCATCTAAATATTTTTAAACATTTATGAAATTAAGTTCTAGAGTGCAAAGTGTACAGATGTGTCCAAGAGAACAAGAGCAACCAAAGCAACATTTAGATATTGTGATGCTGCGGATATTTATATCACATGACTTATTTAGGCATCAAATTTATTCAGTCAGGTCAAACCACCTTTATTTACATAGTGCTTTATACTGTACAGATTATTTCAAAGCAGTGATAGAGAGAGGAACAATGGTTTTGAGATGTAAATGGAGTTGGATTCTGCTTTAAAGTCAGTCCAGTGTTGATCAGTTCAGTTCAAAAACTGTGAATGAGTTCAATTCCTCTATAAAGCAGCTCTGGAGAGAACAGTGATGTCATCGTTGACTTGGACTTGACTTGTGATATCCCAAAATGTGCATACAAATATTTAGATGGAACCCCAGGGACTGGCCCTCTTCACAGAACGGTTTACAGCAGGATTGAATTATGATGTGCTGTGATTGTTTTGTAGGTTGAAGCTCTCAGTAAGCTGAAAGCAGTAAACGAGCTTATTAAACTGGCTACCATAAAAACCAAGACGAAACAAGCTCATCTTAAAGAGGCAATGATGACGTGCCTTCGACAGACGGGATTCATCGAGACTCTGTCCGACCTGCATTGCCCTCTCGACCCCAACCTCTTGCTTGCTGGAGTCAAGTAAGATTCGTGTGTTTCGTTCACTGCACACCAGTTGAATTATATGGGGATGATGAACTATATTAGTTGGTGAAGGAATTGTTTATTTTCTGTATTATTAAAGTAAACATGCAACAGCCTTTTAACTTCCACAATGATCAGGTTAAAGGAGTAGTTCACTCAAAAATAAAACTTCCTGTCATCATTTACTCACCCTGAAGTTGTTTCAAACCTGTATGAGTTTATTTCTTCTGTTGAACACAAAGAAAGATATTTTGAAGAATGTGGGCAATTGATGGACCCCATTGACTTCCATAGTAAGAAAAAAAAACGCTTTGGAAGTCAATGGGGTCCATCAACTGTTTGGTTTCTGTCATTCTTCAAAATATCTTCTTGTATGTGCGGAGTGAACCGATGTGATCAGGAAAGCACAACACACACTAACATATTCCATTGACAATCAACCAGAGTCCCGACTGTGAATCTCTTGCATCAAACGTGTCTTTAAAGTAAACAAACATGGAATTCATTAGACTTTAGATGAATTCGTGGAAACGATGTGAACACTTTACATATCTTCCGTCAGCTTGCTTTCTGATTGGGTATCGTTTCGTTTCACATGATAATCTCCAGAGCGTTTGTCCTCGGGGTGTAATACCTTGTAGTGTGTACCCAGCATTATGAAAAGTTGTCTCTGTGCATGACGGGTGGTTTGGGCAAAGAGTTGAGAAGCAGGGTTGGTGACATCAGCTGAAAATTAAAATAATTTCAAAGACTAATTTTGATGGAAGTTTATATACAGTATACTGCAAAATACTATAGACGCTTGTTTCCGCCACAGAATGAAAAATTAAAAAGGAAATTGCGAGTTTACATCTCACAATTCAAAAGTCAGAATTGCATGATATTAAGTCACAATTGCGAGGGGAAAAAAAAAAGTCAGAATTGCGAGTGTATTTCTCACCGTTCTGACTTTATAACGCAATTGACTTTGTCACACAATTCTGAGAAATAGACATAAATTCTCAATTGTGAGAGAAAAAATCGCAATTATCTTTTAAAATGTTTTATTCCATGGCGAAAACCAGCTTCCATAAAACACTAAGATGAATTTTCTAACCAGCTTTGTTCTCCTCCTCTGCCAGTGTCGAGAGGTGCAAGTACATGGACTCTAAGATGAAACCTCTGTGGATAGTTTACAATAACAAGCTGTTGGGAGGAGACACAGTGGACATCATCTTCAAAAATGGAGACGGTGAGGGAGAGACGGCTCGGGTGCTAGACACAAGGCTGTCACAGAATCACATGACAGTACTTTACAAATCTCTCTTTTTCAGACCTGAGGCAGGACATGTTGACTCTGCAGATTTTGAGGTTGATGGATCTGCTATGGAAGGAGGCCAACCTGGACCTCAGGTAGAGAGTGTGTGTGTTAAACTGTTAAAGTCCTCATGAAATCAAAATAGTGCCCATTTACTTAGTTAGCACACATACTGGTCGTAGGGTGAACAATTCATCCGTACAAGTTAAGTTCATCAAAAATTCCTGGAAAAAAAATTGTACATAAGTGTTTTCAACATTGATACGTTTCTTAAGCAGCAAATCAGCTTCTTAAAATGATTTCTGAAGGATACTGACACTGAAGACTGGAGTAATGATGATGAAAATTCAGCTTTGATCACAGGAATAAATTACATTTTAAAATATATTCAAAGAGAAAACTTTATTTGTATTTTTAATCCAATAAACTTTAACATTACATTTTGAACTGCAGTGTTAAATTGTGGTAGACACCAAAATACTCAATACATAACTATATATCTAATCTGAAATCCAGAGGAGTGCTTGTATTACCGTTTTATATCATGATATTGGTATGGCTCAATGGTAAAACACTAAGGCATTGTAGACAGCAGGATTTTCTCTAACGCTGCTTTGAAATTATGCATATTGTAAAAAGGTGCTATACAAATAAATTTGACTTGGCAAGTCTGATTGTCATTATTCAATTTGAGGATGATGTTACCAAAAAAAAAAAAGTTTCTTGCTCTATTTATTTCCCAAAACCTCCAAAAGCCTTCTTGGAAACCACATGATCCCAAGGTTGCGAAAAAAAAACCTGATAGTATGCACTACATCTACTTACTTTTATAGAAAATATTACACGTAATCATGTTGTTATAATAGTTTTTTTTTTCATAAGTGAATATTTGCACTCAAACATTGAAAATACATAGTGTCATAATAAAACCTCTAAAACCAAATAACAGTTTGCAAAGTATTTCTAAACTAATGAAAATAATGACACCGATTATACATGGGTTTCTGTACTTTTGAGTCTTGAAGTATCATTTCTTTTCTTTATTTATATTTCTACAATAATCTCTAATCTCTGTATAATCTATCTATATATATATATATATATATAATATATATATATATATTATCTATCAATAATACTAGGATAAAAGTTTTGGATATAAAGGAAATACATTCCCTCGGATAGGAATCGAAATAGATTAAAACACCTTTTTTAAAGTTACTTGAAAGTTCTAATTAATTAAGTTTTTTTTTTAAATAGACTGCAGCAATTAAAACTGAATTAATTTGAATTTTGTCAAGTTCAATGGCTTTTAGAGATCATTTCAAATTATGTTTTTTATGTCTCGCAGGATTGTGCCTTATGGTTGTCTGGCGACAGGAGATCGCTCTGGTCTGATTGAGGTTGTGTCTTCAGCTGATACCATCGCGAACATCCAGAAAACAAGCAGCAACATGGCCGCTGCTGCCGCCTTCAATAAAGATGCGCTACTGAACTGGCTCAAAGACAAGAACTCTGGGTTAGACTTCTGATATCTCTTATCAACCGTATTTGATTATTTTAATACATTTGTTCATCTTAATTTCGAAAGCCTTTGGATATTGAAATTTTCTTCCCCATAATTTCCACAATTAAAAAAACAATCATAAAAATGTAAATAACGCGGAATGTCACAGAATTTGGCAAATTTCAGATGGATAAATCAAATGTAGGGCTGTACACTTAATCAAATCGTGATCTGGTCTGCTGGGCTTTAAAGTGAAAGCCTGTACCCATAGTTTAACCTGACCAAACCGGCACAGTTAAGCCAAACAACAGCCGATGGACTGGAAGTCATTCGTTTGCTATGGAGAGTCTTTGAACTTCGGATGCGTTTGGAAGGGACTACTTTGAATGAGACACGCCGATCGCATGTGATGTATTCCAATCAGATCGGTGTGACAATTATTAATAACTTTTGTTTAACTTTATCTGAAACACTTGATGATACATTAAAACTTTTAAAAATGCATAAGTAATCAATTATTAATGTAATATTAATATTGTTGAGCATTACCTGCCGATAGCCAACTAATTAGTTTAAATAATAACCGATGGTTGAAATAAAACTTAAAGGAGTATGTCACTTTTAAAAAAACTTTTGCTGATAATTTACTCACCCCCATGTCATCCAAGATGTCCATGTCTTTCTTTCTTTAGTCGAAAAGAAATTAAGGTTTTTGATGAAAACATACCAGGATTTTTCTCCAAATAATGGACTTCAATGGGAACCAAACGGTTCAAGGTCCAAAAGACAGTTTCAGTGCAAACTGCAAACTGTTCAAAGGGCTTTAAACGACACCAGACGATGAATAAGGGTCTTATCAAGCGAAACGATCGCTCATTTAAAAAAAAAAAAAAAACTTTTACGTTTTAAAAGTTCAAATGCTCGCCTTGCTCTGTTCTGTGATGCACGTCTTTGTGACTCTCCTGTTCGAACTCCATGTTCGTTCATCAAAATGAACGAATCTTTTTCCGAGTCATTTGGTTCATTCAACGAATGACTCTGGGAAAAGATTCGTTCATTTTGATGAAAGAGTTCGAATAGGAGAGTCACAAACGCGCATCACAGAACAGAGCAAGGAGAGCATTTGAGCTTATAACACTTAAACTTTGCTTTTTTTAAATGAGCAAACGCTTCGCATCATAAGACCCTTATTCATCTGGAAACTTGATTCACCGCTTCATTTCCCCTTTAAAGCCCTTTGAACACTTTGAATTTTGCACTGAAACCGTCTTTTGGACCTTGAACCGTTTGGTTCCCACTGACGTCCATTATATGGAGAAAAATCCTGGAATGTTTTCATCAAAAACCTTAATTTCTATTGACTGAAGAAAGAATGACATGGATATCTTGGATGACATGGGGGTGAGTAAATTATCAGCAAAAGTTTTTTTTTTTGCTACTCCTTTAAGTAAAACTCAAAGTAAAGAGCTGAACTTTATTACAAAAATAAACAGACTGATGCATGAAAATGTATTGAACTTTCAAATGAAATGTATTGATAAAATATTTTAATTAAAACATTACTGTAAATGTAAACTCTAAATGTCTCATGTAAATTTAATAAGTAACACTTCTCAATAAGCTTCCATTTGTCAACATTATGCATTAGCTTTCATGAACTAACTATATGAAATATTTTTACAGCGTTTATTAGACATCAGCATCTGATTCCGCTCCGTCCCAAGCCAAAACAAATACCACGAGGCGTGATCGTTATTATTTCGCCTCTAGTAACAAATCATTTTTTTGTAAATATTGTGAGAAACTCCTTATTTTTGACAATTTTGTGTAAGTGTCATTTGCTATCATTAAATTTTAAATATGCATGACAATTGTAACAGAAAACAATTTTGCACAATACTGAACTCCAAACCATTCGAATAGCAGGCCACGTATCTCTTATTGTTAGAGATGATTACTTATTTATTTATTTTTAATGTTAAAACTGTTGCAAAGAAAACTTCTAGATCTAGTCTCCTAGCAGTTCTTGACGTTATAGAAATTCTAGTTGGCAGTACTCGTGTTCTCACTGTCTGTGTCAACTGATCGGTGATGTGATATGTTGACACAGAGATGCTTTGGAGAAAGCCATTGAGGAGTTCACTCTATCGTGTGCTGGTTATTGTGTTGCCACCTACGTCTTGGGAATCGGTGATCGGCACAGCGACAACATCATGGTTCGCAGTACAGGGCAGGTATGTTGGGAAAGCTTTCTACAAATGACACCATGTATGCTGCTTTAAATGCCATTTTATTGTCCCTTCTGTTAATTAAAATGGTATAAAATTTGGTTGTTTTTAGATTGACAAGATATTTACAAACCTATGTGTGTGTGTGTGTGGTTCAGCTCTTCCACATAGACTTTGGCCATATCCTAGGAAACTTTAAGTCCAAGTTTGGGATCAAGCGTGAGCGTGTTCCTTTCATCCTCACACACGACTTCATCCATGTGATTCAACAGGGAAAAACGGGCAACACTGAGAAATTTGGAAAGTTAGTGACTGACTTTGTCTAATTAATGCACAATTCCATTCCATTTTATGATAAAGGACACTAATCTAACATTGTGCTTTGTATATATGTAGTTTTAGGCAATACTGTGAGGACGCTTATCTGATTCTAAGGAAGAATGGAAATCTGTTCATCACACTCTTTGCTCTGATGCTCACAGCAGGACTGCCAGAGCTTACGTCTGTCAAAGATATCCAGTATTTAAAGGTAAGCGTACACTGACGGCGCAGAATTTCCTCTCCTTCGAAGTATTGTACTTCGCAAAATCAAAATGTGATGCGATCTTGGAAAACCCACCACATGGTGAAATTGAACATATTACAGGTTTTGAGACCATATTAAAGCTGGGTTCAAGCCCTTTCCAAATCTGTTTTTATTTATTTTATCGTTTGTCTGTAACAAAAGTTATGGTTATCTGAAGTCAGCTGATCGCTGTGATTTTCAGAAACAGAATTTTGAGAAAAGCAGGTTTAATTGACGGTCACGTCCTGCTAGCGGGACGACTGGCGCTCCCTTATTTATTGCCTTTTTTGTCATATCACATATTTTAGTAATCATCATAGATTAGGAAAGCTTACGAACTCAAAAATCAACCTGTGAAAACCGTTTTGAAATTGGACGATTGAGAAGCGAGCTAGGTCTTTTAAACGAGCAGCTTCAAACTCTGTTGTTCTCTTGTCAGTCCCTCCAGAAAAACGCGATTATGCGATCGCTGAATTCAATGCAAAGTCCGCATATTTATGCGGGGGCCGCATTTTTTCAAATACGCCGCACTTTCGCCGCATAAATTGCCGATTTCCGTGCAAAATATGCGGGGTTTGCATAATTTCATAATCCTCGCATTTTCGTTGCAAAAAAAGTCACATGTATCTTAGCAGAAAGTTGAAAAATTTTGCGTTTGCTTCACACAAGAGCAGCCATTTCCCCCTGTTTCCATGGGAACGTTATGAAGTGACGCAATTACGCGACGCCAGACAGACTCACAGAGGCGATTGACATCTCACAAATCGAACTCGTATAACTGTCCGTCACACGTTCTACCGTCACATCGTTACTTAATAAACAACATAAGATATAAGAAGTAGCATCAAACAGAAATTACCCGCACACATGGGGCGTTCGAGGCGCACATATAACACTGCAGAGAGTTCAACAGGGAGCGCGCAGCTCTTAAAGGGGCCACACCTTATTTACACTCGTTACAGTCTGAAATAAAACAAGATGAGAAATTAAATATTCCCAGCACTTTCTATGATGTAGTATTCTTGCTTATCAAAGGAAGTAATAAGAAATTACTCTTACATTAGCCTAGTGACAACGGGATGTTGGGGGAATCACTTTTTTTTTCTCTTTTTCATCAAACTGCAACTTTTTGCAAGTTCCCTCAATTTTTGCAAATTCCTGCAATTTCATCGCATAAAATTGCATAAATTTACGGTATGATGCTGGCAACCACAGCTGCCAGTAGTTTACCGCCTAATCCATCAATTTTTGCCCGCAACAATCACAAAAAAACTCCGCATTTTTCTGGAAGGACTGAATACTATTATGGTAATTGTTATATATAAATCGCAAAATTTTTCACAAATTTTTGGAAATTACCACCACAAAATCAGTCATTTTGATCGCAAAAATCACAAAAAAAAATCGTGAAATCCTGGAGGGACTGTCTTGTGGTCCACATCACACCGCACGATAACGCTGGATAAAAATAAATTAATAAAAACTTGTGTGCCGTTGTAGTTCACCCAGCACTGGACTTTATTCTGTTGTGTGTTTTATTTTGATAGGTGAACTGTCTTTCTAGTGTTAAGAGAAGGAGAGCTAAAGGGAGATATTGTGTTTTGCCCTTCCGCTCCACCTCAGCCGTCTTTTCAGCTGGCCATTATAAATCGCTATTTTTCTCCACTAAACTAGTGAATTTTCCCAAGTTATATTCAGAATGATAAACAAGATGTTATATAATAGTAATTTAATAAAAACCAAATTTTGACAAAAAACTGACATTCAGTTTATATTTAGACTTTACTGAAAACGTACCAGTGCGACATCCGACGGGTTTTCCCAGATCGCATCACAAATGGTCATTTATTCATTCTCAAACTCTTAAAACTCAAAGAGGCTATCAAGCTCCAACAACACTGACAAAATGAATCCACACAAATGAATCTCTCTTCAGAACTCACAGTTCCCCTCCTTTTAACTCTGGCAATCGGCAAGAAAACAATATTACTCAATTGAAAAGTACGAAAGGTCATAAGATGGCTTCACATTAAGAGAGATATGCAGCTGGATTTAGATTTCAGTTACAAAGACAGTCTCACACATTCACTTCTCTGATCCTTAAACATTAACATGCCTCACATATGTATTTATATTTGTATACATTCCATTAATCATAAATACAATTACTCAGTAATATTATTTATGAGATGTGTTTTCTCTATTTTTCCTCCTTCGTCTTTCACTCTCCTTAGTATGTGGTTTTTTTTTGTAACTGTTTATTATCTTCTCTTTTCCTTCCTGTCTCTGGGAAGTTGGGAGGGAGAATAGATAGAGAAGAGATAGAGAGTAGATAGAGTTAGGGGAGTAAAAGAAAAAGAGGAAGAGAAGCTAAAACGTGTAAGCCCAATGTCAGTTACAGTATATTTAAAGGGATACTCCACTTTTTTTTTTTTGGAAATAGGCTCATTTTACCTCTCGCCCAGAGTTAAACAGTTGAGTTTTACCGTTTTTGAATGTATTCAGACGATTTTCTGATATTTAGAAGAATATCTGTAACCAGACATTTTCTGGTCTCATTGACTTCCATAGTATATTTTTTTCCTACTATGGAAGTCAATGAGACTGGTTAATGATATTCTTCTAAATATCAAAAAATCGGCTGAATGAATTTGAAAACGGTAAAACTCGACTGTTTAGCTCTGGGGGAGTGGTAAAATGAGCCTATTTCCAAAAAAAAGTGGAGTATCCCTTTAACATGCTACTATGTTGATATGTATCTTTGTTTAAATGTCTGTTGTGACTACTTTATTATGAGAAATGGTCTTAAAGGACAAGTTCAGTGTTTTACAATTAAAGCCCTGTTTTATGATTGTTTCTGATGAAATAGAATGGTTAAGATTGTTTTTTTAGACAGATGCTGCTGTCCTGAGAATTTTCAGATTCTGTCAGATTCTTCTACAATGGTAGCATTGGTGCAATCCTTCATAAAACGCATAAAACTTTAGTTTACAAAGAAGTGAAACTCTGTATTACTCCGCCGGCGGAAACGGAAATGGGGTTGTTTGTATTATTTCTGTAGTCTTATGCAGTCACGGTATCGTAGGCTACACTATATACAAGTGGTTTGCTTGCAGTTGGCAAAGGTGCATTATCGCCATCAACTGGGCTGGAGTGTCTATTATTCAAGCGGAAGAATGTACGGTTGTGAGGCGTTCGGAAAAATAGGTCTACAGTTTTACAACGAATGGTTAAACACCTGTTAAAAATCAGCGATTTTTGTGTGAGCATATCATTGAACACCCCAGACCACTCAGTGAATCTCACGTCTTTGTAAACTAAAGTTTTATACGTATTATAAAGGATTGTTCCTGTGCACCAATGCTACCATTGTAGAGGTGTGGGGGTGCTACCACAGAATCCGAAAATTCTCGGGACAGCATATTTCATCAGAAATGATCTTAAAACAGGGCTTTAATTGTAAAATACAGAGCTTGTCCTTTAAAATTACTGGAATCATGTGATGGTTATAAATAGTTTTAAACGTTGTAAAGGTTAAGCACTGTTCTTAAATGCCACAGTACTACTTTATGGACAGTCTGGCAGGAATTGCTCTGAATTGAAGAGGCTTCACACACAGATGTTTGATGAACAAACACCCCAACAAGTCAAAAATGAAGAAAAGAACATCACACAAATGAAACCATTAACATTGAATTTGGTCAATGCATTAACTGTGTAAATGAGATGCCATTCAAAATAGATGGAGAAATAATGATGGAGTGACAGCAGCTGTGTGTTTGTTTTCCAGGACTCTCTGGCATTAGGTAAAACTGACGAGGAGGCCCTCAAACAGTTCCGGCAGAAGTTTGATGAAGCTCTGCGAGAGAGTTGGACCACCAAAGTCAACTGGATGGCCCACATTGTGGCTCACCCTTCATAAACACTAACATCTGGCCACACAAACATCTCTCCAACTGAAGTCAGGGTTCAGCAAAGTGCAGATTTATGACCTTAGAAAAACGATGGCCAAATCTCATGGATCTAAATGATCTTCAGAGGTCTGCAGGAATAAAGGAAAAACTCGGCATCGAAAATCGACTGTCTCTGACTACAGTAGAGCCGTTGGATGCAATTGCCGTAGAGAAGGTGACAAAAGAATGAACGTCTGCATTTTCTTCCTACACTGAAAAATCAAAAAACAATGAATAACTCCAGTTTGTCCTTCTGGAGGGAAAGCGGAGTTCCTAAACCTTTTACGTTTTTTTGTTGTCGTCGTTGTTGTTGTTTTTGTACAACCGTGTTAACGTATCGGGACTTTTGAAAACGGACCAATCAGAGCACAAGCTCAGAGGAAGTGCATCTTATCAGACCAAAAGGTAAACATGTGCCTCACTGCACAAGAGACGTTTTGACTTTTTTTTTTAGACAACTGTATGTGCCAGACTACTTTATTATGAGAAATGGTCTTAAAAACACTGGAATCATGTGATGGGTATAAATATTTTAAACGTTTTAAACGTTGTAACTGTTCATATATGCCACAGTACTACTTTATGGACAGTCTGGCAGGCTTCACACACAGATGTTTGACGAACAAACACCCCAACACCCCTCCTCTCGACTCTCGTCTAGCTTGAGCAGATCTCATGTTTGTTGTATGGTGCTAGCCATCAAATATATTCCTTCTTGTCTAAATGTTAAATGTAAGCACAGCATTGTAGCCAAACTTGTGGTTTAATGGTACAGTGCTTGTTTTGGTGCCTGTTCATTTGAGAGAAATTCACAGATTTAAATGGGCTTAAAACTACATATGCCTGCATATTGAAACTCAAGAGGCCTATTTAGTCAAACACAAAAGACTCAGCGGACCAAAAAGGGGAGGCCGTGACAGCTTCTGTCTTCTGACAGCTCAGACAGTATAATAATAATGTCTATATTTGAAAGCACAGACGGTTTTTACTGCTGATAACCTGCTGTCTCTAGTGCTGCTTTTCTTGTTGGCTGTGTGACTAGAGATGTGTAGATGCACTGAGCATGATATTTTTACACTGATTATGCGTATGTGTGAACGGGAGGGAAGACTGTGATATATAGTGAGATTATTACGAGCGATGCCGAGAGTTTAGCGCCAACATTCCAGAGAATTGTACATTCATTTACTGTGCTGTTATGGCATATAAGAGAGTAAGACTTAAGATTTGTGTCTATCAAATAAATTAGGATTTATACTAGAGCAGGTTGTTCTCCAATGTCCATTGGCTCTACTCCATATGCTATTATGGGATGTTTTGATGCCTTAGTGCAATATGCAGACGTGCAACTGTAAACCTGTTATGAGAGTGTGTGCGTACGTGTGCACTCGTGCTGCTGTGTGTTACACTGATGATAATGCAGGCTTTGCTCTGTCTCGCCCGTTTCATAGGAATTAAAGTTGTTTTCATTGAACTCTATCATTTTTGTGGGATTTGGAAAAAAAGATTTAGTTAAAATCACTGCAGCTGTGCAAAATTCTTAGACATGTTAGTATTTATTTTCACCAAAAAATACTTTCATTTTTATATTTTGCTGTAGTGAGTCAGATCAGTTTACATTTCCAAACATTAATTTTGCCATTAATTGTAATAACCCTGTGAGATTTTTGTATACACAACAGCCGGTGCTCCACATGGAGATCTGATCTGAAGAAACGAGACAGACTAAATCCAGAAGGACTGTTCATACCGGCTGTTGTCATATGAAAATCTCACTGGATTATTACAAGCAATGGCAAAAGTAGTGTTTGGAAATGTAAAACTTATTTTTCCTACTGTCGCACTACTTTTGCACAGTATTGTAGATTCATAGAAAAGACTTGAAATCTGTTTTTAAAAAGGAGACATAGACATCCAAAATGATGACTTTTACATTACAGAGCTGTGCTGGTATATATATATATATATATATGTATATGCAGTAAAGTATTCTGGAATTATTTTTGCTTTCTAATGCAGATCTTGGATAATAACTATGCCAACTATGTAGTGAATGTGAAGCTACGTCACACTGCGTTGCATGCTGGGATCTCTTAAGAGGATCGCTCTCTGCTACTGTAATTATTACTGAGACCTGCACCTTTTGTTTAGTTTTTTTTCCATTAAATGAAACATTCGGTCATTCTCCGTGGCATTGTATGCAGGGAAGAGAAGCTATTTTATTGCATCACATGATCATTTGTTTGAATTGCAGAATTGCAGTCACTGGTTACCTTGAAAGCAGTCGCTGCTGTTTTAGCCAACACGGTAGAAATGTCCCAATAAAAATACAGTATGTGTTCAACCAGCTGATCCATTTCTTTGTCTTTGAGTTTTATTGTCATCATTGTAAATGTTTACTTTCCCATAGGGCCACGGTTGGGAATCAGAGGTTGTGTTGTGGGCCACATTATTTATATATTTCAACACACAACGACCAAAATTAAATCCCTAGTAGCTTGTGATCAGTTTTGTCGTGGTTGTGTGCAAGTTTTGCTAGTAGCCTACAAAAGCCAATGAACTGGGAGAGTCATGCTCGCAAAGCTAATGTTAAACCCAACAAAAGTTGGGACATTTTGTAAAATATAATTTAAAAAATCAAGAATCAGTGATTTGTTAATTCTCTTCCACTTTATTTAACTGACGGAAGTACAAAGAAAAAAGGTCCACATTTTTATTTTGATGGCTCCCAAAAGGTTGGGCCAGAGGCATGTTTTACCAATGTCACATATCACCTTTCCTTTTCATTACAGTTTTTAATTGTTTGGGGATCGAGGATACTAAACTTAGCGCAATCTCGCCTGACACGAGACTGTGGTCGTCCATTTTCATCCACTGTACGGTGTAGAGTTCCTAGGATCCCAACTTTTCTGTTGCAGCCGTCAAAATCAAAAATTTTTTGATTACAAAATACAAGTTGGCCAGTGAAAAGATTGGAAAACTTCTTTGTACTTTTGTCAGTTAAATAAACATTAAACAGAATGAACTAATTGGGTTTTTTTACTTTTAACAAAATGTCCTAACTTTTCTCGATTTGGGGTTGAAACTTTCAAAAACACTGTGATAGGTAGTGGGTTTAATCAGACATTATGAATAGATTTCGTATCTGGCGTCGTCCTGTCCATGGTTTTGACAAATAAAGGGAAAAAAAATAAATTTTAATATAGTTTAACCATAGTATCCACAAATGAACCATGATTTTGCTACATTATCCAAAGTAGGAATATTTGTAGTAAAACTGTAATAATACACAAATCCACAGTGTTGTGCAGGTTGTGGTTAAAGTCATGGGATAAGGGCGTAGAGTTTTGAAAACTGTGTTCAAGCAATGAAAAACGAACTAGAGTTTGGTAACTGAGTTACAACAATAAAGGCAATGCTTTTCGTACGAATTAATTTCGGACTGGACTGCTCTGCATTTTATGATAAACTCTTGAAAGACAATTAAGCACACGCTGGCAAAAATTAGTTCCAGTGAAAAATACAAAACGGAAACAGTGAATGATGCTGTTGCACCATCTTGTTCCCACTGATCGGCAATTTTATGTAAGTCTACTTTTTTTTTTTTTTTTTTTTTTACATAGCAATATTATAACAAAAAAGTGTAAATACTTGTATGTGGTCTGTGGGTTCTGTGTCTGTCTCATATTCCTCTCTGAGAAATCTGGTCACCCTACTCTTAAGCTATAAACTAAAGGTTAAACCATGTGAATTGGACCATATATGGCACTAAATACATTTTTAGTGGGGGGACCTCACACAAAAAGCAGCCTAGGGGCCCCTGACAACCTTAATCTGCCCCTGTACACACAGTACCAGAAAAATACAAAACAGTTCACTTGAATAAAATTGTAAAACGCATGTAGTTACGTAGGGCAAATAAGTTCTGTCAAAAAATGTCTTGATTTTTTTGCAGTATTAAATAAAGTATACGGATAAAGTATAGGCCCTGCGGTAAAGACGGAGTATTAAATACTCGGAATAACGAATAATATTTTCTCATCATGTGGGGTAGAAACGGTACAGTTGTTTTGGACTTTATATCGTTTCTCCACTTTCCACGACATAACGTCAGCATGGGATTCCACGTGAGGCGCCTTGGCGGTTTACATAAAGAGACTGGCGGAGCCACTCACAAATGAGCGCATGTTGACGTCACTCAGTGGGGTTTACCCATAGTTTACCATGGGAACCCTTGTGCGCCAGCCAATAGGAGGTAGAAGGGGAGGGGCCAGAATTCAGGTCAGAGCGCGAGCCACTCCTGCTTCAGAAGAAATCCAACGGGGAAGTATTGTATTATACACTATGCGTGTCTCACTCTGACAAAAGTAACCCAGGAAAACATTGATACCAAAAAAATCCTGGGATAAACGTGGATAAAGCGTGCTCTTGCAGGTTTGTGACTTTAGACTACTTATTTTGTTAACATAGATAGACGTTCAAAAAGCGTTGCATAACCTTTTGGGTACTGCGCATGCGCTTGTACTTTAAATCGTTTTGTGTAGTCTTCTTATATTTTTAAGGTGTAATGGTTGTAATACACTAAATATGCGATATTATACGCGTTTTCCGTATTCCTGCGTGTATGCCATTTAAGAACAGCTCTAAAACGAATCGGTATCGGTGGTGGCACGACTTTTACATAACGGTAACGTTAACTGTGTCAGTGTACCGTGCAGTGCATTGCAGGTCAACGTGTTTTCAGTCCACGTAAGTCACATTGAAGTCTGTCTACACTGTTAGATAAAGAATATATGCAAAAATATAATAAGAAATACAAATAAAATGTTATAAAAACCTATCATGTCTTTCACAATATCTTTATTACCTTTATGAGCAGTACAGACTCGTGAAGAATGAGGAATTAAGTTAAGCCAGTGAGAATTGTCTTTACATTATATGAACTAAAGAGTTTTTGAAACTGCTCTTCATTAATTATTAGCCATGAGTGTCAGTATCCCCCTGTCATTAACTAATGTTAATTTAAAATTTAAAAACACACATTATAAAAGTGGTGTATTCAAGCCATAAATTGCATTTTAAATGTATTTTGAATTGATTAATTGATTCAGACAGAAAAATTAACATCATGTTATTGACTCTCATGCCAATGGAAGTTTATTTCAGTTGTATAGCCAAAGATAATTTTATGACTTATGAGGTTAATTAATGGCTTCCATTATTTATGAATGTACTTATCTTACCTTATGCATTTTTCTCAGCTACTACAACAGTTTAATGGGATCAGGGGATCAGGTGAGCCCGAGCCGAAGCACTACATGTACATGGGCGCGTCTCCTGAGGAGGGCAAGCCGGAGTCCTCGTGTGTTTCCATGTCTCACCTGCATCGCATGCGTGAAGCCTCTGCCGGGAGTGACAGCAGTCATGACCCGCACACCTCTCCCAGACCTCAAACACAGATGCATGAGGACATGGAGATGGGTGGAAATGGCTCCAGTGGAAGTGGCACAGAATCTCACAGTAACGAGTCGCAAAGTAATGAATCCCACTGTAATGAGTCTGTGGGAAGTTCCAGTGGAAATGGAAAAGATTATGGAACCATGGCATCATCTGGGAGTAACAAGAGGTGAGATTCATTCAGAGAACACGGCAAGTATGAATAATAATGCCATCTTGTCAGAAGTAGTTGTTTTGTGTCTCACTTAAATTTGTTGTTCTCTTCACCTCGTATTTTTCTTCTATAGCTCAAACTGTCAAAGTCTTTCCCCTCCCAGTAGCAACAATGCTTTCAGCCTGATCAGTTCAGAGCAAGACAACCCATCAACCAGCGGCTGCAGGTAACACCACCACAGTCATTAAATAGCTATACGATTCAACCACTTGCAGTGACCCCTCTAAGCATCACAGTGTGTGTTCAGAGGGATTAATAACTGTGTCATTGTGCATGTGTGTTGACTCTGCAGTAGTGAAGAATCAGCAAAGGCTAAGACTCAGAAGGAGCTTTTTAAGTCCCTAAAAGAGCTGAAATATCACCTCCCTCCCGACAAGCGCAGCAAGGGCCGGGCAAGCACACTTCACACTCTCAGATATGCCCTGCGCTGCATCAAACAAGTCAAAGGTCAGACAACCACTAACAAATTCATTTCTGCAGTTTGTATGTGTTTGTGGATGCATAATGTGTAAGCTTGGCATGTTTTTTCTTGGTTTTTGCAGCCAATGAAGAGTACTATCAGATGCTTATGATCAATGACAGTCAGCCCTCCGGTCAGGACGTGCCCTCATACACCATTGAAGAAATCAACAGTATTACCTCAGAATATACACTCAGAAATGCTGTGAGTTGCACACACACACACACACACACACACACATTTAAAGGGTCCTTACTTATGTGTTTAAAAACTATAGTAGTAGAAACATAGTCCTAGACTATATGAGATGGACTGCATATGCAGAACCCGGATTAATCTATATCCACGTTTACATTACAGATTTGCGCATCTAAATGTCGATAAAAAACTATTGCAAAATGACGGCGTTTCCATCAAAGGTGCTATATGTAACTTTTCTTCTAAAATGAATCCTTTTTTTACTGCCTGTGTGTGAAAGGGTTGTAATCACACATCACACGTCATCTTTAGAGAATGATCGATTTTTACGTACGCCAGGTGACCTGTAAATGTGAAAAACTGTTTCCATTGCTGTTTTGCGAAATATTTTTGAATTGCCTGAAAAACCACCTCATGCGAGCGTAAAAAAAAAAGGTTTGGGATATTTGGGAGTTTTTTTTTTTTTTTTTTCAAATTGACGTGTTTCCATTGGCCGTATTTTCAATTCGCTATTTTAATTTTTGCAGTTTGAAGGGTAATGGCTTATAACATACAACAGTGTTATTACACTAAAATAAGACTTGTACTTGGAAAGTATTGTATAATTTCTCTATAATCATTTTAATAAAAAAAATGGCTTTAGTTTCATGTTTTTAAGTCCAACATAAAACAGAGTTTCATATTGGTGGTTTAGTTGAACAAGATAGCTGGACATAGACACAGTTCAGTTCCTCACCTTTATTGCTATTGACTTTTGGCTTGCTTAGTTGGGGACATTAAAAAAGTAACCTTTAATTTAATATTCAATAATATTATTGATCTGCCTGCATTGACACCATTATATGAGAACTGAACTGAGCTGAAGGATAACATCACGGTTTTCTGCAGAGTGGCTATACATATAACTAAATTAATAACTTTTTTACAACAAAAATGAACCATCACTGAACTTAAGCGGGACTGTGACGCTATTTTCTTTTGTTAACAAACTTTGTTGCATTATTTTCACTGTAAAGCTGATTTGAAACAATTTGTATTGTAAAATGCGCTATATAAATAAATGTGACTTGACTTGACTCATTATGGGACAGAAGAACATAAACCCAATGTTTGAAACTGTTTTTGTGTGTGAAGGATATTTTTGCAGTTGCGGTGTCCCTGATCACGGGGAAGATTGTGTACATTTCCGAACAGGCTGCAGGAATCTTGAACTGCAGAAAGGATGAGTTCAACGACAGGAAGTTTGTGGAGTTTCTGGCTCCTCGTGACGTCAGTGTGTTCTACAGTTTTACAACTCCATACAGGCTTCCATCTTGGAGCATGTGCACCGGAACAGGTCAGCTACCAATGCAGAGTGCACTGAACTGATTTAAACTACTTTAGTGCTGTCAATGGGTAAAAAATAATAATTAATCACACTTTTCTGTAATTAATAGCAATTAATTGTGCCTAACATTAACATGTTTCATATATTTTTATATTGTTATACATAATTTCACATTGAATCTCCAAATCAATGTCAGTGAATAAATGCATCAAAGAGTCAAATCAAAAAGTGGTGGGGACAATATCAATAATGGCAAAAAAGTGGTGGCAAATGTCCCACCTACAAATTACGCCTATGATATACCGCCACTGATATCTCTTAAAAAAAAAACAAGTCTCAGTTTCTGGAGATGAAATGAGTTCTTATAGCCATTCAGCTTTACTGTATAAATTGAAAGCCATCATTTTTAATATTTAATTGGCTTTATATAATATAACATCTTTTAATTTAAGTGAACTTAAAACAGTCATAGCAGGGCTCAACGCTAAGGTTTTTTTTTCTACCGTTCTTCCTACATGGATTACTCGGTAAGCTGGATTTCATGGTTGACGATTTGACATGATAAAGGATTGTAAGGTTCATCCTGGAGTTGCTGTCATAGCAACATGTCTGTAAGCTCAAACCTGCTCGGAAGCAGCTTATTTCATGTAAACAAGATTAGATTGCATCTTTTTAAGTGGAGGTGATACTTAAAGTCTCTCCCAGCCACTGCTACTTTCTTTCAAAAAGTACCCTATTGAACCAGGACATTAATAATGATTTAAAAATAAATTTGCGAACAATATCATAATATACAATTTAATCCAGATATTTTAATCAAATACACAAATTCGTTTGAAGAACCATATAAACCTGAGATCAGTTATCATGATTAGAAGATTTGGCATATATGGAGTAAGCTTCTATGACAATATCTCTGGATACATGCTATCGTCTATAGGCACAATCCAGGTAGATATTTCACACGTATAGCGTGAGCAGTGAAGTCGCAGCTCGATGATCGGACCGTATAGTGTGAGCACATAAATCCTGAACTTTGGCTTCTATACACATCGCATGTGATTTACTCGTTCAGTGCGAGTAGGTAGGTACCATGCTGAATTCGCACAGACATCGCACAGTGTATGCCTGCCTTAAACTGGCTTGGTTTTTTTAGTGTCATGTTTGACTGCATGTTAGAAATATGACTAAGTCAAAAGAATGGTCCAAAAAGTTAAGAGAAGATATCATCTACCTTCGCAAACAAGAAACGGGATACCAAACAATAGCGAAGGCACTACATGTTCCTAGAGACATCGTTGGAAGCAGAGTTTGCATGTTCACAGTTAAAGGAACAGTGGTTACACTACCTCAACGGAGCAGAAAAAGGAAGCTATCAATGGCTGCAATCAGATTTCTGCAGATACACACTTGAGTGACTGCAAAAGACTGAGGTTTCAGCTTGCACAGTAAGGCTCGTAATAAATGCATACCAGAACTCCAGGACGTATACCACTTCTGACCCAAAAGCGCAAGAAAATGATGCTCAATTTGCTACATTGGCCATCAGGTACTGACTTGAACCCCATAGAAAATCTCTGGTGGGATTTGAAGACGAAACTCAAGAATTTTACTGAACTGGATTCCATTGATCATGAGGAATGGGCCAGATTCTTCAGAAACCGGACAGAAGCTGATGTCTGGTTATGCAACTCGTTTGCAGCTGGTCATAACAGCAAACGCTGTTTTACTAAGTACTAAAGATGTTTGCCATGAAGGGGTTAAATAAGTCTGAGACTGCAGAAGTCGTTAAAAGTTACATTTTCAGTTTAATTTGGGAAGCCACTTGAAACATTTGTGTTGAGCTATTTCAATTACTTTTGTTTGATTTGTTCATTGCAATCAGCTGAAAGTCTAAATTTTGCCAACAAGCCTGATTTGCAATCCTATTTAAATCCAAACAGCGACTTTTTTTTTGGTCCGGGCAGTATATACAATAACAGATAAAATAACAGTAATTCCAGTGAAAGTCTTGAATCCAACTAATTTAAAATTCTTATTGGATTGGTGCATCCCTTATTTGTTGTCAAGTATTTTAAAAATTATTTCTTGTTTTGTTCTTCAAATAGTTCTCTCTAAACACAAGATCAAGGTTCCTCTTTGCCTGGCTAGTAGACCACTGTGGACATCCACTTTTTCTGTGATCCTGGTTCTGGAGATTTTCCCCATTTATTTTTTTTCCCCAAATCAGCTCTGGTCTGGAAGAATCAAACCTTTACAACATTTGGTTTAAGGTCAAATAAGTTTTTAAAAATAGAAGAAGACTGTCTGATTAAAACAATTACTCAAATAACAAAACTGTTTTAAACATTTACAAAATCTGGCTTTAGTATAAGGGATATGTCTGTGAGGAAACAGGTAGAGGGAGATTTTCTCATTTATTCACTCTCTTTATCTCTCTCCATTTTTTTCACGTTCATTCTGATCACATTCATCTCTTTCACTGTTTTCCAGAGTCGTCATCCACTGAGTTCATGCAGGAGAAATCTTTTTTCTGTCGCATCAGGTCAGAGAAATTTATAAATGTTTATAAATATTAGTGCAAATGTAACGTTTAACTGTCATTATTTAATATATGTATTACATATATATACACTCACCTAAAGGATTATTAGGAACACCATACTAATATGTTTGACCCGCTTTCGCCTTCAGAACTGCCTTAATTCTACGTGGCATTGATTAAACAAGGTGCTGAAAGCATTCTTTAGAAATGTTGGCCCATATTGATAGGATAGCATCTTGCAGTTGATGGAGATTTGTGGGATGCACATCCAGGGCACAAAGCTCCGGTTCCACCACATTCCAAAGATGCTCTATTGGGTTGAGATCTGGTAACTGTGGGGGCCATTTTAGTACAGTCAACTCATTTGTGACATGGTGCATTATCCTGCTGGAAGTAGCCATCAGAGAATGGGTACATGGTGGCCATAAAGGGATGGACATGGTCAGAAAAAATGCTAAAGTAGGCTGTGGCATTTAAATGATGCCCAGTTGGCACTAAGGGGCCTAAAGTGTGTCAAGAAAATATCCCCCACACCATTACACCACCACCAGCAGCCTGCACAGTGGTAACAAGGCATGATGGATCCATGTTCTCATTCTGTTTACGCCAAATTCTGACTCTACCATCTGAATATCTCAACAGAAATCGAGACTCATCAGACCAGGCAACATTTTTCTAGTCTTCAACTGTCCAATTTTGGTGAGCTCTTGCAAATTGTAGCCTCTTTTTCCTATTTGTAGTGGAGATGAGTGGTACCCGGTGGGGTCTTCTGCTGTTGTAGCCCATCCGCCTCAAGGTTGTGCGTGTTGTGGCTTCACAAATGCTTTGCTGCATACCTCGGTTGTAACGAGTGGTCATTTCAGTCAAAGTTGCTCTTCTATCAGCTTGAATCAGTCGGCCCATTCTCCTCTGAGCATTAACAAGCCGTTTTCGCCCACAGGACTGCCGCATACGGGATGTTTTTCCTTTTTATCACACCATTCTTTGTAAACCCTAGAATTGGTTGTGCGTGAAAATCCCAGTAACTGAGCAGATTGTGAAATACTCAGACCGGCCCGTCTGGCACCAATAACCATGCCACGCTCAAAATTGCTTAAATCACCTTTCTTTCCCATTCTGACATTCAGTTGGGAGTTCAGGAGATTGTCTTGACCAGGACCACACCCCTAAATGCATTGAAGCAACTGCCATGTGATTGGTTGATTAGATAATTGCATTAATGAGAAATTGAACAGGAGTTCCAAATAATCCTTTAGGTGAGTGTATATTCTTACATTCAGAATATATCTGAATGTTACACTTATGTTACTTATGTAAACTAGATGTGCCTGACCCCGTAAACCTGCACTTTATCAAATGGTCTTTTGCTATCTGATGGTCGGATTTACTAAACAGCAAATTAGCATGAGAGCAAAATCCCAAAGAATCGCAGATTGGGAGTGCAAGCTCTGCCGGTGATCTACTGACAATGTGCAAAATGAAAGAACACAGCAGCTGCCTTAATCAAGGGCACCTCAGTCATTTCCTGCCGCTATTGACAGTCAAACCCCCAACTTCGGTCTGACTCTCTAAACATTAGGACATGACTTCCCCTATATATTACTATATTTCCCTATATTACTGCCAATAATGTAAGGCAATGGACATGTCATTCAATGTACTGATTTAATAGAAAGCCAGTTATATATATATATATATATATATATATATATTATATTAAAAAGAAAGTAAGTTTTAATTGCAGTGGGAACATGTGTGTTGTTGCCTTGCACACTTACTTACTAGACCATTTCGTTTTAGCATTTAATGCTGGGGAGGAGTCTAGCATACAAGCCTCAGAAGGACTGGACTATGAAGGACATTTTCCTCACTAGGATAGAGCTTTCCACTTGAGAATCACACACAATCTACCAAAAGCTGCACAAATTAACGTAGATTTGCAAACAAGCAGAGCCGATGATAATCAGGTGCGGGTCATTTACTAACAACACAGGGACAGAAAATATCATGGCTTGGCAAACAATATTCGGATAATGTCTTCCTCTGGGGTTCCAAATAAATTAAGTTAATAGTGAGTAATAGAAATAAATGAAGTAAAGTAAATAAATGAAAAGTTGCACTTCACCAACTATCACAGCATTTCTGTTGCATTTTTTTTTTTTGGCCTTGAGATAGTGGCACAAATACCACTAATCTGACTACCGCAAAGTCGCAAACCTAGTAAATCATGTTTAATTACTTGAGTCTTATCACAAAAAACTGTGTTCTGTGTAGTAAATCCTAAAAGTAGTTTTTTTAAAGCAAAAAGAGGGTTTGTGTTGGCGCAAGTAAAATCTGGCCCTGTGTATTAGGATGTATTAGTAGAGCAGTGTTATTATGCTGTTTGTCAAAAGTCTAGTGATGCACGCAAGACTTGGTTTAAAATTATCTTTGTGTTTATGTTTTTATGCTGCATTCATGTCATAATTACTGTAGTTTCGAGAAGACAACATATGACGTTATATCCCAAGCTGTTTACGTCTTCGGGCCGCGAATTATGTGTTTTTATGGCACCTCTATCAATGGCTCAATGAATCTGCAGCGGTCAGGTGGTACAATTACGAGCTCTCAGACAATTTCCTTCTTACAAGCCGTAATTACAAGCTCTATGAGGACGTGAATGCTTTTCAAGTTGAAAGTACATAATAGTGGGCGGCATGGCATGAATACACCTGTTTTTTTGTGTTTAGTGGTGGTAAAGAGAAGGAAGGAGATCTGCAGTACTATCCCTTCAGGATGACTCCATATTTGATGAAGGTTCAAGATTCTGAGCTCTCCGAGGAACATTTCTGCTGCCTCATTCTGGCTGAGAGAGTTCACTCTGGATACGAAGGTAATCGCACTCAATGTTGCCCTTGACCTCATGTGGTTACGTTTCAAGCTCTGTTTGTGAATTTAACGAAGATCAATTTGATGAGCATGAATCAAATATAATGATAATAATATTGTCTTTTGATGTGTTTTTCTAAAATGCAGCACCAAGAATTCCACCCGATAAGAGAATCTTCACCACAACACACACACCAAACTGTGTGTTTCAGGATGTTGATGAAAGGTTTGAGTCTATATTAACTATGCAAATACACATGCAAATACTGTATTATGCATAACGTAAGATGGATTAATTTGCAACAATAAGGCAGTGATATATTTACATTTTTCCTCTGGTTAAAGGGTTAGTTCACCCAAAAATGAAAATTCTGTCAGTATTTACTCACCCTCATGTTGTTCCAACCCCATAAGACCTTCGTTCATCTTCGGAACACAAATTAAGATATTTAAGATATTAAGATCGCTCCTGCATACAGTCCATAGGCTTCTTGAGGGACTGGCTCTTGCTGTCCTCGAAAAGTCATTAAAGACATCGTTAAAATAGTCCAAGTGACTACAGGGGCTCAATCTTAAGTTTATCAAACGACGAGAACACTTTTGTGCGCAAAAAAACAACAAAAATAACGACTTTATTTCAACTATTCGTTTATTTCTCCCTCTGCGCGAGTCAGGTTACTAGTTTAATAGCGTAAGCTTCTGTTATTGTACGTCACACGCATCACACACACATGACCAGCGTCGGCCAATAGTGAGCCTACGTGTGACGTAGCTCTACGCAATCACACTACGTTAACTGACTTACAGGCTCATGGAGAAGGAAGTGAATAGTTGAAATAAAGTCGTTATTTTTGTTGTTTTTTTGCGCACAAAAGTGTTCTCGTCGTTTGATAAACTTAAGATTGAGCCCCTGTAGTCACTTGGACTATTTTAACGATGTCTTTAATGACTTTTCGGGACAGCAAGAGCCAGTCCCTCAAGAAGCCTATGGACTGTATGCAGGAGCGATCTTAATATCTTAAATATCTTAATTTGTGTTCCGAAGATGAACGAAGCGCTTACGGGGTTGAAACAACATGAGGGTGAGTAAATACTGACAGAATTTTCATTTTTGGGTGAACTAACCCTTTAAAACTTGTACACACTTCATGGCCTTGTGGTTGGTAACTTTGCCAAATGGCGTAATTATGCATTTTTGAATCTCAAAACTAAAGAGATTTAATAGGTTGCAGTTGGCTCAGTTCCAGCAAAACCACTTTTAGGGTAAGGAGGATGAGGCAGTCGAATAGATAGATATTTGTGTACTCTTTCAGATAACTGTTTTCTCTAAATACCAAATTTCAGCAAAGACTGATGGAGCTTATGTGGAAAAGCAATGATGTTTAAAGTAATTGAAGTAATTTGAATCTTTTTTCCCTTGCTATTTTGGTTTCCTGTCATAAATGTTAAGGATAGGGATTGTAAATCAGGGTAGAAGAAAAGCACAAAGCATACATAATACCTGTGTTGTAAACTTTGTCTTTGTCGAAGCAGAGATGAGGAGACGTTGGGATATCTTACAAGCAGTTTTTACTCAATTACTCTTTATTGAGGACTCGCTGTCATCCAACTTTAACTAATAGCTCAGCACAGTAGCGTTTATACCTTTCATGGGGGAGGAATTACATTGAGGTGGAGACAATCAGAACAAATCATGTAAATCCAGTGCAGGAGTCAGCCAGTGGCGGCTGCTGGTCTTTCTAAGAGGGGAAGCTCATTTTCGGTCTACATCAAAAAAATTGTCCATTGATTTAGAGAATATGTAAATTCTCCCCTACGTTCCTTTTCAAGAAAATGCTCGTACCAACTAGGCGTCTTTTCCAGTGACTTGACCATTATTATTTGAAGACTCTGAAATCGGTTGTTTTTTTGTGTGTTATATACATGTGTGGAACATATGTGAGGTCTACAGGTTAACGTTCAGAAGAAGCTTGGAGCATTTCTGTGACACCAAAAGTCTGCCTGGTGTCTGACATGACAAGTGATGAGAAGAAACAGGGCAGTTTTAAAAAAGTTGCTATGATGTGCTATGATTTTTAGATGTAAAGTAACTTGACAATGATGATTGGCCGTTGCATTGTACTGACACAACTTGCATGTGTCTGTATAGACCATTTCACAAGATGTAAACAACACTGGTCCAGAAGCACTTCCTGTTTCAGTTTTTTAACACTACATAAAAGCTGGGATAAAATACAACCAACAGAACATTTAAAACTGAATCAAAAAGTTAAACAAACATCTTTAAGATGTTTTCTTTACATGTGAAATAAAGAAAACAGTTACAAACTGAAACAGGAAGTGCTTCTGGACCAGTGTTGTTTACATCTTGTGAAATGGTCTATAGTGTTATTAAAAGTTGTTTAAAATCGCGATGATTTGACATTCTGTGACATCATTAGACAATTTTAATGAATGACAAATTAATATGCTCTGGAAATATCATTAGTGGTAATTTTTTTTTAAATGAATGGATGTTGTTATCCGGACACTGTGAAGTCTACAACTGTTCATATATAATGTTAAATTGTTGCATAAATTGGTCACATGTTACATTGTTGTGGTCATGTTGAAGAAAGATCTTCTTGAGTTTCTGTCATCTCAAAGCTAATTTTTTATTGCATGTTATATTCAGTCACTTTTTAGTAAAGACAGCTTCTGACATACTTTATGCTCATGTCATATCTGCCAAATTATAAAGTAACTAAATGAATGATACTCGTTTCAAATACACTCAATTTGTCTGCTTATTCTAGAACATTTTCTGTTAGAAAGAAGGTATCGTAGCTGTGCACTTTCTGTCTTCATAGCACTGACAGGTAAATTTATTTTCCCAGTAAGTGATATCACTGGGGGAAGGGCTACCTGTGACCACATATTTCCCATCTTTCCTATGAATTTGGTGGCTTTCTGAACTAATGTGCAGGTAATCATCCGAGTTGTAGTTTTTGCGGACACAACGTCCATTCCCTTGACAGAGACTCTTGCTGCATAAATGGGCTGCAAAGGTGACATTGGCGATATAGGGGTTTAAAGTGTCTGACAGGTATGCAGACAAGGCTTCACACGAGGTCTGAAAGGAATAAGAAGCATTAAAAATATGAAATTTCACAAAATATTAAAATTTATTCATGCTCATGTTGTTCCACAAACATACTATTTTCCTTCTACTGTGGATCATTGCTCTAGAAATGGCATTATAGTACCATTAGAAAGTGGGGTCCATAAAACTTATATACTCCATGTCTTCTGAGTCGTTGCTCTCAAATCACGTTTTTGTGTAATAATAATATTATGGCACTCTCACGACTTATGTCACGTTTCAAGTAAAAAAAAAAAACATCAATGGATCATGGATTTCATGGAAACATCATGGATTTTGTGACCAATCGTTAGGGCAGGGCAGTATATCGTCTTTGTAAGTTATATCAATTCATTCGGTTCCACGTGACGTCACTGTAGCTTTACGCCGCCATCTTTGCGACCGACGGTCTCAATAATGCCTCCTGCAATATGTTGCGCAGTTGGCTGCAACAACAGCCGAAAAAGGAACCCTGAACTGGTATTTTATTTTATACCAAAAGAAGAGAGAAGAGATTATTTATTTAAAAGACTTGAAGTCTCATGTTGCTGGTTTGTGGTTAATTATATTTCTATTATAGCCTACTCTCAGTGGCCAACATTATACAAACAGATATCGACAGATAATGTTTTTTCTTCATATTTTTGGATCTGTTTAAATGCACTTTATCATGATAAGTTATCAGATTTGGGGTTATTTTGAACATATTTGTCTGTCTGTCTGTAAGTTAATACTTACCTATAAATCTAATAAATATTTTTCTGAAGTTCATAAAGATATGTCTTCGTCACATCAAATGCGCTTTATAGATGTTATTTTGTGTAAATAATGTTCGCACTGCAGACGATGCATAATCTCAGCCTTGAAATGCATATTAAAGACTTCCAAAAATGATAATTCTGGCGTTATTTAACTACTCACCTTCATGTGCAAATCCTTAAGTTTACTTTCCGTGGAAGACAAAGGGACATTTTTGAATATGTAGCCTAATGGAGACTCTTCTTGTCGATGTAATGAAAGTGAATGAGTAACATTAGCCTACTGGGGGCTGTCACGCAAAAAATAATAATAAAAGACAAAAAACATCACAAAAGTATCATAAAAGTGATCTAATACGACTCGTCTGTTATGTTAATATCGTTATTTATGAATATGATAGCTTTACGTGAGGAAAACTGCAATTTTAGTTATAGTCACTGAAGAGCTTTACCTCTGTATATTCGACTCGAAAGACTCTTTCATTTCGATATTTGTGATTATTAAACCTTCTCTGTAACTCAACATCTGTTCTTTGTGACATATATGGTAGTCTTTTATGATATTTGACTGATATCTCTGTGCTGATGCAGGTGTCTCTCTCAGTGCTGCTGTTCGGATTAGATAGATTCATTTATGCCAGCCGAACTGCTGCAGAAGATTCATTCATGACATCGCCTTGACTCTCATGAACGTGTGCCATAGCTCTATGACTTATGTATTTCTATATCATGAAAGGTCAATTGGGGCAAGCCTGGGGCAGATAATAATGGACTAAAGAAAACTGGGGGTAACAAATAAGGATCGGAGCCTAAAATTGAAATTTTCTCCAGGTATCTCTGTCTATCTCTCTCATTCAAATAGGCAGTTTGGGCGGCCATACTGGGCGAGTCGGTCGCAAATATGGTGGCGTTCTATTTGTAGTGACATAGGTGGCATCTATGAATAGAGTATATCAGTACATGAGAGATTGGGTGGGACTATACCATTTATATTGATATGCGATAGCGGATGATTCAGAGTCAGCTCCGTTTTAAAAATACACAATCAGTGTCCTAAACGTTTAGACCTGCTTTGTATTGAGCATATCAGCTAACTCCTATGCATAGATTTTAAAGCAAGTCTCCTCCATTTAACTTCACAGACTTCATTGAATAATTGCCAATGCACACAAAGTGTCAAACAGACACAATAGAATGTGAGAACAATAAGTCTAAATAAAGTACATTTTCCTAAAATATTTTGCATAAACCGAGGTTTGTACCAAACCATAATTTGTGTGTACTGTTACACCCCTACTAATTGTCACTGATGTCAGACCTGCCATTGAGCATCTTAATTTCCCTTATTTAAAATCAAATAGATGTAGGCCTAAATGTGATTGCGATGCGAGAGCATTTTGGAGCTCAACAGCACCGGCAGGAAGAATATTCCACAGAACGTAATATTTTGTTTTACTGAAGAAAGAAAATAATATGGCTTTGGAACAACATGGAACAGGGGTGCCCAATCCTGCTCCTGGAGGGATTGCTCACTGTCTTGCAGAGTTTTGCTCCAGCCCCAATTAAACACACCTGAACCAGCTAATCAAAGTCTTACTAGCATACTAGAAACTTCCTGGCAGGTGTGTTGAGGCAAGTTGGAGCTAAAATCTGCTGGACAGTGACTGAGTTTGGACACCCACAACAATTTTGGGTGAACTGTCCATTTAAGAGATAAATTACCTTGTCGTTGTAATCAGCACTAGCCCCCCACAGCACAGCCCCAGAAGCCCCCAGAGCTGCACTCTCTCCAATACTGCTGACCAAGTCAACCTAGAGAGAAACAGACAGCCTATTACCGCAAGTAACCTATGTGGCCTAGATTAGGGTGGTCAATCCTGCTCCTGAGAGTTACTATCCTGCAGAGTTTTCCTGCAACCCCAATTATGCACACCTGAACCACAATCCGTTGTCTTCAGGCTTATGCTGGGTACACACCAAAGGATTTTTTACATCTTCTAAGATTTTCAAAATTTGATAGACATGAGGAGAAAAAAATCCTAGATTTAACATCATAACACATATAGTGTGCCATGATGTGACAAAGACAGCGCACGAAAAGATTTTCAACCAGAGTCTAGACTGTGAACACATGAAAACTCACAAAATCTCACAAGACTTCAGAATAAGCTTGGCGGACGGTTAGTGTTTGGAATGGTCTTCAAAGAAAATTCACGAAAAAAACATCACTTCAGTCTGTGCTGCGCCATGACTGCATTATGCTTCCGTCTTCCAACATCTCGCTTTCTGATTGGATATTTTTTTGTTTCACGTGATAATCTCCAGAGCGTGTGCGCGTTTGTCCTCGAGGTTCGCCCCACACATCAGGATTTCTGATCGTAAATGACATAACAAATGGTGACTGTGTGCGACCTGGACGCATCAGTGATGGTGAGATATTTTGCAAAATAAAATTATTCCGTTAGAAGAATTACGCGATAACTTTATTATTTATTTTTCTGTATCATCATCTCAGTGGTATTCTTGGCCTTTTTAAATTCTTCCATGAGCTAACTTTTTTATGTAGAAATTCCATTGTTTTTTCTGTATTATTTACTTCACCACAAAATCATTTTTATCAGTGTAGCTTTCTAGTAATCCTGAAAACACTGATTAGCTTGTTCAGGTGTGTTTGATTAGGGTTGGAGCTAAACTCTGCAAGACTGCAAGACCCTCCAAGACTGAAGTTGCCCATCCCTGTCCTAGACTAGTCCGTGTACCATATTTGCCAATAAAATGCTCTGTTATGGCCTACAACAGGGGTGTCCAAGCCAATCCTGTTGAACTCCAACCCTAATTACACATGCCTGAAACAGCTCATTTTTGTCTTACTAGGCATACTAGAGGATACTAGACTTCCAGGCAAGAGTGTTAATTGCTAAACTTTGCAGGACAGTGGCCCTCCAGGACTGAGTTTGGCCATCCCTGGCCTATAATAACCAGTAGTCTCGATGCTGTACCTCATTCATGTAAAGCTCCTTTTGGTCTCTTAGGAGAGGCCGTAGGTAAACGTAGACCGGTGCAGTGTGTTTGTGTTTTGGCAGGGCTGCCACTCTCATTGCCTCTTGCACCTGGTGACGTACGAACAGTGCAGCACTCCTGCTTCCACTCACAGAGACCGGCAGGTATGCTGAGGGGTAAAGGGCAGTGCTAACCTCCCACAGCCACAGCAGCTCGTTGTTCAACTGTTTTGTCTTCTCTGAACAAGTACCTGTGTAGTTTGACTCTTCAAAGTCATAGTTATAGCAGTCTGGGTACAAGTAGTAGCCCCACAGGTACCAAGGTCGATGATAGATTCCTATCTTCAGAGTTTCCTCCATGAAACATCTGGCTTCCTTCTGGAATTGTCGTTTGGCTTCGCTGCTTGCTTGTTGCAGATTGAGAGAAGCGTTCTGCTCCAGGGTGTAATTGATGGACAGTTCTTTATATATCTCCCTGATGTCCAAATTCTGGTCAAACGTTGGAAGCCACTCTTCCCAATCCATGACAGCCAGACCAGCAGTTGAGTCCAGAATGTATTGGGTAAACTCTTCCTTAGCTTTCTCCAAACTAGCAGACAGGTTGCCCCTTTGTGGGATGCCACCGTTATTCTCCTTCAAGGAGTGGAGGTCTACATAGGGGTAAAGCCCAAGTCGATTTTTGTAGAACAGCGTCAGGGATTGATTGCGCACCCTGGAAGGTGTGGTGACCACCTGGAACATCGATAAATCTAGAGGGATCTTCATTTGTTGGCATTTGGAAACAGGAGCATTCCATAACAGGACAAAAGACCTATGAAAGAGTGGTGCTGCTGTTGGTGGAGGAGACGATGTGATAAGATGTCCCAATGTCATGAAGAGTATAGTGTAAAATGGTAACCATTGTTTCCTTTGGTCTTCCATCTGTGTACATTGATTGAGAAAAAAAAAATCAGTTTTAATGATATTTTGAAATGATTGAAAAGTTTGTGTTATGGTAGGGTATTTATTTTTAAAAAAATAAATTCTGCTTTTTTCAAATGTTTAAATTCACTATTTTAACGATTTGTTACTCGTTACTCAAAAGGAAAACAGAATTTATCACTGATCACACAGGAAGTTGTTTAAAAGTCTTTTAATCGTGATTTCATTAGTGCCATGTGCTCTTAGCATTTATGCTAGCAAGAGGAGCTAAAAAGTTTAAAATAGTCAATTCTGTTGTTACCGTCAAACTCTGTTACCAAGGTTTAGTAACAATTTATATAACATAATTGACTGTAACAGAGTTAACAAACAATGCTATAAAGATGTTTTTTGTTAAAAGAAAAAAAAGGAAGAAATTTGTGTAAAATTTTAAATGTTTTCATTTCAAGAAACTGGAAAGAATTTAAGTTAGTGAGCAGGTTTTTTCCTTAACTTTTTTAAATCCAAAATATATCTCCAATTGTAGAATCACTCAGTAGCTTATAATATTGTTTTGGCACATTACTGGAAATATAATGTTGCAGAAACAAATTCATTGTTGTACTGTATTTTACAGTACGTGCACTTTCAATGCACTTACACAGTGTACCTACCGACGAAGATACTTAGTAATAAAAGGTTGGGGTTAGTACCTAGTTATTACCCATTTGTTGTCAATACTACAATAAATACATATTATGTACATGCAAAATAAGACTGGAAAATAAGGTGCTACAAATTCTTTTTACCAAACTATCTTTTATCATTGCTACAACAACATGGCAAACGGTGCATTTTTTTAAATTAGGAGATGCCTTTATTATTCAAATAAAATGCATGTTTTTAAATGGTTTTGTTTGAGATTTAGAAGTAATGAATGTCTTACCGAATGAAATGGGTAGCAAGGAGAAAATGTAGCTTGTTCAGGTTCCTGTTAAATATTAACAGGGGTCAATGTTTAAAAAACACAAGACTTTGTATATATGTTACTGGAAAAGGATTAGTGTAAACGGTTCAATATGTTCTTGGGCTAAAAAAAATGGAAATCGCTTTGAGACTCTGGGTGATAAAAACATTTTAAGCACATCACAACCTCATCCCAACTGTAATGTACAGAATGGTGGAGGGGCCTTTGGGGCTCCTTAGCTACCTCAGGGCCCCGTCTGGACAGCTTGCTATATCAGTTGCAAAATGAATGGTTTTGCAGGAAACCGTTGTCTTATTATGTTCAGTTAGTTTTATTATCATTTTAGCTTGTTTTCATGTTCATCACGTGTTCCTCTGTTCAGTTTTCACGCTCCTTATTATTAGTTCATATTTGACTCAGCTGTGTTCTATTAACCATCCTCATTTGTGTTTGTTTTATAAGTTGGTCCCTCACATTCATTCTCTGTCTGATCACCGTTACCTTAAGTGTGTGTTGCCCTGCCGTAACAAAATGTTCGATACCGATACCTTTTCCGATACCAATTTTATGTAACCAGTTTTAACAATATAATATTACCTACATTTTTATTTTATTTTTCAGTTTGTTGACTTTTTTACACTCAAATTTTGAGTATGTAAAAAATTCCCTTTCTAGGGAACTCAAACTGCGTCAAATGACACTTTGGGGGAACGCCCCTCAGCGTAGGGTCTCTGAAGGATGAATAGAGAATGTATAATTGAAGAGAATTGGCACTGGCTAGTTACTTCCGGTTTCTGGACTGGCTTCAGTAACACGTCTCTGTCCATGCGGGGGCGCTCGCGGTCGAGTGCAGAATGAATGGGAGTCTATGGGGTTTCACCCCCAGAAATCCACTTTTCTCAGGATGTTATATTTTGTCAAGTACTTTGAAAGTTGCATTCAAAAGGGAGGGCTAAGATAATACACTCAGATGAAAATTGCATTTTTAAGTTCACTTATCTGTTCAAAAAATCCATTCAAAAATGTGATGACGTCACACAATAGCAGAATGCTATTCCTTCCAACGACGGCCTAACCTGTAAGAAATCGAAAGGACATAAGTACTCGTTCTTTCAACTTTTGGCCTATAATCTATATTGAACTTGCGGAATCAACAATAAAATCTATGTTGATTAAACGACAAGCAGGAGAAAGAGACACATTTAGCCGTTTAGCCCCATAGACTCCCATTCATTCTGCTCTCGCCCGCGATCACCTCCAGCGGAATTCTAATGGAACTGCAACCAAGATGATGCACAATGGGGCTAATAGGAAGTGCCAAGGCTCTCTGTTAGACGGGCTCTGGTATGAATAAAACTAAGCCAATCTCTGATTGGTGTTGCATCATGACGTAATATGTGACGGCACATAGGCAGAAGCTATATAAGGACACATGAGATGTCAGCTTTTGTTCTTCAGCAAGCGCTCTGTGTCAAACTGTCTGTTTTATTTGGTGTTGTTTGTCCCATAAGAATTGTGGAATTACTGAATTCCACAATTACTGAATTACTGCTATATGGAATCTAGTGGATCGGATCTCGCGTTTGCCGAGGCAGCGTGTAGATTACGAGTTTATACTTTGCAATAAAGATTCTGTGACTGGGATCTTGCGTTTGCCGTAACACAGTCTCATCCCAAAAAGTCATATAACTGACGTTTTGGGACGTATTTTGACCATACGTCAATATCCGCCTTTTTAGGGCCCCCTTAAACGTCGGTAGATGGCGATCCCGGGCCGTCATACAACTGACGCTTTACCTTTAACGTCAGTTAGGTGACGGGTTAGGTTTAGGGTTAAGTTTAGGTATGGGGTAGAGTTAGGATCCCATAACCTCATCTACCGACGTTTAAGGGGGCCCTAAAAAGGCGAATATTGACGTATGGTCAAAAGACGTCCCAAAACGTCAGTTATATGACGATTTGGGATGAGACCGGGTTGTTTGCCGAGGCAGCGCATAGATTTAAGGTCTGCATTACAATAAAGTATCTATAGTGGCTCGGATCTCACGTTTCCCGAAGCAGCGTGTAGATTACGAGTTTACTCTGCAATAAAGATTATGTGACAATTTAGCGGGTAGAATTTTCATACGGTTAGACTTTGTGTGAGAGTACTTTGTGGACTACAACTCATTCGATGTGTTTGATATTCATCACCCCCACTAGCACACGGATCCCGCTAAACATGCCTGTGTCTTTGGTGCACTTCACCGCCTTCTTTCAGGGAGAGAACAAACTAGTTGAATCAACAAACAGATGATTCGAAACACTGATGCGAAGCATGATTCAAAACACCCACGTCACGTGACTACGGCTAAATGAAGCTTCTAAGTGTGCTCCGCCGAATCAGGGTTTGGTTGGTAGGTCGTTCGGGAAAGAAAAGAAATCGAGTCAGCTGACCTGCCATATGTAGCTGATTCTGAATGAAACGCATTTTTAGTCAATAAAATGTTAACAATAGTACACAATAGTCTTTGACCATTCATTTTTTGACATTATAGGGGAAGCCGAGCTTCCCTCGCAGCCCTAAAGAAATCCTCACTGGAGTCAGCCCGTTACTCGAATTTCCCCAGCCCTGATCTCATCAGCATAACATGGATGTTAATCCAATCAGTCTGACAGTATCGCCAATACCTTCACATTATTAAAGAGACAAAAGCTCAGCTGTGCCTTGAGCTTAACTTAGGATACTGCATAAAGTCAGGAGGTGCATAAAGACAAAAGGTTAATGTCAGTTGCTTGACTTCATCTTCATAGAATCTAATCATCGTTACCTCAAAATGTAAAATACAATGTACATATCTTTTTCACTATTGCATTGGAAACTAGATTTAACATTTAATAAATTCGTTGTCCAATTCTGGCTTGCATTGCAGGGCGGTGCCTCTGTTGGGATATCTGCCTCAGGACCTGATTGGGACACCTCTTCTATTACACCTGCATCCCAGCGACAGACCGAGAATGCTGGCAGTGCACCGGAAAAGTAAGGATGCAAAGACAAGGAGGCAATATACAAATATTCATATGCATAAGCCAGCAGGTGTCACTATATTGACATTAACAAATGAAATTGAATGGCTCATACACAGTATTGTCCTTGCTTTCCTAATTCTCTCCCTCTCTCTCCTCCTGCAGTTCTGCAGTATGTTGGGCAGCCATTTGATCACTCTTCTCTCCGATTCTGTGTGAGAAATGGAGAATATGTTACTCTAGATACGAGCTGGTGTAGCTTTGTGAACCCGTGGAGCCGCAAGGTGTCCTTTGTTATCGGACGGCACAAAGTTCGCATGTAAGTTTTCACCAGTGTTTATGTTTATAAGAAAGGTATTATTTTAGTTTAAGGTATTATTAGGTAAGGTATAAGATATTATTATATATATACTTTGTGTGCAGGGGTCCAATGAATGAGGATGTGTTTTCAGCTCCGTCTTCAACCGAGGACAAAACCATTGATTCGGATATACAGGAAATCACTGAACAGATTCACAGACTGCTTCTTCAGGTGAAAACTTTCACACACAGAGACAGACAGACAGACACACATACACACACATTGCATGTACACTTTCTCTTTCATGCACTACAAGCCCACACACACACAGCGAGGATGCCATGAAAAAGCGTTTGTATGGAGGTTGTAAAATTATTTTATGATGGAAAAAAGACCCTAATGGGTAACACTTTATAATAACTGCACGCTATTAATCATTAGTTAAGCATGAGTAAACAGTTAATACATCATTTATAAAACATTAATAGACATTAATATGCAGTTTATAAATATAGCTATACATGCTTTTTTCTTGATTTATAAGCATATCTATAATGCGTTTAATGATTGTATTTTCATACTTTGTTAATGATCAATTAATAATTTCTAAATGAAGTATAACATTATTTGCAAACCAGTTGTTTAAGAGTTGTCATTCATTCATAAGACCACTTAGAAAGTGTAAGTTAATGTAGTAAATACAGGTAGTTATAAAGCATTTAGTAGTGGTTAGTTAACTATTTTTGTGAGCTAATCTAAAGTGAGGACTAGTCATGCTTTGTAAAGCATTTATAAAGGCGATTTAAAGACTCGTCAATCTTCTAAACAGTAAAATGTAACAAACACAACGCAGTGATACAGAACACAGAAATATTTAACAGCCTTTAAAAATGCTTTACAAGGCATGACTAGTCCTCACTTTAGATTAGGTCACAAAAATAGTTAACTGACCACTACTAAATGCTTTATAACTACCCAAATTAATCCTTAATTACAGCATTAATACATGTTAATAAAGCATTTATTAACACATTAAGTAACCATCACTATATGTCTGAATAATAAGATGTATGAATGTACATTTAAATAGTTTATTAATCATTTACTTACTCGCTCTAAGTAATCGTATGAACCACGGACAACTCTTTAATAACTGGTTTATAAAAAATGCAATTCTTCATTTAGAAATGATAAATTGATCATTAATAAAGGATGAAAATACAATTATTAAACAAATTATAAATATGCTTTTAAATCAAGAAGAAAGCATTTATAGCTGTATTTATGAACTGCTTATTAATGTCTATTAATGCTTTATGAATGATGAATTAATGGTTCACTCATGCTTAACTAATGATTATTAGCGTGTAGTTATTATAAAGTGTTACCCACTAAGGTAATTTTGGACTAACCAAGCCCTCTCTTTAATACTTTTCTCTTCATTGGCAATTTGATTTCTGTCATTTTTGGCAGTTCACATTTGATGGGCTATAGCAAGTCAGGTTTGGCCTCACATTCTCCACAAACACTTTTTGGTATAATGTGGAACTCGTAGTTGACGTTACAATAACGAGGAGCAGAAAACGCACCTGAACCAACACTTCCAAACATGACAAGTGTGGCCAAACAAATCCACTTTGACTTATCTCTCCTGTTCTGGTTTCTAATGTTAATCCAGTGTAAATCTGTCTCATAGCCGGTCCACGGTATGGGGTCCAGTGGTTATGGCAGTCATGGCAGCAACGGTTCCCATGAGCACCTGCTGAGCATAGCGTCCTCTAGTGACAGCAATGGAAATGGAAATGCAGCTAACGGTGGGAATGGGAACAATGAAAAGAGCAGAAAGGAAGAGCGGACCAAAAGCAAACCGGTAATTCTCTTTCACAACATACTCATCCAGAACAACACTCATTTAATGAAGAATTTCCAAAATAGCTGATATTTCTGTGTTATGGTAATTTTTCATTTGTTACCGTATAGTTTTATCTCAATTAAGGGGTGTTATTAGGAACCTGAAAAGGAGTGCTAAAACCTTCTTTAAAAAAGACAAAATGATTGAATATACTGTATTATTTTTAATATAATATATTATTTTTTCTTCCCTGAATAGTTTCCACTGACTTAATGTATTTTTGTGAAGTACAAAGTGTTCACTCCTCACCACATCATCTAAAACTGTTTTTCAGAGGACATTTCAGGAGATTTGTAAAGGGGTTCATATGTTGAAGGCTCAGGAGCAGCAAGGCTCCTCTTTCAAATCAGAGCAGAAAAAGACTTTGGACGGTGAGTGTGTGTGTGTGTGTGTGTGTGTGCCTATACAGTACAGCAGGGGTTGCTAACCTTTTTGAACCCTATTGACTTGAATTATTTACTTCAAAAGGTATTTACATTAACCAGTGTGCTTAAAAAAATCCTGACTTGCTTTGGATCCACTTATGTATGTGAAAGTGCTTTCTCTCCAAGTGAATATTAATAGCCAAAGCCTCATTCTCGTCTAACTGACGAGAGCAGCTACCAGCGAGCAGCAGTCCTGTCTGAAAAGAGTTCTTAAAGGTTTAGAATTTGCTCAAGAATATTTGTCTTTTTCATTTTGAGATTTTTATTTTATACATATATATAGAGAGAGAGGAGAGAGAGAGATTTTTTTTCATGTTCAGTGACATTTTACATATGACCACTTTACGTCCCTCTTTTTGTTGACTAGCGAATAAGGAAATAACACTTATAAAAATGGTGTGTGTACCTCAAAGTGCAGGACAGAACAAGAAAAGAAAACTGTACTTTCAGAACTCAGCTCAAAAGGATTTATTAACCCTCAGTGCCAAAGAATAAAATAATATTTGCCACATGTAAGAGCAATAAAAACATTGAACAAATACACAAGGTGGGAAAGCGAGCACGAGAGATGCCAAATCAAAGAAATCAATAAAACAAAACAAACTAACTAAACTAACTACCAAACAAAAAAGTAGAAAATAACCAATCTTCGGCGTCAAGACGCTCTAACTAAACTACAATAACTAAATAACAAAACTTACAAAGTAGGCACTCTCTTAAACTGGTGTGTCTAACATAATCCAAAACATCCTAAGTGCATTGTGTATGTCGCGCGACCTGCTAACCTGCTCTCTTCCCAGCTTTACACACTCCGTGTAAACTGACCAGGCTTAACAGTATAATCTCAAGACACTAAGCAACAATAAACAGAATGAACTAACTATGTATCTAACGAATGTTAGATACACAGAAAATCATTGACAGCTAGTCGATGACAAAAGTGAGCAACAGACAAAAGTGAGCAAACAGCTGTCCGACATTGAAGTGATCATGGTCTTTAACTGCAGTAGTGACATGTGATTGGCGGAGGCTCATGAAGATCATGAAGATTGACAGTAGATTGATCCAACGGACACCCGAAACACACACCACCACAACAACACACCCACATGTCCATATTGCAACACTTAACTATGAGTACGTAACAACCACCATTAAAGCACTAGCAAGACTAGGTAATAAATAATAGGACTAGGTAATAAACTGCATTTGTAAACTTACAATGTAATTTGTGGCCCTTTGTATTTTATGTAAATGTTGCCCTCTTGCCCGCTGAACTTGAGGCCCTCTGCCCTAGAGTAACACTTATTTTACAGAATTACAAGGTCTAAATGTTCATGTGATTGTGTGTTTGAGTATGTACTGTGTCTCTTTAGCAGGGCTCAGGTCTCCTGTCGTAAAGCAGAAAGACTCTGCACTGCTGGTCAGAGATGGACCTGCCTCAATGGAGGAACTCAAGGACCACACAATGTACTCGTACCAGCAAATCAGCTGTCTGGACAGTGTCATCAGGTGTGTGTGTGTGATTTATACAGTCTAAAGAGTACACGTTCATTGATTTATATCATCTGGAAGAGAAGGCTTTTTTTAATATGGAGGCAATAGTGAATTGTGTATCTTACAGATATCTGGAGACCTGTAACATCCCAAACACAGTGAAACGTAGATACCAGTTCTCCTCGAACACCACCTCCTCAAACTCTGACGAGGACAAGAAAGCCTCTGATGCCACTCTTCAGCAAACTGATGGTATAGTCTCATATTTTGTCTTTGTTCTTTAAACTGTTTTGATAAATATCAAACAAAGATACTTCTTTCGAATTCAATAAAAAATAATAATAATTTGGTTTTAGATTCTCTATGTATAGAGGTGGCATCATCTATGTCTATAAAGACCAATGAAAAGCCTCGCTCATGTCCTGCCCCAGGTCGTGTTGTGGAAGGGCATTTATCTCCTCTGGACCTGCCCAGCAAAGCAGACAGTGTGGTGTCTCAGTGTTCCTACAGCAGCACAATCGTACATGTGGGCGACAAGAAAACACAGCCAGAATCAGGTACCAAATAATACATATGTTTAATTAATCATTAATCCTACATAATTCATTTATTTTATTTCAGGGGGTTCACCTCAAAATTTGAATTTCCTTTTACTCACCCCCCAAAATCTATTTGACTTTCTTTCCTCGGCCGAAGAAAAATGAAAGTTTTTGAAGAAAACATTTCAAGATTTTTCTCCATCTAATACAAGTGAACAGGGCTCATTTTAGTCCATTGTTGATGGTCCAAATAAGGGGTAAAACAGTCCAAATCAATTATGTCAGATGATTTTAAAGTTGAAGAAAAAAGAAGAGATGAATGTTTTCACCCAACACTACCTCTTTGAACGCTAATACACGGATAATACATAAATGTGTTTTACAGAGTGAAGGAGCTTGACATGTAGTCTTTGCACATTTTCCTTGTAAACAATGGGGTGATTCTTGCCGCCTACGTCACACATTACGTTCTCAACGTGCATGCATCATGCGAGAGGTCCTGAATGTAAACGTGCATCACAGAGCTGAACCGAGGCAAACAATAGTATAGAAATGTGCAAACATTCTGAAAATGACTGATCGTTTCACTAGAGAGGACCCTCTAGTCCACACGTGTCGTGTTTATTACTTTAAAGGTACCTAAATATGGATTTTGGACTGTCAAAAATGGACTACAGTGAGCTTTGTTTACTTGCATTGAATAGAGAAAAATCCAGGAATGGTTTCCTCAAAAACCTTACAGTTTTTTAGTAGTTAGTAGACAACCCCTTCAGCTTAAGAAAAAAGTTATATACACCTTGGAAGGCCTTGGGGTGAGTAAAGAATCGGGACAAGTAGGATATTGTAGATTTATTGATACAGCAACATGATTCTTCCACAAGCTCAGCTTGCAAGTTTTTATTGACCTCATAAATAGGAAAAGTGACGACAATATGGGGAACCCTATTCTTCTTTCTATCACAGCAATGCAGATGTTGAGAGGAAGATCAAATAATTTTTTTTGTTAAAAGTGTCTGACTGTAATTTGCAGAGATCATTGAAGATGCTGCAGAAAGCCCAGCACCTTCTGCACCTGTTAGTGTGGTTTCCCCACCGGCAGTGGAGCAGGAAGCCTATAAGAAGCTGGGACTCACAAAACACGTACTGGCGGCACACACACAGAAGGAAGAGCAAGCATTTCTCAGTCGCTGCAGGGAACTCTGCAGGAATGGTCAAGCCCTCGAGAAGGACTGCCCAGCAAGCACGCAGAGAAACCGAGGACAGGCTGCCGAGGGTATGTAGACATTAAAACACATCTGGGAAATTTATCCTGAAAATAATGGATTACGTGTCCACAAAAAAATATTAAGCAGCACAACTATTTTCAACATTGATAAGAAACAATTAGCAAGTTTCTTAAGGTCATGTGTCACTAAAGATGGTAACACTTCATTCTAATTTGTTGACTATAAGTAACTTTGCAACTACACGTCAACTATCTCTCGTTAGAGTAGTAGTAGACTCACGGTCTGCTTAATTTCTGCAGTCTTTATTGTGATGATCCTTCAACAAACATTCAACTGACTAGAAGTAACTTTCCAACTACTTGTCAACTTATTCTAACCCTACCAATCTAGTAATACTGTACTGATCTAATGAGAGTTAGTAGACATGAAGGTGCGACATTACTTATAGCTAACAGAATTTGTTAAAGGAATTTATTTTGAATTTGTTTATCAAAATAAAGTGAATCTAAAAAATTATATGTTTATATTTTGTTTAACATTTTTTTTCTCTACATTACACTAATTTTCCACTCTTTCTTGGTCTCTTTCTCTGCCTCTTCGGTGCTCATGGATCCAAAGCAGGACCGGGTGCACCTGTTACAACCCCCAAGAAAAGTTGGCGCACCAAAAAGGCAAAGAAACCACGCAAAAAACATCACGATTCCTCAGATAATGCGTCTCAGCACAGACCTCTCCCTCCCCTGCAGGGTTTAAACCAGACATCTTGGTCCCCTTCCGAAACATCCCAGTCTGGGCTTTCAGTCCCATTCCCCACGGTGGTCCCAGGGTACCCTCTCTACCCTGTAGTCCCCCCTGTTACCCCGCCACAAGCCCCTGCAGGAGTAGCAGAGTCCCAGAGCACTCAGCCTTGTGCGGCTGCTTATCCAACCCCATTGGTCTCACCAGTTGTAGCAATTGTTTTGCCCAGTTTTATGTTGCCGCAGATGGGCACAGCAGCTCCCTCTCCTTTCTATACTGACACCCAGCAAGCCTACAGTTCTCTCTTTCAAACCCAGCAAGCCTACAATGGCCAGCAGCCCCTTCAGCCCCAGCAAGCCTACAACATCCAGCAACCCTTGCAGTCTCAAGTCTACACCGGCCAACAAGCATTTCAGCCACCACAAGCCAATACCAACCTTCAAGGCTGCAATAATCACCAGAGCTTTCAGCCCCACACCTCCTTTACTTCCCAGAAGCCAGCGTTTACACCCCAGACACATTTCCAGTATGGAATGACATCTGAGCCCAAACCATGTGTTGTTGCGTCTACAGAGTGTCCTTCTCCTTTGCCACCCCCTTACTCCCCTCCACTGTTTGAGTCTTGTTGTAGCTCTCCATTGCAACTGGACCTGCTTCAGTTGAAGGACAAGCAGGACTCTCACACCCAGGGTAACGGCAGTTCAGGACAGGACAAAATCAACACAGCCATCAATAGCACTTCTGGAAGGGATGACTTACAGCAGGTAAAGGGGCTACAAACAATGAACTATTCACTTGCTAATCATGGAATTGATGAATTGCATCCCTTTCCTGATTTTTTCGGGTTTCTCTTCCAGGTGTGTTGTTCAGGTAGCGGTTGCCCCTGTGGTGACCACTCCTCATCCAGCAGCGTGTTGGAGCTGTTCTTGCAGGAAGACTCTCATTCCGGCACAGGTTCTGCCATGTCAGCATCTACTGGCTCCATATCCAATGACTGCAACTCCTCCATCAGTGGAACAGGTCTTCACATTTAACTTATGACTATTTAAAAAATACTGAGCACATGCAGGCTGTCGTCATACATTTAAGCAGCTGATTTGACATAAAGGCGGAACCATTAAAATCTTTTGTTGTTAGCTCTCAAGACAATTTCATTTCTAAATCACTTGTATGTAGAACTATTTTCTTATACCAGTGATGAAGTATATTGCATAAAAACGGTCAAAGCCACCTATAGTTGTGGCAAGTTCTTGTATATTCAGAGCAGATAGTTTCAGTTTTGTTGACCGTATTACAGTTACGTATCACTTTTCCATCATTTTAATAATTGGTAGTTGATTAGTTAAAGGAGTAGTTCACTTACAAAAAAACTTTTTCTGATATTTTACTCAACCTCATCTCATCCAAGATATTCATGTCATTCTTTCTTCAGTTGAAAAGAAATTAAGGTTTTTGATGAAAGCATTGCAGGATTTTTCTCCATAGAATTGACTTCAATGGGAACCAAAAGGTTCAAGGTCCAAAAGACAGTTTTTAGTGCAAACTGTTCGAAGGGCTTTAAACGATTCCAGACGATGAATAAGGGTCTTATCAAGCGAAACGATTGCTCATTAAAAAAAAAAAGTTTAAGTTTTATAAGCTCAAATGCTCGCCTTGCTCTGTTCTCTGACGCACGTTCGTGACTCTCCTGTTCGAACTCGTTTATCAAAATGAACAAATCTTTTATGTGTCATTTGGTTCATTCAACAAACGATATGAATGAATTGACTCGGGAAAATATTTTTTTTTAAATAAGTGATCGTTTCGCTTGATAAGACCCTTATTCATCATCTGGAATCGTTTAAAGCCCTTTGAAAAGTTTACAGTTTGCACCAGTCCTTCATTTCTGTGTAAAAAAATTTCTGATTTATGCCAGATTTTTTTTTTTAATTAAGAAAATATATTTAGTTTTTTATATTTATATATTATATTTATTATTAATATATATTATATATTTATATTTAGACCCCGAAGACCAGAATTGTATACATTTTTTTACATACCTTCAGAACAACCGAATCAAGCCCAGTTTTGTTTGCGTATGTGACGTTTTTGCGTGTTTTGTGGGTTTTTTTTGTGTGTGTAGACAATGTATGAAAAGTCACAAAATCTTATTCCACTAAGATGAAGGGAAGCTTTTTTTATTATTAAGTAACAGTCGATTGGGGTCGTATAGACCCCATGACCCGATTGATGGTTAACTACTAGCAGGAGGTAAAGCCACCTAATGCGTGGCTTCATTGACCACAAGAGGGCGACATCTACTGACAGGCGACACCTTGACCTAAAATAACCAATGTGCTTTGGATGTCTATAATGCTTATTGCCAATTCGCACAGGATAAACAATCTAGTAATCACCGAGATGGGTTCTTGATGTGCACAGTGCCGACACAAGTTACTGACCCAACACAAAATATATTTTATATTCGATCATAAATATCTATCAATTTATGCTATGTTTATTTTAACGGATAGAGACAGAATATCAACTAAAAAATCCAGAAAAAAAACACATTATATAAAGGTTATAAATTGATTAGTTTTGATTGAGTGAAATAAGTATTTGATCCCCAACCAACAACTCTGCGTCCCACAGAATGGTTATGTGCCCACGTGGAACACAGATTAGCCCCGTTTACTTAAAGAAAGTAGTCCTCATGTCAGCTAGTCCACAGAATCTGTATCTTTCATTCCAACCTCTCCACCACCTTGAGCAAGACCAAAGAGCTGTCAAAACGTCAGGGACCAGATTGTAGACCTGCACAAGGCTGGAAAGGGCTACAAGACCATCAGCAAGAAGCTTGGTGAGAAAGAGACAACTGTCGATGTGTTTATTCTGAAATAAGAAATACAAAATGAAAAATCAATTGTCCTCGGTCTTGAGCTCCATGCGAGATCTCGCCTCATGGGTAAGGATAATGAGAAAGGTGAGGGATCAGCCCAGAACTACACGGGAGGAGCTTGTTAATGATCTCAAGGCAGTTGGTAAACAGAAACAGTTGGTAACACACTACACCATAATGGATCCTGCAGTGCCCGCAAGGTCCCCCTGCTCAAGAAGGCACATGTACAGGTTCGTCTGAAGTTTGCCAATGAACATATAATGATTCAGAGAAGGCTTGGGAGAAAGTGCTGTGGTCAGATGAGACCAAAATTGGCATCAACTCAACTCGATGTAGGATTTTGAGAGTATTTGTAAAGATTTTCCTTCCTGAGATGTGTGCAAACCTGGTGACCAACTACAAGAAACGTCTTACCTCTGGGCTGGCCAACAAGTACTAAGGCGTGTTTTGCTTGCTGAAATGCAAACCAATTTATAACCTATATATAATGTGTTTTTTTCTGGTTTTGTTTGGATTCTGTCCGTTAAAAAAAACTTTCTATCTTTCAGTAAACTTGGTAAACTTACAGACTCAGCAGGGGATCAAATAATTATTTTCTCCACTGTAAATGTAATAATCTAGGTTGTTTACTATGCATCATTTTACTCATTGTGACATCAGTGCTTTGAAAAACATGATAACATCATAAATTACTGTAAGAACTAGAACTAATGGCTGGAAATGTATTTTATTATATTTATGTGTGTGTGTGTGTGTGTCTTTTGCAGGAAGCAAGTATATTCTTCAAGAGCCTGAATGTAAACTTGCGGCCTCTATTGATGATAACTGTGTCATGATGACCTATCAAGTGCCGTCAAGGTAAGTGTCAATTCTGTCTGCTATTGGGAGAAGAAGGAATAGGTGTTGAAAGGTATAGATGACCCAAAAATGAACATTCTGTCATTAATCCCCCCCAAATGAAAATGTTTTTAATGAAACCTCTCTCTCCATTGAAAGTCCATTCCACCAAAATTGTATAACTTCCAAAGTTTCATAAAGACGTTGTAAAAGTAGTCCAAATGAATCAAGGGGTTTAATACAATGTACATTTATACCGTTTTATTAGCTTTTTGATGCTTTAAAGTTTTGGTGGACAGCAAAAACAAATTCACTGAGCTCATCGTAACTGAGCTGATCAATAAATGATGACAAGATTTTCATTTTTGGGTGAACTATTCCTGAAAGTGTATTTACTCATCAGAAAAGCTCTGTCGTAAGAGTGTTGGTGTTATGGGACAGGGACATGGACAAGGTTCTGAAGGAAGATAGGGAGCGTTTGAGGCGTATGCAGAAGAACCAGCCCTGTTTCACCTCAGACCAGCGTCGAGAACTGATTGATCAGCACCCCTGGATGAGGAGAGGAGGCATACCCAATGCCATCAACATCATGGTATTTTGTTCATGCAGAAACACAATCCACTATCTTTTATATTATTAGTACAATTATTATTTTATTATTAATTTTAATATTGCTTTTAAGAGTATTTTGCTGCTTACTGAACTGAAACTAGTAACAGCCAAACTAATTAAGTTGACTTGTGAAAGCCAACTTACTGAAATCCTATTTAAACTTATTATTATTATTATTAGTGGTGCTTGCCAAAGGCGAAGCATCTCTATTGTTATCCTCCATACTTATTTTTATTATTAGTGGTGCTTATTTCTTATTATTATTTCTCTTTCTTTCTACCTAGTTTTTCTTTCTTTCTACCTAATCTTTCTTTCTTTCTTTCTACCTATTTTTTTCTATCTTTCTAACTATTCTTTCTTTCTAACTAATCCATCTATCAAACTTCAAACTACTTTAAACCTTTTCACACTCTCTGGTCTGGCTTTCTCAAGCCAAAGTTAGTCTAATCAAACTTTTTTTTCTAATTTCCCTGTAAAAAGAAATGTAGTTTATTAAGAATGAGAATCTAGATGGATGTCAAGATATCTTGAATACTTTTAAAGTTACTGGAATGACAACTTCAAAAAAATTATATTCATGGCACTCGAGATACATTTCTAGTTTCAACATTGATTGTTCTCTCTGGAAAATGATGATGCCAAAGAAAGTTTGTTGAGAACCAGAATCTAAAAGGATATTATTTCTATTTAAAACTTCTTGAGTTGCAGGCATGCAAATGTGTGGCAAAAAAAACACACAAGAAGTGTTTTTTTGCCCTTTTTGAACTGTCACCATTGGCGATACAAAGATTGCTAGTAAACAGATTTTACTAATACCAGTCTACCTCTGTGTAATAATAAAATAATGATCCTGCCGTCTTTCTAAGTAATTTTTACACCCCTCTAGAATTAGCTCCAAATCTCAGGTGAAATTGACCCCTCTGTACAAAAAGGTGGATTACTCAGTCTGTACATCTGTACAGATCTACATCTGTGACATTTAATGTTTGGCTTTCATCACTAATTATGTCTGTCTTTCTACAGAAAAAATATGAACAAGTTTCAGAAATTTGGTTGATTTGACAAACAATGACCCTTTTATGTCATACCAACGTGCGAGTAAAATTACAATCAAAATCAACTAATGTAAATAATAAACTTTTGTGATGAGTAAGAACATAACATAATATAACACGCATATTAGGTGTAGAGGGGCGTGGCAAGATGACGCAGTGTCTCGTTCCCTTCTCAGGGAACATGGGTTACAGTCATAATCCGAGACGTTCCCTTTCAAAGGAACTCAACACTGCGTCGTTGAAAACGACCTTTTGGGGAAACGAATGCCCACTAAGCCACGCACCGAAACATGTCCTAGAGTGAAACTGAAACAGGCATTAGCTAGAACGAGAGCACTTGTGCGCTGGGCGTACTAGGTAGGTGCAGACCATAGAGCCTGTTGAAAGTGTGAGGAGAAGCCCACCCGGCTGCCTCACAGATTTCATGAATGGGGACTCCTACATGAAGGGCCCTAGAGAATGCTATACCTCTGGTAGAGTGAGCCCTAATAGCCAAGGGTGAAGGTAAACCATGCACCCTATAGGCTAAAGTAATAGCCTGAACTATCCAATTGCTAATAGTCTGTTTAGAATCAGGTAATCCTATCCTAGAAAGAGGACGAGGACCTCTCAAGATAAACTCTTAAAGCTCTGACTGGACAAAGATAGTAATTTCGATGTTCTGTGCCTTACTGAAACCTGGCTTAAACCAAATGATTATTTCGGTCTAAATGAGTCTACTCCGCCAGGATACTGTTATAGAAATGAGCCCCGTCTGATCGGCCGTGGCGGCGGTGTTGCAACAATCTACAGAGATATCCTTAAAGGTGCCATATGGAATAATTGAGGTAAAAATATCCAAAAAATGAGCTACACACATCAAAAGAATGAGAAGAAATAAGTGCAATGATGTCATTAAAAAACTGACAAGTTATAGTGCTGCCGAGATATAACCTAAATTAGCATGCTAAATTATTAGCCCCGGCCCGGCAGGTGTTGTAATACCAGTTTCGGCCATGGGAGGCGGTATACGGGCGGGCAACCTTACCACCAGCCAAACTGCAGTAACCACGAGTAAGTCGCGTCGGCTTGTGTGTACTTGAACAAACTTGAACCTGATGTCATGTCGTGATGTCGTGTGGAACTACAGCCCACTACTAAATTTCAGTTCAGGGATGAGTTAAATAAATGATTGGTCGATATTATGCATGAGGAATACATTTTGGTAAGTTGTAACATATCTTTCAAGAGTGTTCGTGTTCTTTTACCATTAGCTAGTAGAGATGATCGGTTCACGTGCGCTAGGGATCTGTCGTCTAACATTTACAAGCGCCAAAACTGCATTTATTGTTTAAATTGCGTAATAAAATGAACGGAATCTGAGAGCTGAGATCGGTCTCTGTGTCCTTTTCTGTGCATGACAAAATGGATGTGGCGTGAGAGTGTGTGAAAAGTTGTGTGTCTCACGGTGAATTTGTGAGAGTTGGCAGCTCTGAAAGGCGCTAGCTTGGTCCACATCAGGGAATGCTGTCTGTCAAATTAATTCAAACTAATGATAAAAAATGTAACATGAGCAAAACGAATACCATAAACTAAAAATGCCTGGGCTTTAATTTTCCCATATCGTCGAAATGCACCGGCTTGTCTATGAGACGGCCTTAATAATTTAGTATTGAGATGTTGTTCATTTAGTCTCTAATCTCTGAAAATCTCCAAATGATCCACATGAAACTGCGGTCTTCCAACCTTTTACTATTAGTTTCACTGACTAATATGCGCGTGGGAGACCCGCTCGCCCGTGTTGTTTGAAGACATGAGTGCGCGCGGCTGCGGAGGTATTTCTGGAGGTATACTACCCCCATCTGGTATGGAATATGGTGTATGATTCGATTTTTTATCCCAGAGGGCACCTTTAATGTTACTCAGAAAACTCGTCGTAGGTTTAATTCGTTTGAAGTACTTGTGCTAAATGTTACGCTGTTAGATGTAAGATAGAAATCCCTATTATCTCTAGCATTGGCTACCGTAGACCTCCAGAGCCTTACGCCAACTTCTTAAAAGAGTGTGCAGACTTTCTATGAGATCTATTGGTCAACGTCGATAAAGCATTAATTGTTGGAGATTTTAACAAACACGTAGATAATTCAAATGATGCGTTAGGGGCTGCGTTCACAGATTTATTAAACTCCTTTGGGGTCAAGCAAAACGTCACCGGACCAACTCATCGTCTTAATCATACACTCGATTTAATTATATCATATGGAACCGATCCAACCGATATAGATATCATTCCACAAAGTGACGAAGTCACTGACCATTACATGGTTACTTGCATATTACGTACTGCTGTACTACTGATGTCATGCTGCGCCACGTTATCGACCAGGTAGAAAAATTCTTCCATCCACCATAGATAATTTCTCAAAAAGCTTATCTGATCTGACTCAGCTGCTGCCTGAACCCAAACAAACAGATGAACTAGAAAAACTAACTAGCACTATGAGCTCCATTCTCTCTAGAACATTGGATATTGTTGCACCCATTAGATTAAAAAAGGTCAGAGAAAAAAGTATAGCACCATGGTACAATAATACTACGTATGTTTTAAAGAGAGAAACTTGTAATTTAGAGCGTAAATGGAAAAAATTTAGAGGTCTTTTGGAATCGCATGGAAAGACAGTATGTCACGTTATAAAAAGGCCCTTAAAGGCCAGGGCTGAGCACCTCAGCAAACTAATAGAAAACAACCAAAATAATCCAAGGTTTTTATTTAACACCGTGGCTAGAGTAATAAATAAACAGACGACACCTGAACAAAATATCCCGTTACAGTTTAGTAGTAATGACTTCATGAACTTCTTCACCGAGAAAATTGAAAGCAACAGAATCATCATAAACTCTCAGTCTTTGCTCGCGCCTTATAATTCAGCCGCAATTATCACCCCGCAAGAACAATTGCAATGCTTTACAACCATAGAACAAAAAGAGTTAAATAAACTTATCACTTCATCTAAAACAACAACATGTTTATTAGATCCTATACCAACTAAACTATTGAAAGAAGTGTTACCTATTGTGGAAGAGCCTCTTCTTAATATTATTAACTCATCTTTATCTTTAGGTCATGTTCCGAGAACGTTCAAGCTAGCAGTTATAAAGCCTCTTATTAAGAAACCACAATTAGATCCAAATAACCTAGCAAATTACAGACCCATCTCAAATCTTCCATTTATGTCAAAAATATTAGAAAAAGTTGTGTCCGCTCAACTTGGCTCTTTCTTGCAAGAAAACGACATCTATGAAAAGTTTCAGTCTGGATTCAGGCCACATCATAGCACTAAAACTGCACTTGTTAGAATCACAAATGATTTACTTTTTGCTTCGGACCAAGGCTGTATCTCAATACTAGTTTTACTTGATCTTAGTGCTGCCATTTCGTCTACTTAAATGGAGGAAAATCGATCATAACTTCGGCAAACTATGGAGTGCAGCAAGGATCTGTGTTAGGCCCTTTATTATTCTCAATATATATGCTGCCACTGGGTAATATTATAAGGAAACATGGAATTAGTTTCCATTGTTATGCTGATGACACTCAAATATATACTTTGTATTTCATCACAGCCAGATGAATACGCTAAATTATCCAAATTGACAGATTGTGTTAAAGATATAAAAGATTGGATGACGCGTAACTTTATTTTATTAAATCCAGACAAGACAGTGGTAATACTTATCGGTTCTAAAAACCGTCCACAAAACCTTTCGAAGCACGACATTAACATATTAGGATGCCCTGTTACTTTATCCGCTGCAGTAAAAGACCTGGCTGTTACATTAGACTGCAAACGGTCTCTTGAAAAGCATATTTCATGTGTTACAAGAACAGCCTTTTTCCACCTTAGAAACATCGCTAAGCTACGTAACTTGCTATCTGTCTCTGATGCAGAAAAGTTAGTTCATGCATTCATGACCTCGAGACTAGATTACTGTAATGCTTTATTAGCTGGTTGTCCTGCATCCTCAGTAAGAAAGCTACAGTTAGTCCAAAATGCAGCCCCTAGAGTTCTTACTAGATCAAGAAAATATGATCATATAACACCGATTCAATCATCACTTCATTGGTTACCTATGAAGTTCCGTATTAATTACAAGGTATTGCTTTTGACTTATAGAGCTCTAAATTTTTTGGCTCCAGTCTATTTAACGGATCTTCTATCGCCCTACAACCCATCGCGCTCTTCAAGATCACTAAATTTGAGGCTTCTGGTCATTCCTAGGATATCCAGATCCACCAAAGGAGGGAGAGCATTTTCACATTTAGCTCCGAAGCTCTGGAATAGACGAATCCGACGAGCGTTCTGTGTAGGCTGCCATCTTGTGGCGACGCCATTACTGAGCTGTTACACCGGCATAGACATGTGCACCGGTATGTAAACAAACCTCGGTGATAACGTGAAAGCACCCTCGATGACAGCTACAGCCAGGCAGAATGACTTGTTGGGTTGATGATGTTAGACAGTGGCCTCCAGTCACAGATGAAGGTACAAATGATCTTACAGATTATTTATGAAAATAGCTTGGCAAGTTGGCAAGCTAGCTAGGCTAACGTTTGCTAACGAGGAAACTATAAAAAAGATCTGTCCATTTGACAACAATAAATAAATAAATGAATGAAATCAAATAAACAAATTCATGTTTTTCCTTTGTGTCCATTATTTATCTCATTTTCAAATTGCAACAAGCAAGGGTAAGGTAACGTTACAGCTAGAAAGTATACATAATATCGACCAATTAGTGTTTTTAAACCATGGAAAGAGGTCAATATAACAACAGGAGAACAATTATGTCACATAACGTTACATTTAGCTCAGGAAAGCCATTTAATGACCATAGCATGTTAATTGAATAGAAAAAATAGCAAGAGAGGAGATTTTACTTATCACTATATCACATATTTATTATTATATTTTTTTACTTATGTCATTAAATAATTGTTAATATACGCGAATGTCCGCGTCTTGTACTCGCCCAGGAAATCTGTGTAAACTGTACGGCAATCGGTAGGGGCAGTCGACCCGGGGTATTCACAATGTTTTCTCTTCAAAATTGAAATTTTACTGCCACCATTGAAACAATTTATAACGGAAACTGTTTACCCACTCGACATTATACAAGGGGTAACGTTGCAACGTTAGTGACAGTCGTAAATCGCGGGCTGTTTATTCCAGTGGACGCAAGTTGCAACTAAAACAATAGGAGGCAATGGCGCAACGCTACCCAGCAACAGCTCAGTAATGGCGCCCGCTTACTTCCGGTAGTTTCGCCGGATTTGTCTATAGCCTTCCTGATATTGTTCGTTGCTCAGACTTGCTCTCCCAGTTTAAAAGCTAAACTAAAGATGCATTTATTTAGCGTGGCATTCATATACATTTTTTATATAACAGTTACTGTAAATTTGGCCTCTAGTTCATAAACGCCAGAGGAGAACTGGCCCCTGACTGAGCCTGGGTTCTCCCAAGGTTTTTTTTTTTCTCCATTGGGTCATCTGATGGAGTTTTAGGACACCATCGGGTCACTTGATGGAGTTTTTCGATTCCTTGCCACTGTTGCCTTTGGCTTGCTCAGTTGGGGATATTCAAATTAAAGGATTAGTTCACTTTTGAAAAAACTTTTGCTGATAATTTACTCACCCCCATGTCATCCAAGATGTCCATGTCTTTCTTTCCTCAGTCGAAAATAAATTTAGGTTTTTGATGAAAACATTCCAGCATTTTTCTCCATATAATGGACTTCAATGGGAACCGGATGGTTCAAGGTCCAAAAGATAGTGTTAATAACAGTTTCAGATGCAGCTTCAAATGTTCAAAGGGTCTTATCATGCGAAACGATCGGTTATTTCAAAACTTATTCCAAAAATGTAACTTTACTAAGGACAAATGCTAGCCATGCTATATTCTCTGAGGCGCGTTTCTAACGTCACGTAATACGTGATTACGTTCAAAAGGTCACAGGCGACGTAGCCGAAAGTACAGAATCAAAATCGTCCGATAACCATCTTTTATTATATTCAGGACCCACATAGATATATTTGGAAGATTTTGCCAATTTCCCAGAAATTCTACTAAGGGAACCAGCCTCTCGTATTTCTTGGACACTGTTCTCGACTTCCTGAAGCGAAAGAACGGCAGGCTCTAGATACATTTTTTTGTGACCATAGTAGTTGCTTTTTTAGAAACTTTTGTGGCGGACACCACGCCGGGTGTTCGCTGGAAATTGATGTGGCCCGAAGCATCAGAGAGGTTGGGACAGCATCTTTTCCCTGAGGGCTCCACTGTGAGAACAACCTCGGTTGTCTCACAGCAGGGGGGACAGCCCTCTGAGGTCCTACCACCTCGGTTAGGACCCCTTCCCTGCTCTCTTGGCCTGAAGGACGGCCCTCAGGTCGAGCGTTTCCTCTCTTGCCAAGCTCCCGGAGGAGGGGCTCTAGAGGCAAAGCTCTCTTTCTGCTCTTGTCTGTATGAGGAGCTGGTTGATGGCTGTCACTTGGACCTCCATCTACGGCATCTTGCCATACCCCGTCTCCCTCGCACCCACAACGTTGCTATAATCGCATGATGTACTAATTGAGATACGAGAGGAGTGGGGTTTTTCCAGGATCTAGCGATCTCTTTATGTAGATCTGGGAAAAATGGCAAACCCCGCCGCTGAGGTTGTGATATATGCTGCAAGAATCTCTCGTCTAATTTGCTGTGACGAGAATCTTCCTGCTTATCTTGTGGCCAGCTGATGTTGAGTCTGACCACAGCGTCTACCACAACCTCTACCAACTCCTCGTACGCGGGAACATGAGCTGGCGATTTAAACTCATGTTCCTCGCTCCCGATGCTGAGAACATCCACTTCCTCAGAAGCAGACAATTCCAGTACCGGGCACTCGTCACGGGCAGAAGAAGCCCAGGACACATCATATATGATGTGTGTCCCCACCCGTGATGTATCATGGGCAGGGGTGCACACATCAAACGAATTGTTCACTCCCCATAGTAACTGATAAATCAGACAAACACCAAATAGACAGTTTCAACACAGAGCGCTTGCTGAAGAGCGAAAGCTAATGTGTGCGTTTCCGGAGTCACTTTTATGCATCGGTTATGCCGTCACATGTTACATCATGACGCAACACCAATCAGGATTGGATTAGTTTCATTCATACTTCAGAGGCGCACGATAAGGGAGCGTCCCCAAAAGGTCATTTTCAATGACGCAGTGTTGAGTTCCCTCGAAAGAGAACTTAATTAGTCAGAAGTGACAAACAATATTTCACCCAATATATGCATATAGAGCACCACACTGAGCCTGTCAGTTGGTAGAAGTGGTAAAAGCACAGTGGTTAAACAACTCTTGTATGTGTTTTTGTAGGATTGTATGTTCTGCGAGAATGAGGTCTCCTCTCAGCCAGAAGAAGACCTGCCTGATATGGAGTTGGGGATTTTGAGAGGACAGGTGGGAAAACATGGAGGAGAATCTCATTCACAGGAAGAGGAGCAGCAACCTAGTGGATCATGATCTAGGTTTTGACAATGTACTAATCTCAGCCAGCAGAGGACAACAGGACCTTCACGCCTGTACACAGTTGAAGTTTAATCAGATATCCTTTGTTTCCTGAAAGATTATGAATGTGTTTATTTATGTGTGCGTGTAAATACAAAAGAATGCCAGATAGCTGACTGATTAACCTAAAGATGCTGTTCAAATGTGCGCTCTTCTCTGATTGGCTGGAACTGCTGTCACATGGACCTGACTATGAGCACTTATGTAGCTACAGCAATGTTTTCCTTCATGGAATGGTGCTCTGTGCACATATCAGAACATACGCAAATATATATGAATGAGGTGTAGAGCACAGTGTGTAGAAATGAAAAGGAGAAACAGACCTATTATGAACACAAGCCAATACTAATGCACCAATGCAATCAAAACCAAGAAATGAAACGCCACCATATACTGTGAGTTTGGGGATCATTCCAGCCAAATAAGCTGCTGCCAACATCACATGACCAGTCTATTCCACTTACTTTTCTTTTCGTTAGAACATGCGTATTTTTTTTCTGTGGCAGTTCAGGGATGTGCTAGTAAGCACAGGGATGGGAACCAGTGTTTTTGTAGACATTTTTTGTAGGTCTTCAAGAAATTGACCGAGAAATCGAAATTTTGACGTTTCGTCACTTCTTTTGTTGTTTGGCTATAATATGTTCTGTTCACATTGCAGACAGTTGTCCAACAGTGACAGAAATCCTGTAAACTGATCCCGTACCTGAAATACTCTGCTTCTATTGTCTGAAGTTTGGTGTATTGTGGGGTTTACCTCATGGCCAGTAGTGCACTGCACTGTGTATGAACACTGCCACTGGCTCTCTACATCTCAGTTTATGATGTGTTGAAGCAAATAAATGTACGACGAGCTGAAAGAGCCATAGGGTTGTGGCGCCTGCTTAAACTGTTCCTGTCAGTAAACATTAGTTTATTCAAATTTATTTAATAGTTTTTATGAGCATGTCATTTTGGTTTGTGTTTGTTTTTTCATAAATGTAGTGAAACCAACATGTCTCATTATTCCTACCTTGTAATAAAAAGATACCTCTAGTTCTCTGTCAGCAGTTTTAATTGTCTGAATAAGGATAACCACATGAAAGCCTGTGACAACCAAATAATCGAATGATCTAAAATAAAATCTGTAATATGTTTAAGGGGAAATATTGGCATACATTGTTCCAAATAAATGGCAAACACTATTAAATAGTTATATTTACTGTATATTACAGTTTTTTTACAATCACTTTGCTACTATTTTCAGAACCTTGATGTCATTTTTCAAAACTCAAAACGGTTATTCACTTGTCTAATGTTCAAAACATTGCATTGTGCATTCACATCTTTAAAGAAATCTTGCACTTGCACAATCATTGGTTCAAAAAATAAATATACTGTGAAATACCATTGAAACATAACTATAGATCACCCACACACAAGCAACCGATAGTTTCACTGTGTCATTGTGTCATACAATCATTAAATATTGTAGAACAAAATAGGTGATCCAGGTTTCATTATGGTTCTACATCTCTGTAAAAGTACTGCGTAGTAGTAGAGAGAATACACACATAGTGGAATCATTGACTAAAGTGTGTGATACAATGATGCAAAACACTACAGTACAATCAGAACCTATGTTCATTGGAATCAAAAATATAAAATATTAGGCTACATCCATGGATATTGTAGTCTAATTGGTTCATGCTCTGCGCTAATCGGTGACAACAATCTCATTATCTTGAAACTTTCATGATTTACTGTAAACATGGAAATATTGTGTGTCCATACAACTACATTAAGAGTGATGTTACTTCTCATTTTGAGCAGTTTGATAGTGAGATCATTGTAAGGAAATGAATAGACACTCATTTGAAATGTAATGTGTGAATTGCCTTTTGAAATAGTAATTACTTTGTGTCATATTGAACAGGTGATTTTTGTTGAATGATCAATGAACAAATGATCTAAGTTTTATGTGTATTGTATCCAAGCAATTGAGAAAAGGGTTAGAGATTTGAAAAAATGTGCATTTTGATCATTGGTTATTGTGAGTTTTGTGTCTAGAGTTGTGAAAAATGACATCAAGGTTCTGAAATTAAATTGCTATTTAATAGTGTTTATTATTTGACGGATAAATTAATGTTGATGACTGGCAATAACTTTGATATTTTTAAAATGTTGGATTTGAGTATTTAATCACATTTACATGCATGAAGCAACACCACTGTCATAAAATTGTCATGAAAATTTGAATTAATGAATAGTTTTTGTTAAATATTATGTTGTGGTCATTGTAAAAGGCAGAGACCCCCTTTTTTCAAAAGTATTACTTATTTATTCTTATTTCTTTAGTCTGAACCAGCTGGTCGAGACATACAACCTTGTGGTCTCGAGGGATCTGTTTCATTACCATCTGTTCTCTCAACAGTCAGCCAACCCCTCACCCCACTCAATATATCCTTAAACATCTGTTAATGCATCCCATCGCTATCAGTATTCACAAACAGTAAACTCAGAAGATTATGCAAATCTGCAATAATTCAATGTTAAACCATACAAATATCTCTGACCTTCGACGATCCAATTCAACCATACTAAGCAAAAATGACTTTCGATAAATATCACATTTGTTTATTTTTTTGTTTTTATTACTGAAGTGTTGAACTTTCTTCTCCTGTGTCCTATTCCGCAATCCAGAATGAAAGTAACTTTCCCCAAAACTTTTTAAAATATCATCCAAAAAAAGCTGAAGCTACATGGGCTCAGGTTTATAAATACATACACATCAAACTGAATCATTGCCATAAATCTGACTAATTGAAAAGGGGTGAGAACAGTTACAGGTACATCAGTTACATGATCCTGTTCCTTCAAACTGTCCAAATCTTACAAATACATGAATTGCTGTGTTCACACCTAGCCCACTGACAACTTAACATGAAAACGTTTAATACAAATCAATTAAATTCACAATCACTAAAACAAAAGAAATTTTCATAAGAGCATAAACATGAAATACAAGACATCTTTACCCTATACCGGACACTGCAGTACTATGATCGTGAACTACTCTGACACTTATAGTACAATTAAATTATATATTTTATTAATATTTATAATCCCTAAAGATACACCGTATTAAAAACATACTTTATGACTAGTAGTAGTCATAAACCAGCTGGTCGAGACATACAACCTTGATAATCTACTCAGTCTCTCAATGTGACATTTAGTGTTTTTTTAACTATAGGTTACAAAGGCACAAAACAAATCTTTCTCCCAAAACTCTATATAAGTCATTACTCTATATAAGCTAACTTTTTAAGGCAATTCAATCTAAAATTCACTTCTAAATAAGCTTTCATAGTCATCTTGTTTCTGAAGAGAAACTGAAGAAAAGCATCCGGAAATGTGTCAAAGTCTGTCAAATTCCATACTCTTTCCGTATAATGATGTAATATATCCTGCTTATGTGTGTATATAAATCCTAAAGCCATTTCCTCATGAGAATCTGAATCATGACAAAAGAATCCCAGCATATGCTCCAATACAGGATTATGTGTATTCTGAAGAAGGAAGACTTGTGATCTTTCTACCACGGCCTCCACACGACCTCGGAGAGTGTGATGCTGGAGGAGTTGGCTGAGCTTGCTTCGCTCTCGCTCTCGGTCTCCTCCAGGTCGGAGCACGGGTCCTCACTGGACGGGGACGGGGACAGTGCTGAGGACAGGTCGGATACACACTCCCCGCTGGAGGAGGATGGCTCTGAGATGAGGTCCAGGATCATCTCCTGAAGGTGCTCCTCATTTAAGGGCATGCACTCCAGCAGGTGGTTGAGCAGCTCTGAGGTCAGCTTGGAGTCAATCCCGGGACACGTGGACACGAAGGTGTGCACCTCGTGCATGCACTGGATGTAACCCGCTGCGAATCTCTCGCTGGCCTCCTGATTCACAGCTTCAGCCTCTGTAATCCACACACACACATACACACACTTTCAGTTGTTTACACTGCAAACAATTGCCTCTGTGTATTGCAAACTGAGGTTGGCTCATCTTACCCTGAGAGCGGTTCTGTAGGATGTTCTCAACTCGTCTCACTGTCAGTTCAAGCACCTCTGCATTCTCTATCTTTGTCTGCAACTGAAGGAAAAGTGAGAAAAATATGCAATATTGTTTATAAAGTGAGGTGAGAATCTATTTGTCTGCTTATCTATCTATCTATGTGTCTGTCTGTCTATCTGTCTGTCTGTCTATTGACAGTGTCAGTAAAGAGGAGATAAACTTACATCGTTATCTGTGAGCAGAGTCCTGAGATCCTGCAGGCTTTCATTAATGCGCGCTCGCCTCTTTTTCTCCACTATTGGTTTTCGAGTCTAAGAAGAAAAACACCCGCGGTGTGTGTTTAAGCATACCACAAGCTTACGTTTTCTTTTTTGCCATTTAAGGATAGCGCAAAATGGCCTTACCTTTCTGTCACCTTTAGCGGCATAATATGCGTCGTCCTCCACACCGAAGTCGTTTCTGAGTCTGGCCGCGGGGGCCATTGCGAACCGGGTGCTCCGCCGTCCGGAACTACTCGCTCGGCAAATAAAGCTGAGGAAAGACGCAATATTGGGTCTTCTCTATTGTGCTTTGTGTACAAACCAAACGGGGCTGGTAGTTTAGCGATGTGAGGCTAGAGTGAGGGCTTTATATTAGCCACTTTGCATATGAATGAAACATTCGCGTGCTCGCTCCAGCCAATCGGCGCGCGCGCTTTTGTCTCCGTGTCCGAGAGCGCGCATAAGCGAAGCTGCAGAACTCAGTTCTTTTTGTTTATAAACCTAGTTAGGCTTTACTTTCTCTTCGGCAAACGCTCTAATGAGTCTTGTTAACATGACTGTAGAATACAATTAATCCATTATATAGCCTACATTATGTAGGCTATGTCCATTATGTGTGTATTGCACGCACCAATTTATTTTGTTTTTGTATTTTTCTTTTTATGCAATTTCTATTTTAGACACACCCACTCTTTTTTTATACACACACATCTCTGTCTTTAATTACCTGATTTTTTACTCAGTATTTTTTTTCTTCAGTTCTCAGTAGGCTGTGCACTTGATTTTCTTTCAAATACTAGCCTAGTTAAACTCATCCGTTTTAAAATAATAATAATTTCATCGTTTTAGTTTAGAAAATGAAAATAATTCAAATTTTATGCACAACTTTGGGTATTTATGCATAAGACCTGATAAAAGTGTAAGTTCAATAGAAATCTGTTCAAAATTGAGTTGCGCTCGCAGATGTCAAGGGTCGCGCGTAACGTAATGCCGTCAGTTAGCAGCTGCACGCGCAGTCAGGGTCGAGTACAATAGAGGAGAGAGGGAGGGAGAGGAGGGAGAGAGAGAGATAGAGAGGGGAGGGGGGCGACAGGTGTCCAACTGTTCCTCTGGCGCCTGATGCTCCTCTTGATTGTCTGACTACAGAATAGACAACATTTTAACATTCATCATAGTACAATCATTCAATCTACAATTTCGGTAGAGTGATTTATCGATTGAGTGATTGTACATTCAACATTCAAACATATCCAGATAACATGTTTTCGAAAACAAACAAACAGACCAAAACGAAACAACATTATAAAGAATATATGAAGAGTTCAGATGCAAAAGCCTCTAAGTGCCATTTGAAATTTTTTTCTAAAATGATCATTTTTATCAAGCTTGTATATTTAAGTTCAGTAATTTCACTTAAAATGCAATGAAGATTGCCCATTAATTGTCATTTAAGTGAAATTACTGAACTTGAATGTATAAGCTTGATAAAAATGATCATTCTAGAAGAAAATTTCAAATGGCACTTAGAGGCTTTTGCATCTGAACTCTTCATATATAACTAAGTATATAACTAAGTATACAAGCTTGTGTAGGACCATTACGATTTTTGGGGTTGTTACATTATTCTTCTGACAATTAAGCACAATAATCCTGCCAAATTCTCATTAATGCGTAAAACTTTAGCAATGCTGTGACAAGAATTCATTAATTTAGATATTGATATTTTACAAACAAAATAATCAAAACAAATAAAAACATATAAGCTTTTTGGGGAAATGGAGATTAGTGCTACTTAAGGGGGGATTGAATAAATAAATAAAAAATAAACAAAAATAAAAACCTATAAAATGACACACTGTGGGGGAAGGGAGCTGTGTACAGGTTCGTTGATTAAACTATACTGAAACATATATGAAAATTAAACATCAAACACAGACTTGTCACCAAAAATGTCATAAATGTGACTGGATGTTTCCCTTTAAATTTAGTGATGTTCACAGGTTTATGGGTAGGGTAAGGTGATACAGCAAAATTATGTCCAAAAGCTGTCTTTTCAACGTCTTTGTCACAAAAGTTGGACGTCCACTGAGGAGCCAGAATGAAAGTTTTTATGATGTCTGTCTGTGTTCTGCACGTCTGATAGACATTCATCTAACCTCGCACAAGTTTAAAAACTAATTAAAATGTGGCCGTTGTGGACATGTTTTCAACATCATTTATGGAAATCTTGGAGTAATCTTTGATGACCAGCTGACCTTCTCAGACCACATTACAAAGACAGCTCGATCATGCAGGTTTGCAATGCACAACATCAGGAAGATCAGGGATTTCCTAACTGAGCAGGCTGGACTTCCATCATGTGCAACTAAACCTCTACAAATGATCCAGAATGCTGCAGCTCGTCTGGTCTTCAAGGAGGCCAAATGGGCCCACGTCACTCCTCTGTTCATCTCTCTGCACTGGCTGCCACTCGCTGCTCGCATCAAGTTCAAGGCGATTGACTCTTGCTTACAGATTGACCGGCTCAGCTTCCTCTTACTTTCACTCACTCCTACGAGTCTACATCCCTACCAGAAGCCTACGATCGATCAATGAGCGACGGCTCGTGGTACCATCACAAAGAGCCTCAAAATCACTCTCCAGAACATTCTCATTCACGGTTCCATGCTGGTGGAATGATCTACCCATCATCATCCGGAATGCAGAATCCCTGACAGCATTCAGAAGACAACTGAAAACTCATCTCTTCCTTGAGCACTTAATATAAAAGTAAAAATAAACAACTTTAAATCCTAAATTGTCTTGTTTATACTACTCTGAGCAATGTTTGAACTTTGTATTTTTAGCACTTCTTGTGTTGTTATTGCCTCAGATGTGTCACTTTGGATAAAAGTGTCTGCTAAATGACTAAATGTAAATGTAAATTTATGGTCTCATTTAGACAATTTATAATGTTTCTGGACCCAATAAACACTCAGGATGCATTAAATTAAAACTCATGTTTATTTCAATTTAATTATTTTCCATACATTGTTTACATGAGGCTTAGATGTTGATATTTGTTTCATTTTAAGTCACCATTGTGGTGATCGGTGTTTGCTTTAGTTGGGCTCTTGGTCCCAGTTCTTCTTACTTAGCGCCTTTTTGGCTGTTGTAACTGTGTGCTTGTAAAATACAATGGTTATGACAGAGAAAACCAAGAAAAAGTACAATTGGCTGTCATCAGTTGACAATGATAAAATCAATCCAAGCAAGCCTTTAACATTGTGTTTAGACTTTTGTTTTAATTTTATAACCACGAACCTTGCAGCTGCTTTTTTGGGTCAGTAGCATTAAAACGATCACTAATTTTTGGGTGAATAAAAAGCATGTGTAAGGGTGGATTTCCTGCAGAGGTTCAGGCTGCAAGACTGCCGAATGACTAAAGAAACGTTATTAGCAAGATGGTAGAAAACTGCACATTTCTTGTCTATTCCACCCACTGCCACTTATACCAACAACAGAAATAAGCGCAGTTACAATAGCTTAATATATGTGGTATATTTTTGCTATAGAGAGTGACAGTATTGTATTGCAATATGTAGCACTTCAAAGTCAATACCAATTCAAAACTAGATAGCATCTTAGTTGTAATTGAAAAGGTTTAATGAATGAGGTTATGGTTACACTTAAAATAGTTACAAAATAGATATATGAGATGATGTTAACTTATACCAATAATCTTACTTAGCATGTAAAATATTACCAGCGAGAGAGAGAGAGAGAGAGAGAGAGAGAGAGAGAGAGAGAGAGAGAGAGAGAGAGAGAGAGAGAGAGAGAGAGACAAAAAAGAGGAGGCCAAGAAAGAGAGAGAACCAGAGCATAGAAAGAGCAGAGCATCAAAAGAGCCAGAGCAACAGTCTTCTTTTATCCTTTTCCTGACCATGTGACTAAAACCCAAATGTGAGACATTCAAACTGACCAATCAGATAATTACACTTCCCCCAGTGTTCTAAAGGTGTGACAATTCATTGACCCCCAAAGTACACAAATCTTGGCCTACAGGCCTTGATCACTATCAGCTCCTCTGTCTTTGGTCCTCCATGATCCTTGTGGTTAAAAGAAGGGGTGGAACAGAACAGTTCATTTCAAATTTCTTGGATTATTTTCAATCCTACACATGTTTACACAATGTTTAGAGGTAATGTAACATATAGTCACACACAGACAAATATTTTGCATATGATTCACAACAATGGTGACAATAAAAAAGCTTCATGCTGCAATGCATGATAGTACACTTTCATAGTACACAACATCCTTGATTCCCAAGCTTTTTTGTTTTGGTTGTCACCGTTGTTGAGAATCATATCTAAAATCTTTATGTCTGTGTTTGCTCAAAATAGTGTGTGGACATGCTTGTAATTCACCTTAGTGATCATTTTAATGCTAATGGCCCAATTAATTCCAATTTATTGCAATTCCACAAGATTGATGGTTATAAATGCCAGACATAAAGACAAGTCTAAAAGGTTAAATGCTCACTTTGTGTTGACAATGTCATCATCAATAAGGAACTGATGACAGTTACTACAGCCAAAGGAAAGCTAAGGCAGTCTGGGATCAAGGGCCCAACTAAAACAAATATTGATCACCACAATGTTGATTTAAAATGAAAACAAATTACTTCTAAACTTCATCTAAACAATGTAAGGAAATTACATTGAAGTAAACATGAGTTTTAATTTAATGCATCCTGAGTGTTTATTTGGTCCACAAACAGTATAATTGTCTAAATGAGACCATAAATGATGTTGAAAACATGTCCGCAATGGCCACATTTGAACCAGTTTTTAAACTTGTGCGAAGGTTTGATGAACATCTATGCAGAACACGTCAAAAAAAGACGTCATAAAATCTTTCATTGGCTCCTCAGTTGACGTCTTTTCAACGTCTGACTTTTGTGACAAAGACGTTAAAAAGACGTCTTTTGGACATAATTTTGCTTGATAAACACACTAAATACTATTACAAACATTATGGATTTTATGTTACATAAGTTAAGTAATGTAAATGTATTTTCCAATGTGGCATCATTGGGATTTGAATCTTACATTGTTTGCTATTAAATATGAAAATGCTATTATTTTTCCCTAGACACAAAGTGTCATCAGAGATTATGTCAATTAGACTCCCCTGCAAAGGCAAATGTTTTTTTTTCCTCTGTACAGATGAAAACATTATCAAAATGATTTACAGATCCGTGGAAAAAGATTAAAAAACACTCTATGATACATGCAAGACCTTAATTTACCTTACCTTAGACCTTAAAGCCTTAATTTGCAATGTCACCTATGTCAAAGTTTGAATTCTCAGCCAAACAAAACACCATTGTCGTGTAATTCTTGCTGTTGGGGGTGTCAGATTGTCTCTACTGTTAGTTCAAACGCTTCCGTAAGATTGCTTTATCTTCAGATTCGATCCTTTGATCCATGTTTTTAAAGCAGTTTGTGAAATGGCTCCAGAATACTTGGTGGAGCTCAACAGGGCAAATATATCAATAAGATCCTCAAATAAGCTCCTGTTAACTATCCCACAAGTAGGCCTTAAATCCAAGGGTGATCGTGATTTCGCTGTTGCTGGTCTGAGATTATGGAACGACCTACCCATTTTTGTTAGATCTTCCCCAACATTCAATATTTTTAGATTCCGTGTAAAGTGTCACTTGTTCTCTCTTGCATTTTAAGTCACTCTTTTAATGGGTGTTGTACTTTTTTATGGTTTATCTTGTTGTTTGTTCTCTATCATTTGTTATGTGGAGCTGTTTTGATTTAAATCATTTGTAATGTACAGCACTTTGGAGCTACTGTGTAGCCTGGAAGGTGCTTTATAATTAAATACATACAAATACTGCTTGGGAGAGGAGGTCTCTCCTCAGTGATATGGGCCTGCTGGCAGTAGCTGGACTAATTCTGGTAGGCATGGTTCTTCCATTCTGGTGCACATGCTTCTTCCGGTATCCGACTGACGACCTTTGGGAGCATAAAGGTGCTGCTACGTCAGTACGTCCATTTCCTTTGAAAAGTAAATTTGGTAGTGGGAGTTCTCTTTTGTCACAAAGAGGTCCACATCCGCCTGACCGAAGTTGCACAATGAAAGGGGGAGTCTATTAGCCCAGGGGAGGACTGATGTATGACAACATGTCTGCTCTCTCCTTCAAGGAGCCTTGCATGTGAACCGCCCACTGAGCAGAGGTTCCTCTGTGCCCACAGGAGAAGACGGCTCGCCAGTCTGCATAGAGGGCAAGACCTGAGACCTCCTTGGTAGGTTATGAAGGCAACCACCGTCCTGTTCTCTGAGCGGACCAGGACATGATAATCCCTGAGTTCCTTGAAGCTGGAGCTCCTTGAAGCCAGAATTACCGCCAACATTTGGTTGATGTGCAAACTTGCATGACTCGCGTCAGCAAAGTCTTTATTTGGGCTGAGTCGAAGACTGCCCCAGGAATGAGATCCATTTCTCTTAGATAACTGAGGAGCAGGGATCTCTGTGTGCATAGCTCACTTCAAACTTCTCACTTCTTAAAGGGTACATACCGCATTTTTAAATCTTTCATTTTTACATATAAATCATACATTTGTGGTCTATGTACAGCATAACTGATATATGATACGTTTAGAAAAGCATCAGAAAACACAGCAGCTGACCATTGATGAAACTCAAGAAAGACCAATAATACTGTGGACGTCTAATGTTACTTCAAAACAAAAACAAAGAAAGACAAAGTTACTGCTGATTCATGACCACCATGTGTTTTAATAAAGTAAAGTACTTTATTTTTATGAACAATATTTACAGCTTATCGAAACGCTCTGTTCGTCATCTCCAAAGATGGAAGGAATTGATCCCTCATTCAGACGAAGTCGATCGGCAAACCCTTCCAATATAAGGCGGAGGTTGTTGAAGTGGGAATCCTAGAAGTGCTTCAGGTCACTACATCCAACAACCGAACATTTTGACTTGCCCTCCCGTAACTTCGGCATCCTTGAGCTTGGACTACAAAATCGGAGCGAGAAATAATAATGGCGGATTGCTCGAACCGGTAGTCATTGTCCTCATTCGTCAGTTCCGCTGCAAATACTGTGACGTAATTGTTCAAAAAACGTCATATAGAGAACAGAAAAATCTGAATAGGTTGAAAAATATGACCAAAACAGAATATAAAGATATAAATGAAGCACCTGAAGAGAATAATTTCCTCTTTTCTGTACTTATAAACACTCCAAATATACAACCAAATGCATTTAAGGGCTAAAATATTAGATTTTGCATGATGTGTCCCCTTTGAAGGTAAGGAGCTAGAGAGAGTCCGAATGGAAGGGCTGTATATTGGTATGTCACCCTCTCGAACGTGAATCTCAAAATCGGTTTTGGGAGACTGCTCAAGCTGTCGCATCCTTGTTTTCACCTCACGTAACCAGTACGTAACACAAATGCATGCATGTCATAAAAGCAAGATGACCACATAAGTTATAACCGTAATTAAACTAAACTAGTGTGCACCTGTTCTATCTCCATATTCCCTGGCTCTGTGGGCATCTGACAACAGTTGCTTCACGAGCCTCTGTACAGCGATTTATAGATTATCATGACGGAACCTGATAATGGATGACTTGAAGATAACTTCAATCTGCATCATCTACATAAATTCATCAATTACTGTAAGCATGTTGTCACTTCTTCTTGAGTCCAACTCCAGTTTGAACATGTAAGGATGAACACAGCTTACTGATATTTTCAGTGTGTGAGAGAACACCAGAGCACAAGTTCTTGTAGCTACGGTCTCTTCTTAAACAGGGGTTAGAAGCACCAAGCCATTTACATTTAAAGGGACAAACAAAAATGGCAAGTTTTTCCTTACCCTCCAAAATTGGCAAACTTAACATGCTATAAAAAAATGATCCGTGTGATATTTTGAGCTGGAACTTCACATACAATCTGGGGATATGATAAACCGATTGCTAAAAGTACTAAATTAAAAGGATCACACTGTTGTCAGTGTTTTGGTGATTAAACCAAATATTCTCATTACAAATGCAAAAATCTTGTCTTTGAAACAATGAATATGTGGACTGAAAATGTGTATAACTGTATTGAAGCATGAGATCCAGGTTTTAAAAGAATGACTTGCTGTATTACAAGTGTGATCAGTTTGGATTTTGTACTAAGAGTTTTGATGAAAATAGTACCAAACCAAATATAAAAAAAAAACTTTATGGAATTGGTGAGAAATTTACACTACTTGTTATTGGTTTGTCTTATTTGAAATACATTATAGGACAGGTAACCATGCACTCAAACAAGTGAAAAGACACTTTCATCTTTTGGCAGTGTTGATGAAATCCAAGTATGTCTTAACCCTTATGCTGCATTAGGGACATTTTTGGTCTTTTGCAGTTTAATTTCTTTGACCATTTTGGCTGTTTTAATGCAAATGGTATGAAATTTGGCAAAATTGTGACTTTTTGGATACATGTAAAAAATGTGATCCCATTTTGCAAAATATGTATAACACACACTGTGTAGATCAAATAGTAACACTCAGCACCATAAAGACCAAAAATGGCCCATTGAAACCCATTAAAACGTTGTTTAAATCTGAGGCTGTCAGTAATACATGAAACATGATTTTTGCACAAACATCCTTTCATTTTGAAGCAAAAGCATTATATTTGCATTATATAGTGTATTCCACCAGATGACGTCACTACATATTTATTCCCTATGGGTGGAAATGCACCTTATTTTAGGCAATAGGCAATGTTTAATAGGTGGCCATTTTTGGTCTCTAACGCGCTAAGTGGGATTTTTTGCAAAGTGGGACTGTGATAATCCAAATCTAAAGTTTTCTCTTTGCATTTAGTTTATTGAAAATAATTGAATTTTTGTGTTTTTTCCTCTTATACAAATCGATGGTTTCGCCAACAAAACTGGTAATTAAAGGGTTAAAATCCTGAAATTGAATACATTTTTGGTAGTTATGATGAGGACTGATGCTGGTTAAAAGATTTAACTTGGTAAAAGTGGAAAATAATAATAATATATAATATTTTAGGCAATGTTTAATATGTGGCCATTTTTGGTCCTTAATGCACTCAACGGTGTTAAAAATGTAATGCAGCACAAGGGTTAATATTCAATAATGGAGTGGAGGATAACATTGCTCTATGTGTAGACACTGGTAAGAATGATTGGTAAGATGTTTTGAAATCAGGCTCTCTAAATGTCAATAATGGTCTATATTAAAATATAAACAGCCTTTTTATGATGCTGTTGTTTCATTGATTTGACAAGAGCCGTGTTGGTGATTGGACAGTAGATCAGGGATTTTGAGGCTAGACAGCCCTCTTATACAGAACAGGAGGAAGAGATGAACATCTCAAGATGCCTGCAGAAATCTTGTATTGGTTTAATATTGATTTGCATTCTGACTACACATCAGTCTCCACCAAAAATGTCCTTTGATGAGAAATCTACAAAGACTATATTTGTGTGTGAACAGGTATAAAAAAAAGAAAAAAAGAATTTACTATATACGTTACAAACAACATCTTTATTAATAATTGTTAAAAACTGTACATAAGTAATAGGGATTCAAATGCTACATTGAATTAGTAGACAAAGAATGTTTAATTTATAAAGGATTCTATAATTGAAATATATAGTGTTAGTTAAATAAATAAAATTATTAATAGGGGCCTTCTACAATGTAGGCTACAGTAGCTTTACTTCAGCGAGGAAGTCGAGAGGGTCTGAAATGGGAGCTATTCTGGACTAGATCCACCTCACGAACACACGAGTGCAGTGAAACATATCTATAAGATACATATTAGAGGAGGCTCTACACAGTCAGCAAAAACTGTGTGTGAATTCACACTGAGACAGCATACTTCACACATACATTCTTGGTCGACATCGGTACAAAAAAATGTCCAATTCATATGCACTACATGAACATACATGCAGACACCATCTGTTAAAATGACAGATATTTCACCAGGGCCTCCACATCTCTAGAACTGAGAGATGAGGGCTCGTTCTCATGGGCGAAGAACACTGATCCTGAGACTGGACGGCCCTCTCGTACAAGACCGGAGAAGGAGGGCAGGTTTTTGGACTGTCCAGCTCATCACTAGAAGCGACACTTGTCGGGGAGTTGGGGAGCTGAGGGCGGTCCTTGGCCGATCGAGGTAGAGATTTGAGCAAGTGGTTGAGCAGGCGGGACCCCAGGGTTTTGTCCATCCAGTCGCAGGACAGTAGCAGATTGTGAACTTCTTGCATGCACTGGATATACCCAGTACTGTACCTCTGTTGAGCCTCTGCATCCAGAACGGGGTCTGAATGAAGATGGAAAGATTATGGGGAAACATTTTTAATTGTAAATCAGAGCCCTTATTTATCAAGCCTCTTAGAATTACTCACAAGAACACTGCAAAGAATTGACTTAAGAGTAAAAAAATCTTGTCCCAACGCTGTGCTTAAAAGTCAGTCATCAAGCATCTCAGTCATAATTTAAGTGAAGTGTAGGACTCAATCTTATGTGTCAGTCTTAGAGATGATTCACAACACTATTGTGCCACAAACAGGATTTTGGATGACGACATTGGCATGGACCAAGCACTGAATAGATTTCCGTATTTAAGAATATTCTCCGATAAATTCACATTAAATGGGGAGGAGTTTACTCACATTTGACAAATCATTTTCAAGAGAATACGTTATGACATACCAACCCATCCCAAATGCATCTCTATTGTGTTTATCATGCAATTTATACACGGAAATTTCTTTTTACGTTCATACGTAAAAACCCTTTGGGTTTGAACATTCTTTCTCTCCTGAAAGATTTGCTCACATCTCTGCCTCCTCAGTGTATCTCAAGCCTCTCAAGCTGTCTTAAATAACTGAGTGAGTAACAGTGATTCTTAGCATTAGGGAATTTAATAACTTGCTTTTATACTTGAGTTTGAAAGCAGGAGTACATTTCATGAATTCAGCAGTTACGACTACGGCACTTTGAGAAGCTTGATAAATATGGGCCCTGGATTTCACCAATGAAATCAATGGATCAGTCGAACTGTTCTTGTGGTTTTGGTGTTCTACCCGGTTAAGTCTTTTCCTTGACAGTAATCCAGAAAAGGCGAATGTTTCCATTGGAATTGGGAAACTTCACTATTCGATTTCTATGCAAAACAAAAACATACAGTATTTCAAATTGCAAATGACATTTACTTACCAGAATCTCTGTTGCCCTGGATGTTCTGCAAATGTTTCACCGTCATCTCAAGAATATCAGCCTTCTCTAGCTTAGACTGCTGTTTAATATGTTTCAAAAGAAAAGCAGTGGATGATGAGTCTAGTGGCACTGACATAAGATGACCTGGTTTAAAGAAACATTTATTTTTATAAGAATGTAATGAACTTTAAAACATGCTTTTTAACTTACATCAAGGCTGAAAGCCCCAACAACCGTCTCTCTCAGCTGATCAAGACAGAGATTTATTCTTTCCCTTCTCTTTCTCTCAATGAGGGGTTTCCGTAGCTGAACAAAAGACCAACAAAAATCAGAGGACAAGAGGAAAGAAGGATTAGTCTAGGTTAGGTTAAATGCTCAAGAACATTTTGTAGGCTATTTCGTATAATACCTTTCTCTCCTCTTTGGCGCTGATGAGCCTTTGGCCTGCGTTCTGTTGGAGGTTAGTTGCAGTCATCTCCACTGGCTTCTGTGCAGTAAAGACTGAGTCTCACTCACTCCTGTCTCAGTGCTGGGTGTTTCTAAGGCCCTCCGTGCTGCGCATGCCCTTTATTTATAGGAGGGACATTAGCATCTCAATGCACAAGCTCTTTGCCTGAGATATTTTCCCACACGCTCGCTCCCATCACTCACAAATGACAGGTCACCGCCTCTATTCAATGCATGAGCCCCCAAACACACACACACACATAGACCCACTCAAAGCAAACAACAGATGTCCAGCCTAGAGGCGTTCTACAAGGAAACAACACGTTTTGTGTGTCACATGAAAATCCAAGGTGCCTCGGCATTCCCAGGATATGTGTTCGGTTACAGTCAAACACCTGAGACCCAGAGCGTATTCATGCCCTGTCCTTAACGGAGCCAAACGAAACCAAATCCAATCCCAGAGGTACACAGAGCCAGCAGGCGGGACCCCAGTAATATGGCTGAAATTAATGACAGGCATTGTTTGACAAACAAAAAAGTTGAACTGTATAAAATTACACTTTATAAAACACGAGACATGCATTAATAGGCTATATATCAGAAATGAGCAGCCTAGAATATAAGCCATAAGTTGTATGGCTACACCCTCCAGCAGTGAATGTGAGCAGATGTCAGAGGGCTTTCGACCACGGGCAGATGTTTGTGAATTAGTCTCTGATCTGTTTGACTAGAGCCACGCGACTGCCAGCAGAGCACACGGACGTGGGAAACTCCAGCGGACAAAACCACTCATTGATCCACAGCTAATGAGAGTGACCCGCTGCGAGGAGGAGGAGGAGGAGAGGGTTCAGCGCAGAGCTGCAGGCAGGTGCACAGCGCTCTCCAGCAGCACGCATGTATGGAAGCTGGGGACTTTGGGACTTTTTATCTCACAATTTGACATTTTTCTTCTCTCAGTTGCGAGTTTGTATCACACTATTCGTATACTCTCAGAAATTTTGATACACACTCGAGTCGCAATTGGCTTTATGCACAGCTGCACTACTTCCTGAACTTAAGCCAGCTCCTTGTTTCCTGTCTGTCATTATTGGACAAATTGATTAATCCAGGTGTGCCTGACCTCAGTAGTCACGGCAACAATAATCAGACACACCTGAATTAATCCAGTTTGGCCAATAATGGCAGACAGGAAGCAAGGAGCTGGCTTAAGTTCAGGAAGTAGTGCAGCTGTGCATAAGGTCAATTCTGTCTCTGAGCTCTTTAGCCAGTTCCTTTGACCTCATGATTCTCATTTGCTCTGACATGCACTGTGAGCTGTACGGTCTTATATAAACAAGTGTGTGGCTTTCCTAATCAAGTCCAATTAGTATAATCAAACACAGCTGGACTCAAATGAAGGTGTAGAACCACTGTTAAAGCTTTCGGTTTGAAACTAGATTAGATTTCATCCATTTGTCTACCCCCAAGGTTATTATAAAAAACATGAAACTATCTAAAAGTCAGAGGTGGTGTCATTGCAATATTTGCAGTACTTTTAACCAAAATACACACTGTGGACCTTTAGACTGTATGAGTTTTGGGTTGATTGCTGTAGCAGTAATTTTCTGTAAAATATATTTGTTGAGATAAAACGACAAATTAATATGACTGGTCCTGTTTGGCTGTTTGTAGGCAGCAACAACAAGAATATTCTGCCCAGTAGCAATAATTATTTTCCTAATGTACACATAAGAAGAAGAATGACATGTTTATGGTTTTTATAACATGGAACAGAGATGAACAGACTTTTCCTTTGATACACACATTGATGCATGTCCAAGCCTTGGGACAACAATAATAAACCAGTAGAAAAGACAGCAGTGTTCAACATTTAAAATTTAACAATGTTTTTAAAATAACAGAAAGCATGTAAACCTTGAACGAACTAGTTTGACTCTGCAAAAACTGTGGAAACATTGAGGGAAACAAAATTAGGACTATACAAGCAGCTGGAAGTATTTCCTCATTTGCGCTGCCGTCTTGAACCCTTGAATGGATCAAACTCATCCTGAGAGGAGGAAAAAAAAAACAAACAAACGTAAAGATCATTTTGTGAACAAATGCAACACAAAAATCATTGCACATTAACACTACCTCATCATCGTCATCATCAAAGCATACTCCTTTAAAAGACTGGCTCTGGCTTTGGGAACCTCTCTTACTGGAGCTTAATGAAGGCAGCCTATTGGTTAAGCAAAGAGGGAAGATATGGGTTTAGACGTTTTCTTCCTTTTCTAAAACGGTTAACAGCTTGTCAGTCTTAGGGTTTCTCTTCTTAACTCAATCCAGGACACCTAAGGTAAGCATGTGTGAATAACTTATGCTGTTAAAATATTTGGTCTGGTTTAAATTCCATTGCTTTTGTTGTTCCTTTTAATTATTAGCTTTAGGATTAAATGTTTCTTTAACAAACACTTTAAATAATAGCGTTTAAAGGAAGATAACAGTTTACAGTTTTTTTTTTCTATTGCCAGTTTGCTTGGTTTCAAAGCAGTTTTCAATCCTTGACAGTTTTTAGTCGACTGATGAGCCAAACCCATTTATTAACTCATTTATTATTAAACATTTATTTCTTTGGATACTTCGGAAAACTTCTTCATTAGAAGCCATTAGAAGTCTATGCCTGTTAACCTGAATGACCTGATTGATCAAGACTAAAGAGCAAAGCTCTAAATATGTAAACCACTTACTTTTGTTTTGTCCTGGAACTTTTTAGAAATGAAACATTATCATCCGAGTCACTGTCCTCTATGGTGATCTGATCACAGAGAAAAAAAAAAGAATAATAAAAAATAAATAAAAAATGGAATTACATGTTGCAGAACAGCACTTTCCCATCCTGAATCCTATAAAGATATATGCACTCCTTTCTCTTGTAAAAAACCCCTGAACAGAAACAGGTCCCTGTAGCTTTATACAGCAACACTCTCTTGCAGAAAACTATTTAATGAAAATATTTATAATTGCATATTTATTTCTGAATGAGGTCGCATTGGATTTTATTGTTGACTTTTTTCTACAGAACAACAGATTTTAATGGGTGTTTTATAGATTTTTGTCCTGTTGTCTTTTTTAATTTGATTTATTTTATTTTATTTTTTTCATTTATGTTGTTTGAAATGTACAGCAATTTGGAGTTACTGTGTAGTCTGAAAGGTGCTTAATAAATAAACAAATAAATAATGCAAAATACAACAAAAAAGATGTTTCGAGGAATGTTGGTAACCAAACTGTAAAACCATATTTTTTCCATTGTGAAAATATATCTAAATTATGACATATGCTCTCAATGACAAAATCCAGAGGAGTTAGTTTGCTGACATCAAGGCTAGAGGCTATTGTAATGCTCTCGGCGGTCAATTTGAGGTCAATTTGCTGTGGGCTCAACCTTTAATGTCATACACTTAAAAGCTTCACTGATATTTTTATTTTAATTTATTTTCAAACCTTAAAAATGTAATTAATTTGGACTGGGTTAAGCAAAGTAATAATAAACTGAATCAGAAACAGAAATTGTGAGAATACACTCTGGACAAACGAGGGTAAGGGCCCAAATTATTGTTTCTGAGAGAGACTGCTAATGTTCAACTTCATGTTTTTGTACTAGTCAAAAAAGTCTATTTTTTCTTTGTCATCATTGTGTGTACTGATAAAAGGGTTAAAGGGATACTCCACCGGGTTTTCATATTAAACTATGTTATTCCCTTAACTAAGACGAGCTGATGCATACCTCTCTCGTCTCAGTGCGTGCACTCTATCGCTCTGTATTGCCGCAAAACAATGTTAGCACTTAGCTTAGCCCAGTGCATTAAATATGGGCCAGAAAGAGAAGCGACAAAACACTTCCTCGTTTTCCCTATTTAAACACAGTTACTCGATTAGTGTAACTCGACCTAGGCTGGTGACACAAAATAAAACGTTGTGTTTTTCTAAGCGTTTAAAATTGATGACTATATTGTATGGCGGAATACCATAAAAAAGTGCTTTAGAGCACTTCAACTTGGCGCAATAATACCTTCACTCGTGAAAAGTCTTCTTACCGGCTCCCGCTTCCTCGCTCTCCCCCTCCCTCTTATTTCCGTCAATGCAGCCAACGTGACATGCGACAAAGCGGGAGCCGGTAAGAGGACTTTTCACGAGTGAAGGTATTATTGCGCCAAGTTGAAGTGCTCTAAAGCACTTTTTTTATGGTATTCCGCCATACAATATAGTCATCAATTTTAAACGCTTAGAAAAACATAACGTTTTATTTTGTGTCACCAGCCTAGGTCGAGTTACACTAATCGAGTAACTGTGTTTAAATAGGGAAAACGAGGAAGTGTTTTGTCGCTTCTCTTTCTGGCCCATATTTAATGCACTGGGCTAAGCTAAGTGCTAACATAGTTTTGCGGCAATACAGAGTAATAGAGTGCACGCACTGAGACGAGAGAGGTATGCATCAGCTCGTCTTAATTAAGGGAATAACATAGTTTAATATGAAAACCCGGTGGAGTATCCCTTTAAGAGATTAAAAAGTATGCAGGAACCCTGTACTAAATGATCAAAGTAAAATTTAAGGCTTTTTAAGACCTTTTTAAGACCTGAAGAAATCAAAATTAATACCATAATATTAATTTTGTGCAATATTGACAAAAATATATGTGCAATGTGTGCAATATTGACAAAATATATCTTGATATTTTCAACATTTTGTTGATAATAATTAGATGATATTTCACTGATTGTGTTTTTGTGCAGGTGCATGGCTGGTTTAGGCCTTTTGTTGACAGCAGACTCACGGAGATATTCTTATTTTTCATATTCTATGCAGTGGTAAGTTCACAGCAGTGACAGAAATTATTAATTAATGTGCAATGTTTGCCACCTTAAATTGATTTCCAGGGGCATTTTCACCTATTTAGGCCATCCTTAAAAACATTTTGGTTTGCAGTAACAGCAATTTTTTAAAAAAAAACAAGGGTCGGTAGGTAGGTCTATATTTTTTTTTTCAAGATTCAGTGTAAAAAAAAAAAAAGTACAATTTTGGTCATGGTGATCATGATTTTTTTTTTTTTAAATGCATATTGTGACATCACTGACACTGACTGGGTCTTCAAACTGTGCATCCACCGCTAGGTGTTAATTCAACCTACAACCGGTTACATTTTAGGCCAGTCACAAAATGTATAAAATATCTATTTGTTATTCATACATGAGATATAAGCAAAAACAAGTACAAAACACATGGTCAAACAAAGAAAATAACAAAGATACAAATTAGCCTATATACACAGTGCTTTAATTTCAAGAAGGTCTAAAATTAGCTACTTTTCAGTTAAGTCTGTCGCTCTGTCTGAAAAGAAATTTAATTTAGTAATCAAATGTAAAATGACACTGCATAGTTTATCATAGTTAGATTAATACTTATTCAAGTTTAAGTTATTCATTCAAGAGCTGTGAGTGATTTTTATCTGCCTTTTGTAGTTTGATTCGCATTACTGGCTCAATCATCACATGTTTATTAGACTACTGCCCCTTTAAGACCGAATGCAGAACTCTACTGTAATAGATGACTAATGCACCATCATTTTCTCCCAACTATTTACGTCAAATTAAGACATAAACTGTGTTTAAATGAATCTCAGAGCAGGTCATTTTTATATTTTATGTATATTTGATAGTTTAGATGCGCACATGAAGCCCAAAATGAGGCGATAGCCTACTTTTCTTGTCTCGTTTTAGTGCATCTCGGAGCGCGCGTCGCATTGTGAACAGCGTCTCTTGCGCAGACTTTTGCTCTTTTAATAATTGAATGCGTCCGCAGTTTAGCAATAGTACAGACTGCATTTTTCACCGATCGTGCTGATTCTGACGGTACATTTGGGCTTTTGGAAGAAATGACAGCGCAACGCTGTGAAGGGAAGGAAGTTGCGCTAGACAGAATGAGTCTGTAAATGGTTTCATCGCAAGACTCAAATATCTTCTTTTTATTATTTTGAAAGCGGAAATCTAAAATACAATTAGAATAATATCCCAGATCTAAAGTGTAACCACGTTCTGTCCTCATCATTGTCACTCATTAAGCAGGGCTGTCGTGCTGTGCGCACTGTGGCTCCGGGTGAGAGATCGCTCTCTCTTCTGGACTGCTTATAGCAAAATTGCATCACAGACAAATTGTTTAATATTATTATTATTATATATAGAAATGGTTGATATTCAGCCCCGTTGCCCGTTTAATACCGGGTTTACCAAGCGGGAACACTGAATGAAACGAGCGAATGTACAAGCCATATAGTGGGACACACGCGTAACGTTAAACCAACATTAATCGGATGACTATGACGCCACGGGTTTTTATTTAAAAGAAAGAACGTAACCTACGTTTGTAGGCTATGTAGACACAAGCAACTTTCACAATACTAACTAAAATATAATTAATATTATTTTATTAAATTATTAGTTTGAAGAGTAAAAAAAAATAAAAAAAATCGGTCGGTCTGAACGCAAGTTACAACCGGCAAGTCGGTCGGACTAAAAGGAAAAAAAAATAAAAAATTGGGTTGGCCCTAAATTGACAGGGTCGGTCGGATTACGGCAAACAAGAATATTTTTAAGGGTGGCCTTATGGAGATTTTTTTCTAAACTTATTTAGTTATGCATCAAGTTTTATGTTAAATACTAACATTTAAATTAAATTATACAGTAATTATACAATAATACTTAATTACACAATAATTATACAGTACCACTGTTAGCAGTCAAATTAAATCATTCAATCAAAATCCATTTTTGCAGTGCAGAGGTGACACAATAGCAGAATCAGAAGTGGCATTAATATTTACACTCCATTTACAATTGCATAAACAAGCTACAAGTTTTTTTTAATCAATATTTAAATAGGAAATGATTTCTAATTTATAAACCTTTTACTTTAAATATGAATCAATATATTGATATAAATTCGGGAAAGCAGCAAGTGAATGAATCGTTAAAATGATTCGTTCAAAACGCGGATTTCATTCAAGAAATCATCTGTTACATTGAGACTCTGCTACGGTTTCATTTTGAAATTCTAAGATCAAAGATCAAGAAGCACATCTTTTACTTCTAACCTTACTGTGAGTGTGAAGTTATACTAGTTAGTAGGGCTGGGTAATAAATATCGATTTCTCGATATTAATCGATTCTCATTTTTACGAACCGATATCAATTCTTAAATCTCAAGAATCGATTAGTCATCCTGTTTCATTTGAATGAATGAAACATTGTATCGCAGCTGCGCGCATCCACAAAAAAATAAAAAAAAATAAAAAATAATTCGCAATAATCTTTGTCCTTTGTTACTATTGATATAAAACAAAGTCTCAGTTTTCAAATTACGTCCATTTTCTTTACAAATTCAAAAGAAAATGGATTTTTCCATATTACATATGCATTATAATCTTAATGTTCTTCAATATTTAATGCATATTTGAATAAATCTGGCGAGTTTTTATGACAGCCACCATTTAAAATGTTTATATTTCATATAATCTTCTTATTATAAAAATAAATAAAAGTGTAATTTAAGTGTTTGTATAGCTACAAAACAGTTCATTATTACCTTCATATTAGGCTAATGAAGCCTAGTAGGCTACAACTAGACTCCCATAGTTTACAGCATTAGTTAAGAGATTTGATTTCCTTGAGAAAATTTGCCATTTATTGTAACTGATATCCAAAATAATCGATATTGAATCGAATCGTAATCGAAATCGAATTGTGAAATTTGTCTCAATACCCAGCCCTACTAGTTAGACCGTTTTATGTTTTAGATTATGATTTCGGTTCTCATACCGGTTTTTGATACGCTAGCACACGCTGCTAATAAATACAACGTTATACAGTTCTCGTGTAGTCCGTTTGCTTCGTAATTACGATTATAGAAGTGAGACTTACCCAGCTTTGCATGAAAAATGTTGCTCCCTGATATTGTTAGTCCCAGCCTCCGTCTCGATTAGTAGGAAATGCGGTGGTTCATTTTTTGACTGTGACCGGTAACGTTATGCTTTTGCCTCTATTTGGATGCCTTGTTGTTTCTTGCGTTTCACCTGTATGTCTTGAATATAGCCTTTGAACGCATATTGCAGCCCCCTTCGCCTACTTCTATCGGATACTTTATTTGCTGCTTTATAAAAGTTTGATAACATTTCAGCAGGAAGAGCTGTCACAGCATAAGCCATGCAGAGCGCAGATGAAGTTTGACGGATGTAGTAACAGTAACTAAGGGGGCGGGGCTTAGCCAAAGGTGAATTCTGCCACGAATGTGCCGCAAATTGTCACGTGAACAAGCAAATGCACAAAGAATAGGCCAATAAAAAAATAATATGAACGCAAATTAGATGGTTTTAATTTGGAAAACATTTAGATATGACTAAGTCAAAGTGTCATCTAAAATGTAAGACCTTTCATTAGTAAAAATAAGACTTTTTATGGCCTTAAATTTTAAAAATCTAATTTAAGACTTTTAAGACTTTTTAAGGATCTGCGGGAACCCTGTTAGTTTTTAACAGTTAAAGACATGCAGATATTTGTGCGTATACCTCATCGGCATCCAACTTTGATGTGTTTCCACGAGAGGTCCTCTGAGTTGAAGCCTGGAATGCTGTAAAGAGGACAGAACACAACAAATAAAACACCTGAGGCTGCCATTTAAAGGGAACACCGAACAGACACCTTCACACCATTTCAAATAAACCTCCAAGCAAACACCGAAATGAAACAGAGAACATAAGAAACTAAATGATTGAAAGTTTGAGTAATGGGAACCACAACAGCGTTTTTGAGACTGTCTTTGGTTCACTACAGTTTTAAGGAGAAAATACTCAGCGATGATGTTGACTTATTGATAAAATCTTATCAATTCCCATCCCTATTCATATCAATGCCACTAACGATTCTGCTTATCGATCCGATTCTTTAACGATTCTCTTATCGATTCCTGATAGCACTGTGTGGGAAAAAGTAGTCATAGGCCTATGCTTTTTTTGGGGGGAAAACAATTGGTTTTATTTGTTTTAAACCTTACACTTGACTAAGCAAACTGTACACTAAAACAAATCAGTTCAAATGAGTCATTAGTTCGCGAATTGATTGAACGTATCATTATCGGACCTGTGCGCGTTGTGTGATTATCCCGGTGGTCGGGACATCCCACAAGGTATGTGTCATCACAGAAAACATTTCATCTTTGGATCGTTTTTTTTTTGTTTTTTTTTGTTTGGTTTGTCAGCTGAATGTGCGGAACGCTTTTCAGAGAAGATAATGCAACGTAGGCCTATTTTAGCACTTCACACACCCAGGGATAATTCAGGAAAAACAAATTTCCGAATGCTGCACATGAAACTTTAGTCCCCCGACCTTACCATCGTGTCGATTATTTTGATTTATATGTGCGAGGGAGAGAGAGAGAGAGAGCAAGACAGCGCTTCGTTTTGAGACGGTGAAGCCTAAGCGAGAGAGTACGCACGCACGACCGGGGCTCTCTCTCTCTCCCTGCTCGTTCAGTTTAACACGTGCCCCGTCACAAGCGCAGCGGTTCATTACTACAGAGAGAGACAATTTTACTCACCGATCAAATAAGGCTTTGGTGGTACAAACAAAATCGCTTTGGACGCCGTGCTATGTTGCTTGATAAAGAACAAAAGGAACAGTTGTGAGTTCACTGTCTGTAGCCTACAAGCTGGTTGACTCAGAGCAGGAGCATCGATAAGAGGATCGTTAACGTCGAGGGCATACAATATCGATGGATCGTAAAATTTAGAACCGGTTCTCAAGTGGAACCGTTTTTCGATTCCAATCCCTACTTATGAATTTGCACATAGTTTGTCTTAAAGCATATTTAAAACACCACATAGACATATAAACAATGTTTGTGATTTTAAGTGCACTGGCTGAAAGTGCAGAAAAAGTTACTTGCATCCTTTAATGCACAATGGGCTTTATGCCCAGCTGCACTACTTCCTGAACTTCAGCCAGCTTCTTGTTTCCTGTCTGCCATTATTGGCCAAATTGATTAATTCAGGTGTGTCTGATTATTGTTGCCATGACAACTGAGGTCAAGCACACCTGGATTAATAAATTTGGCCAATAATTGCAGACAGGAAACAAGGAGCTGGCTGAAGTTCAGGAAGTAGTGCAGCTGGGCATAAAGCCCATTGGTTTGAACTTCAACACCACTTGCTCGTGTGTGTTTGAGTATCAGGTGTATCATGAGATTGTATCTTACCATCCATTATTGACTTGGTTTTTAGGGGACTTGAGAGAGATCCTTTTTGTCCTCGTCCCCCCCGCCCTGCCTTTGAGGCAGCACCTGGACAGAATTATTGAATTTTTAAAACAAATTTGTTTTGTGCATTAAATATTACAAATAGTATAATGAGTGCAATTCAACATGATTTTTGGTTTCAAAGACATATGTTGTAATTTATGTCCATAACACAGGCTGTGTTTACTGTGAAATAAACAATACATTTGAACCAAAAATTTGAACCAGATTTAAATAGCATTTCACACAAAAGAATTAAGGTTTGAAATGATTGGAATACCAAAACATTTCAGTTACAAAATATTTGGCTCAAAAGGATCTCTTCACAATTTAGGTTTTTTGATTTATATACAGATGAAACTCGAAAAATTTGAAAATTGTGCAAAAGTTCATTTATTTCAGTAATTCAACTTATAAGGTGAACTTAATATATTATATAGACTCATTTATTTGTTATAATTTGGATGATTATGGCTTACAGCTTATGAAACCCCAAAATTGTGAAAAGGTTTTCATAAGCTGTAAGCCATAATCATCTAATTTTCGAGTTTCGCCTGTATTTAGTAAAGAAATTGTTCGGTCTCTGCGAATATGTTTATGTAGATACCTCTCCCTCTTCCTCTTTTGGTAGTGCTAGGATCTCCTCGTCCTCTGGAGCTGCGCCCCCTTCCACGGACCGGAGGAGCAGATACGGACTCTTCATCAGACTCCATAGCAATGTCAGCTAGCTCATCTGATAGGTTGAGGTCATCACCTCTCAAAGTTTCACTGCGATCTCTATTAGCTTTTGCACGGATTATAGCCTGAAACAGAATGAATGGCAAATTGATGGGGTAATTTACTTTTTTGAATGTATGCCAGTGAGTGATGAACATGAAAATGAATGAATGACATGTATAGTGAGCAAAAGAGACAAGTGACCTCTTGAACTTCCTCATCCTCTTCTGCTGTGTTTCTCTTTGATTCTCGAAACTGTCGAATCTATTGACGCATGCAGATAAACATGACAGATTATGTGAATCCAAAATCACCGCGTTTCATTTGGTAAGTGGTACATTGTTGTCTAAGGGAGTGATGGAGGTTTTTATCTGTAAAAACACATTTTCTCAGAAACCAACAGTGGCTGCTCATATGCTGGTAAAGAACTAAACCGGCCACCTTTCAACCATTGTGAAATTGGTTTATTGCCTTGTTCAGCTGAGGCGCTCTTCCTCTTACCTCCTCATCAATCTTCTCCTCTGTGGCTTCCACCCGTCGTTCTCTGAGGAAGCGCTGGGTTTTCTCCAGCTGGTAGTTTATGAGTTCTTCAATAGCATCTCTCTCCTCCTTATCCACAAACTCCTGCACTGCCTTTCCCATGCCTTGCTCCGTCAACAGAGACAACTGCACATTCTACATGTACAGAAACACACACCATTACACACTGAAATATTATTAAACAGCTGGTTTCAGGATATAGGGGGTAGGGTAACATATTTAGCAGTGTCATTCTGTGTTCATCAAAGTAGATAACATTTACATAGGCATATTTTTTTTACTCTGAAAGAAATGTTCTGATTGATGATTCTGAACATACTGTTTACATGAACATTACTACATTACTTGGTTTGATGCCTTCCTCCCTAATGAGTGATGAGCAAAAAAGTCTTAACTAGACAAGTCAATTGATCGATTGTTTAAATGACTAATATTTTCCTATCAATTGGAATTTCAAAGGTTTACACCACCACTTCGAATTGTAATGACATGGTTATATAAAACCTTTATCCTCCGAACTGGACTCCAATTTAAATGCACACTATGCAAGAATTGTACCTTAATATAACAGCTTCAAAGTCATTTCAGTGGTAAACAAACTCATAGCGTGCATTTCGGGCGTGAAACTCGACGGAAAAAGCAAAGAAAAGGAAAAGATAATCTGACCGTATGAGGAACCAGACAAGTGTCCCACTTGGTCAGGCTTTTCCATGGATGGGGCTTTTCACTTGTTGGTGCGAGCTAAAAAGCAGCACTGGATGCAACAGTGATACTAACCTGGCGATCTTGTTGGACTAGAAAGTGGTCACTAGGGGTTGTACCGACTAGTCGATTAGTCGACCTTAATGCAATGTCGTGACGCTTTAAGGTTGACATCGATTAGTCGCGTTGATCATGTGACACAATATGATTGGCTAATTTTTATAATATATGGCCGCGTTGCAGACGACAACAGATGAAGAGCCCAGAGGGTCATTGCAGCAAGAAAGCAGCATTGGTAGGCCAAACAAAGTGTATGGAAATACTTTACTAACTTGGCACTATATTGTTGAAAACGAAAGTAAAAGCATGACGCACGCTCACTGTTTTTACCGGGAAATGAGAGTTTCTCTTTTAAAATGATCGAACATTATTTTTTTCATATATTTATTTAAACATAGCCTATTAATGCATCTCTAATTCACCCGCAATTTTTTTTCTTTTCATCCTAAATGATAACAGCGGGCTGTTTAGCTACATCTGGCCTCTTCATGTGTTTCTGTGATCTGATTGCTAACCGATCGTGAAAAGGGCTAAATGCCCTCCGAAACGCATTCGAGATTGATTTTAAATTTGAAACAGAATATGTAAATTGGACTTCCCAGAATCCCGAATTGGAATCCCGAAAATGCTGAAAAAAACGTGTGAGAGCGTGCTAGCCTATGTATTAATTATATGACGAAGCTATGACAACACGCATCACCGCAGCTGAGCATCTATTCATAAAGCCAACGTGCAAACTATCGTAAATCAAAGTGAATGTAAGTCACAGACGCTTAAAACACAATCATCTCAGTTAAAAGTGAAGAAACAAAATGATCTTACCAGTGCTGACTCTCTAATTGCAGTCTTTGATTTAGATTTTTAGATTTTGCTAATTAGCTGATGATCAATAAAATGCAGCTCATTACTGTTGCTTTCAGTGATGTGAACTCCGTTAAATCAGCATATAGCGCGTTGTTTTGAAGATACATAACAAAACATATTTATGCCAGGGCTCGAGACTAACGGCGTCCTATCGTCCTGGGGACGATAGAAAATGTGCTTAGGACGAACAGAAATATTCTCCAGGATCTACAGGACGAAAGATATTTTTGTATGCGTGTTCATTTATTACTAGCTAACATGTGCCAAATGGCAAAATTAACCAACCAAGCGCTGACTACAAACAGAGCGCGTCTTCATTACTATAAGTTACTATCACTGGCTGGCTACTCGCGGAGACTCGTTCCACGGTACATATAGCATCGCAAATATGTTGCGCTGGTTAAACAACGGATATTCAATGAATAAAAACTAGACAAAATAATGTTAGATAGTGACTATTTGGGTAGAGATCCAGTCAGACCTGCGTTTGTGGTAGATGCGCACATTTGAAGCCTACTGTAACGTGCTGATCTGCAGTGGCACGCGAGTTGGCAAACTTGGCATGCACTGCATGTCTCATAAAACGTTAAAAAATTTAAACGTCTGGGAGAATGAGTAAAGCACACTAAAAGATCTGAATAAGAGTGACGACGCAAAAAAAGCTATATTCGGTGCGGTTTTCTGTGCGCATACACACAACCGAAGCTTGCAGCCACCTATACAGAGTTTAGAGCAGATGTGCAATGAAATTAAATGTATTCTTATTGTCATAGTGCTATTGTCACTACTGTCGTAGATTGCTATAGCCTATATTACTATTATTGTCATGAATATTATCATTATAAATACTATCATTGATACTGCCACCACTAATACAGATATATATATATATATATATATATATATATATATATATATATTTCTTTGTGTTTGTCAAAGTCTCTATCATATCCTCTACAACTATTCAGATACTACCGAATTGCATCACAGAAAGGATCTCGTGTGCCTACATATACCACTTTGTCGATAACTGTGTGGGGTTGTTGTGAGTTTTTCTGTTCTCTGTTGTTTTTTTTTTTGTTTTTTGTTTTTTGTTTCCCCTTTCCTACTTCTGTATTGTAGATGTGTCTCACTGAATCTTACCTGGTATGTGTTACTGTTTTGTTAACCTGCAATAAAAAAAATAAATAAATAAATAAAATAAAAACATAGACACCTATACAGCGCGCGAGTACTGAATTGAGCTCTCTTTCGTATGAATGGACAAAATAATACACACAACATTATGTCTAAATGTCCGTTTTTGGAGAGTATTCATGTAAACTATGTTCAGTGCATTTGTATCCGCATGTCACTGGACATGATCCGATGTCTTAAAGTGACAGTAATGCAGTCTGTCCTTAATATTCAAGCAACAAAAGAAAAAGAAAAAAGCATTCACTGCTCGTTAAAAGCTTTAATAAGGATTCATTATAGACCATTTTGCAAGATGTAAACACTGGTCCAGAAGCACTTCCTGTTTCAGTTTAACACTACATACAAGCTGGGATAAAATACAACTAACAGAACATATAAAACTGAATCAAAAAGTTAAACAAACATCTTTAAGATGTTTTCTTACATGTGAAATAAAGAAAACAGTTACAAACTGAAACAGGAAGTGTTTCTGGACCAGTGTTGTTTACATCTTGTAAAATGGTCTATACTTAATTCATACAAATAAATGTCTGCTGCTTGAAAAAATAAAGAATGATGTAGGAAAGTAGCGAAAAAGAATGCAAATATCATTAATTGAAAAGAAGACTGTTCTACTCAAGGAAAAGTGGTTTTATTTAATTTTAAGATATTTAAGTCACAGTAGTTATATCTGTATCTGTATTGCATGTTCAAACTTTAAAATCATTCATATTAACAGGTTAATAGATAATTTTTTTATTATATCTGTTTTATCGATTTACAGAAAACTACTTTGAATGAAGCTAAATAAATATAATATTATATATATCATAAACACTTTAATGTTGTTTTTATTATGTGACTAACAACTTTTATTTTGGGACGGTTGACATTCACTTTAGGACGGTTCAAATTGTTATTCAGGACGGTTTCAGGACGGAGGTGAAAAAAGTTAGTCTGGAGCCCTGTTTATGCGACCAGGTGTAAATGGAATCGATTTGATAAATCAGATCAAAACGCATGAAGTGTCCAGGTGTAAACGGCCCCATTATGAGCTGTCAGCATCTGTATAATTTTCTGTTAATTAATTGCATATTGTGGCATATTGCAAAGCAGTCACATCTCGTGTTTTTATGAATGACGTCGTCAGCGACTAGTCGAAGTCGACTCGACTTTGATGTCATAACAGTTGACTTCAAAAAATCTAAAGTCGTTCACCACATAGGGTGACCAGACGCCACCACATAGGGTGACCAGAAATCTCGAAAAATTCGGAAAGCTGCTGTTCCGAATCCGGCCCTAATTGTCCCGAAAATTATACTAAAGCAAAATCTTGAGTAGTTATTGTCTGATAAAATATTAATAACTGTCCGTGGAGGTTGAGTCGGCCCCTGCTGGCGGCTCATTGGCTGAAGTATCTTTTCTGTTCTTTTATGAAGTTCTACAAAGATTTAGGTGCGAATTTAGTTATACATTACTAAGCGAATTTTCATTTGTTTGTTTCATTGACATGGCTGGTGTACCGGAACCACAACACACCATTTTTTAGTGGCAGACCACAGACAAATGACGCTGTTGATCTTTGAAAAAAAATGTTTGGTTCAATGTTTGACAATTATGGCAAACATTTGGCAGTGTTTGGCAATTACAACAAATGGGGCAAAAAGGACACAAAGGCAATATAAATTTTCTCAGAAGTGTATACAACTTGGCTTTGGCTTGAACACTAGGCTTGAACACTTAACAATTATGTGTTATTATGCCATTCTTTTTTAGTATTAAACTTCTGACCTAGTGTTGATGTGTCCGTGAGCAAGACACCTAGCCCTAGCTGCTCCTGACGAGCTGGATGGCGCCTTGCATGGCTGACATCGCCGTCGGTGTATGAATGAGTGAGAGAATGGGTGAATGTGAGGCAAAATGTAAAGTGCTTTGGTGGCCATTGGGTCTGTGAAAGCGCTATATAAATGCTGTCCATATGGCTGCTGAGTAAATAGACTTTCCTTGAAAGGGGTTTTGTCATAAAGCAATAGAGCCAGTTGAATAAGAATTTCAAAGAAAGTGATGAGAACCTTTCAAAAGAGCTCCATTACTTAAGCATGACAATTCTGTTGAAGGTTAGGAGACGACTGAAGATTTATCTGTATCTTTAACACACACAGACAAACTACAAACCTTCTCAGCAGTCTGGAAGTATTCCTTCACAAGATCTTCTACTCTCAGTTGTAAGATCTCAGAATTGGGACGAGAGAGGAGTGCTCCAAAATCCAAACTTTCTTCTGCAGAACACACACAGCATGATTCAAATTGAAATACTAAATAAATGTTTTTCCTGTGCATGTGCAATCATGCAAGATTTTCAACTAAGCCACGAGCAATGATGGGCAGTAGCATCACTAGAAAAAGTGAAACTGTCATAATTTACTCTCTCTAATGTCCTTCCAAACCAATATGACTGACTTCTATCAAACAGTTTAAGAAATGTTCTTGTATTGTTTGCATTTTCCATGCAATTACAACTAATGCAGCAAAAAGGACACAAAGGCACTATAAATTTATCTCAGAAGTGTATACATCTTGGCTTTGGCTCGAACACTAGGCTTGAACACTTAACAATTATGTATTATTATGCCCTTCTCAATTAGAATTAAACTTTTCAGTTAATCAGCTTAAGGCTAGGCAATATATGCAATATATACTGTGTTTATATACATGTTTTTTTTTCATGCATATTATTAGGATTTTGGCTTTTTATTAGTACTTACACTCACCGGCCACTTTATTAGGTACCCCATGCTAGTAACGGGTTGGACCCCCTTTTGCCTTCAGAACTGCCTCAATTCTTCGTGGCATAGATTCAACAAGGTGCTGGAAGCATTCCTCAGGGAGTTTGGTCCATATTGACATGATGGCATCACACAGTTGCCGCAGATTTGTCGGCTGCACATCCATGATGCGAATCTCCCGTTCCACCACATCCCAAAGATGCTCTATTGGATTGAGATCTGGTGACTGTGGAGGCCATTTGAGTACAGCGAACTCATTGTCATGTTCAAGAAACCAGTCTGAGATGATTCCAGCTTTATGACATGGCGCATTATCCTGCTGAAAGTAGCCATCAGAAGTTGGGTACATTGTGGTCATAAAGGGATGGACATGGTCAGCAACAATACTCAGGTAGGCTGTGGCGTTGCAACGATGCTCAATTGGTACCAAGGGGCCCAAAGAGTGCCAAGAAAATATTCCCCACACCATGACACCACCACCACCAGCCTGAACCGTTGATACAAGGCAGGATGGATCCATGCTTTCATGTTGTAGACGCCAAATTCTGACCCTACCATCCGAATGTCGCAGCAGAAATCGAGACTCATCAGACCAGGCAACGTTTTTCCAATCTTCTATTGTCCAATTTCGATGAGCTTGTGCAAATTGTAGCCTCAGTTTCCTGTTCTTAGCTGAAAGGAGTGGCACCCGGTGGGGTCTTCTGCTGCTGTAGCCCATCTGCCTCAAAGTTCGACGTACTGTGCGTTCAGAGATGCTCTTCTGCCCACCTTGGTTGTAACGGGTGGTTATTTGAGTCACTGTTGCCCTTCTATCAGCTCGAACCAGTCTGGCCATTCTCCTCTGACCTCTGGCATCAACAAGGCATTTCCGCCCACAGAACTGCCGCTCACTGGATGTTTTTTCTTTTTCGGACCATTCTCTGTAAACCCTAGAGATGGTTGTGCGTGAAAATCCCAGTAGATTAGCAGTTTCTGAAATACTCAGACCAGCCCTTCTGGCACCAACAATCATGCCACGTTCAAAGTCACTCAAATCACCTTTCTTCCCCATACTGATGCTCGGTTTGAACTGCAGGAGATTGTCTTGACCATGTCTACATGCCTAAATGTACTGAGTTGCCGCCATGTGATTGGCTGCTTAGAAATTAAGTGTTAACGAGCAGTTGGACAGGTGTACCTAATAAAGTGGCCGGTGAGTGTATAAACCACATACTAATGCCTTATTCTGCACGGCTATATTCTACATCCATAACCCTACACAATACCCATTTAAGAACTACCTTACTAACTATTAATAAGCCGTGATTAGGAGTTTATTGATGCAAAAGTCAAAGTAAACAGTTAAAATTGTGAGAATTTGACCCTAATCTAAAGTGAGACCTTTTTTTGTGAAACACCTAAACCCCAATTTTGTAACTACACTAAAAAAAAAAAAAACAACAACAACTTATGACTTACTAACTTTAACTGCCAACTATTACAAATATATCGAACTTTACCCACACACACACACTAAACAGTGTACGTCGTATAAAGAGCAAATCTCAACTGTAGACGCATACTGGTATTCAGCAATACTGTATTGCATGTTTTTGTGCAAGTGCAGTGTTTCTCTGAACTCACAGTATCTAACTTCCCATCATCAATTAAAAATTCAGAATAACCTAACCATTGCGTAGACTGTTTAACACAATCATTCTGTGTCAGAATGTTGAGAAACCTACAATGAGAAGCATGTAAAGAAATTACCGAAACAGATTGTTTAGGCTTTACAACAGCATTGGGCCCGCTAACACGACACCGTTCTAACAGAAAAACTCATCCGCATAAAACAGTGGCTGGTGTCTCGAGAACGCACTCCCTGAAATTGGTTCGAATGTGCAAATGATTATCTGTTCTCTCTGTGCAAAAGTCAAAAACGCAAACCCACAAATACACAGACAGCGCGCACATGTGCATCACGTGTTCAGTCCATAGGTATGCCCCTTTGAATATATATGTGCACAGACGTTTAGTCCAACACAAATCAACCCTCAACAAAACTAATTTTCTGGTATTAATGTACAATATAGAATTTTTTGTCGCATCTGCGTAGCCACGCAAACCAGAATTATCCCGACAACGTGTTATCTGTACAGAGGTAAAGGTGAAGGAGGCCTTCACAGGGAGGGACTAGTGACACTTCAGGACTGCGTTGTCGTTGTGTCCAGGAGCTGGTCCTTCATCAGATCTGGATACGGCCTGGATCCGGCAGACTGCGGTAAACCTCAGAATAAACAGAGCGACTAAAATTAGCGTAGACGCCATCCTTCTTATGATGCAACAAGTACATCAGGATTTATGGAAAGTGTTCCCGGTTCCGGCTGATCAAAACCATGCAGCCCAACATTTCATGTGTTGTGTATGTTAGGCCAAAGAGATGTTTTTTTTTGTCTAGATTTGAACTGACAGAGTGTGTCTGCTTCCCGGACAATGTTAGGAAGATTGTTCCAAAGTTTTAAGTGCTAAATAGGAAAAGGATCTACTGCAGGCACTCGATTTTGACCGGAATTTTGAGATCGCAATAGACATGAAGGACAACAATGCCTAAGTAGGTAATCAGAAATATTTTAAAATGTATACTATGTTTAATCGGTAGCCAATGCAGTGTTGACAGAACCGGGCTAATATGGTCATATACTATTATAATACTATCTGAAGTTTGTTTCTTAAACGTGCAGGACAACCATCCAGTAGAGCATTACAATAATCTAGACTTGATGTCATGAACGCATAAACTAACTGTTCTGCATTTTTAATTTTGCCATTAATTAAATGGCCATCAGTTTAAAATAACCATGGGAAGAAATAGTGTTGTCAAAGGTACCGACTTGAGTATGTGACGATACCAGCCTTTTCCCCAATCATTTTAAGTGCTGATGAGCGAATTCTTAAACGCCTGATTGGCCATAGTGTTCACACGCTCAACATAATGTCTGTGATTGGCTACAATGATCAACGCATTCAAATACTAATATTAGTACCTTATAGATCACGATTAGCCAGGGAGCTAGAAAAGTTTGCATTTGAAAACGGTATTTAAAAAAAAAAAAAAAAAAAAAGTTGTGTAGCCATTGATGCCATCATATCTCGATAATTGCTTGATTCTACAGAATTAGTCAATTACATGCTGATCTCGAATCTACTTTTTCTGTCAAAGATACTAGAAAAGGCAGTATCTTCACAACCATGTTCCTTTTTAGAAAGTTTGTAGCAGTAAATGAAGAGATGACATAAATAAAAAAAAGGTACATGCTACCCTTACCCTTATGCCATGCTTCCCAATGAGATATCATTGGGAAGCATGGCATTAGTTTTCACTGTTATCCTGATGATACTCAGCTATATATTTATTCACGCCCTGACGAAACTTACCAATTCACAAAATTAACTGAATGCATAGCTGACATAAAGAACTGGATGACTAGTAATTTCCTAATCCTTAAAGTCCCTGTAAAGGCAATTCTACAAAAAAGTTCTAAACACATTATAAATGTTACATATGTATTGCTAAAACATATTACAAAGACTGTGAACTGTGAAGTACTGAAATGTGGAGTTAGACCGTTAAACAGTTTTTCACCATTGCAATTTTACGGATTAATAAGGCGGGGCTAAAACAGGGCTCGATGACGCACTGGAGCCCATGAGCTGCTGGACACCCCCCTATTTGATGACGCACAGAGTCTGATCTCCCCCTCTCCACACACACTCCCCGAGCACATTCGCATTCACCGCTCAATCACGAGTGTCTGTCAGTACTATTAGTTACTACAGCTGAGCCTACAGTTTTCTAGCTAGCTATGCCTTCGAAACGGACATGCTGGGCTACTACCTGGATGCGATCATGTACAAAACAGATGGGTATTTTCATTTAAATTCCCCTAAAAACGATCACATCAAGAAGAGGTTTTTAGAGAGCCAACCTTGTTGATGAAAAGCTGAGGATCACCCCCAACACCCGCCTCTGTAGTGATCGTTTTACACTGGATCATTTTATAAACTTTCCTCAGAGACAACTGGGATTCACTGATAATCCGCTGTTACTGGTGAACAGGGCCGAAACGACGATCTCCCGCCTCAGTGTTCATCCTCCTGTCTCCAAAAGCTAATCAGCTAATATAACCGTCAACAGCTTTCCCGCTAGTGGGCGTGGTTTCAGCGCAGCCAGCGGACACGCCCCCAGCGCTTGAGAGCAGAGAATCTGCTCATTTTTTCATGATTTTGATAGCTTATTTTATGTACTTGCCGGCTTTTTTTATAATTCAAATTTGGCTGGGTGGCTAATAACACACTTTTCTGATTTTTTGTATGACAGACACATACTTAATTTTGACTTTACAGGGACTTTAATTAAACAGAGATTCTAACTATTGGACAAAAAACTTCCTCACGTAATACCCTAGAATCCTGTCTAACAATTGATGGCTGCTCTGTCAAGTCTTTGTCGTCGGTTAGGAACCTGGGTGTGCTCTTTGATACCAACTTTTCATTTGAAAGTCACGTGTCTAATATCTGTAAAACTGCATATTTTCATCTTAAAAATGTATCTAAATTACATCATATGCTCTTAATGACAAATGTGGAACAATTAGTTCATGCGTTCATGACATAAAGGCTAGATTATTGTAATGCTATTATATGGGTGGTTGCCGCAGAAGCAGACACAGTCTGCCAGTTCAAATCTAGACTAAAGATCAGCCGGAACCGGGAACACTTTCCATAAATCCTGATGTACATCATAAGAAGGATGGTGTCTACGCTAATACTAGTCTCTGTTTATCCCGAGTGTTACCGCAGTCCGCTGGATCCAGGCCGTATCCAGATCTGATGAAGGACCAGCTCCTGGACACGACAAAAACAAAGTCCTGAAGTGTCAACTAGTGAAGGCCTCCTTCCCTTTACCTCTGTACAGATAAAATATGGTCAGGATAATTTGGGTTCTGGTTCACTATGAACTATAAACTAATAGTTTGCAAATGATTTGTAAGTACTTTATTTCTGTAAACTTATTGCAAAGTGTTACCGATGTGTGCGACTTGCCTTTAATGTTGTCTTTGGCCTCTTTGTGTCTGATGAAATGCAAGATGTCTTTAGGATTTGCCACTCGGTCAACAAATTTCTGACTAAAGCGCATAGTGTTAAAGACTTCAAAACCCCCACTGTAATCCACCTAGAGAGAAAGAGGCACATGAAAAAGAAAGGTGGATTGTATTTCACGAACTGAGAAAAAAACAAACAGCAAATCCAGACAACGAGAGGGTGTGTGACTGATACATACTCGTAGTCTGATGAGAGGTTTCTCAGGAGTAAGGGGATTTCCAAGTCTCTCTCGCTCTGCCTCTTCAAGCATCTCTTCAACCTAAAAGTAAACAAAAACAAAAAAAAAGCAATGTCCAGTTATTCTTGTGAACTTTTTACACTCACTGTACCTCAATAGTGGAATAATCTTCAAATAGAGGGAAACCAGTAGTCTCTTGATAAATGAAAATGTCATGCTGCTAACCTTTTAAAATTAACCTAAAAGCAAAATTCATAAGTAGGCTTTGGTGCAACCTTGGTAAAACAAAATGTTATGCTATTCAGTTCTGCATCATTGTCAATTACATTGAGAATGACAATCCCAATCAATTCCCGATGAACAAAATCAATTCATTTCACTTAAATGTACTTCACAATAGAGAAGAAAAATGTTGCTGAGTTTTTGTTAGTTGCTTTGGATAATTGTGTCAGATTAATCTAAATTTTGACACAATCTCTCAGCACTGATACTAAAAAATATACCATTTTCTTTTTGTTTTAATTCAAAGTACTGTACAGTTAAAAACTATAGATTCTAAGGAGTTCCTGAATATCTCAGTTACCCCCGTGTGTGTCTGTGGGCATCTGTACCTTCTCCTGGCAGTAAGCCATGACTTTGAGCATGACGTTGGGTTGCTCTGGGCTGAAAAGGTCAGGGTGATCTGAGAGTGTTACATCCTGAATGAAGAACTGCCTGACGGTCTGTAAAGGAATTTTCTGAAGATTCATTTTTTTCCCTTTCACTCTCAACAACCCAATGTGCCTGTGGAAAACCCAAAAAACAACAAAAAATATAATCACATATTCGACTATACTTAAACTTGAAATACACTGAAATAAACGGACACATTCAGGACCAATAAAACAGCATTAAAGTACCATAAAGTACACTCCTCCACTGCTGTTCTCAAATTTTGTTCTCCTTTCAGCATTTTCAAACTGGTGCATGTGGCAAGTGAGAATTAATTCCACCAACGGAACTTATTAAATCTGAATGCGGACATGAATATGATTTCTGACACTGGTGGAAGGGAAGGTTATTTTTGATAACTAATAGAATTTAGCTGTGTTCCACTCCTGAAGTGTATTATGGTCTTTAACCTGTCATTAAATGGAAAACGTTGAGTGTAGATTCATAAATCCTTTTGTGCTCTACAAAAAAGTAAGTTTTTTTTTTTTAAATCAAATAAATAACAGGTTATAATTACGTTCATAAATTGTAATCATGAAATAATGACATTTCTAAAGGAGGTTATGCATTATTATGTGCTTTCTCCCCCACCAAAAACACTATTTAAATTTCACTAAATGTTGGTTTGATGGTCGTTAATGCAGCGAATCCATGATAAACCTAAAGGCATCGAGTGGAGCTGTGCAGCGTGGAAACAAGATTGTATTTGATGATAGAATGGCACTGTCTGCCCCTAGTGAAGTTTGCAATTACTTGGTGAAACTGCATTTATGACTGCAGGTAGGCACAGATGTACCCCAGAGTGAGCAGAGAAGACAATCAGATAATGGAAAAGGAAAAGTTGATGTAATCGATTATGATAATTGTGTAAATTATTAGATATTAGTCATACTCTTTATATGTTCCCCAATCATGGCTCACTGGCATGCTGAAAATCAGTCAATTTTACAAAAATATCTGGTGCAATCTAAAGTGTGGGATTTTTTTAAACAGAGACCGAATAAAATGGTGTTTTGCACACTCTGTAAAACCAAAATGGCATAGCCCTACCACAGCAGCACAACTTCTATGCAACAGCATCTGAAACTGACTGACTGAAATGACCATTCAGAATCATTTAATAGCAGAAAAACTGTGTACTGTATGTGTATATGAGAGCAGGCACACAAACTTTTTAACTGCTTCTCCTGGTGACAGTGAAGTAATGACAGAGCTGCCAGGCTGTGTGACGTAGAAGAGCTGTTGTTCGTTACGGACTGGAGCAATTTTACACTCATGCTCATGACCCCATACCACCAAATCCAGGAAATCATCTAAAAACTGTTCCGGGATGTAGTTAGTCGCCCCATGCTTACTCCTGCAAAAATACACAATTACATTTTTTATATCACGGTAAGCAATCCTTGAAACATAAAAACACAGCATGTCACAAGAAAAGTGTTCAAAAGCATTGCATTCACAGCAAATATTTATATTATTATAATATATTTAACTTCTCAATAATGATTTTATGTAATTTAATGCTTAACTCCATTAATGACACAGACACAAAAAGACATTTAACTCTAGCTCACCATCGGTGTCGCATGGATCAGACAAATAAACTACTATACAAATAAAATCAACTTAAACTTGCCTAGCATCTATGGACGGAGTTTGACATTGTTTGCATTCTCAGAATGTCCTGTTGTCTTCTTGTATCAAGTTTTACAGAATTTGTTTTTAGAAGATATAGATGAGCCCCCAGAAAATACTTGGCTTATTTCATTTTGTCAAGAGTATCTTTAGGTTTTACATTCCATATTTTTTTGCAAACATATAAAGATGAAATTAAACATGGCCAATGTTTCTTCAGACCTCAAGGAATCAGATGAAAAATACTTTAGCCAATACAATTTGAAAGTTATAAGGAAATAATCAAAAATAAAAAGCACCACCTATTATCAGACAGAGATATGCATGTATGCTTGAGGAATGGGTAGGATATGGGACCATTCCACCCCGTTTGCACTCGCTAAGATGTTCTGCTTTTATGCACTAAATAACTAGTAATAATTAGGGCTGGGTAATAAATATCGATTTCTTGATATTAATCGATTCTCATTTTTACGAACCGATATCGATTCTTAAGTTTCAAGAATCGATTAGTCATCCTGTTTCATTTGAATGAATGGGACATTGTATCGCGGCTGCGCGCATTCAAAAAAAAAAATCGCAATAATCTTTGTCCTTTGTTACTATTGATATGAAACAAAGTCTCAATTTTCAAATTACGTCCATTTTCTTTAGAAATTCAAAAACATAAATAGAGTTTTGCCGCTGTGGCGTGAGATCGCTCTGGCGCAGCTGATGAGAAGCAGCAGCGCTGATCTCTCTTCCGGCTTAATAATACCAGTCACAGCGCCAAATAAACATGAATGAGCATCTAAAAGTGTGTTAAAAGATAGAGTACAACTTATCGAAATCCGTATCATGTCACATTCATTCGCTCAATCAGCGTGTCAACCGTGGAAAGACGTCAGTTAAACAGCTTGTAATCAATGTCTTGTCATGTATCGTCATATTTACCTCAGAAGACCCACATCAACTCGTTAGTCAGATAGAAAAAAATAACTCCAGAGAGGAGCATTTTGCTAAATATATACACTATATTACATATGCTTTATAATCTTAAAGTTCTTCAATATTTAATGCATATTTTAATAAATCTGGCAAGTTTTTATGACAGCCACCATTTAAATGTTTATATTTCATATAATTTTCTTATTATAAAAATAAATAAAAGTCAAGTCAAGTCAAGTCACATTTATTTATATAGCGCTTTTCACAATACATATTGTATCAAAGCAGCTTCACACTGATAACATGAAAGTAGCACAACACAGATCAACAACATTGCTAAACACTAAATAATCCCAACTGAGCAAGCTCAAAGCAAGCCAAAAGCAAGGCGACAGTGGCAAGGAACCAAAACTCCATCAGATTGGATGGAGAAAAAACCTTGGGAGAACCCAGGCTCAGTCGGGGGCCAGTTCTCCTCTGGCTTACATTCATATTGTTTAAATATAAATATTAAATATAAATATTGTTTATGAATAAAACGGCGCCATAACATATCGCAGGCGTTGAGTCGTCTCTTCACAGGCGTTGGGGCATCCGAAATCCCAGTGAGAGGCTAGTGTAAGTGTAATTTAAGTGATTCATTCATTATTACCTTCATATTTGAATAAATCTGGCAAGTTTTTATGACAGCCACCATTTAAATGTTTATATTTCATATAATCTTCTTATTATAAAAATAAATAAAAGTGTATTTTAAGTGATTCATTCATTATTACCTTCCTATTAGGCTAATGAAGCCTAGTAGGCTACAACTAGACTCCCATAGTTTACAGCATTAGTTAAGAGATTTAATTCCCTTGAGAAAAATTGCCATTTAATGTAACTGATATCCAAAATAATCGATATTGAATCGAATCGTAATCGAAATCGAATCGAATTGAAAGCTTGTGAATCGAAATCGTATCGAATTGTGATATTTGTCTCAATACCCAGCCCTAGTAATAATACTTAAAAAGAGAAAGTAAAACACAAATGGGTTCCCAAACCTGTTTTGATGGATGACAAATAAATTGAACCAGGCATCTTCATCCTCTCGTGGTCGTAGCATTGTCACCTGTTTATTGACGAACATCCGGTAGAGTCTCTCATCTGGAATGGAACCTGAAAGTACAATACACGATTCTTCATAATGTCCTGCAAAGTATTTATATTAATATTTAATGTAATTACATCTAGTGTAAATGATAAATCACGTTTGAGATTTGTGCTGGCTACTGTATAACAGGCCACCAGGGCACCATGCAGACTTTATCAAATAATTTTTTGTCCGGAGTTAGTACTGGCTGCAGAAAAAGTCCTAATTGTTGGTGATTTTAACATGTAGATAACAGGGCTCCAGACTGCAACCAAATGGTCGCATTTTGCGACCAAAATTTGAGAGTGTGCGACTGAATTTTACATCCAGTCGCACATGTGCGACCAGTAAATTTGCCACACGTTAAACGCATGGTAAAGCGTCAATGAATCCGTGACGAGAATAGTGCGCGTAAACCGTCTGCGGGAAGGAGACGGAGACAAATATCACAACCTGCTGTGTACTTCCGAGCAATCAGCGATCTATTGACTCGTTAGTCGTTTACCTAGCAGCGAATGCAAACAAAATGAAAGTGGAACAAAAATACGGCACTCATATATGAACATATATTAGATATATTAGGACCGTGGAGCAGAAGCAGCGATCCGAACCATTGACAGTAAAATAAAGCCCTGAACTTGCCAGTCGCGGGCCGATCTCGCTCACGCAACGTTGTTACTGGGAGATCCAGTGAAGAAATCCATTGAATTCGCCTCAGAATTAATAACATCAACACCACGAGATCCAGTGAGAAACACTCCGATTCGGTGCAGAGTTCTGTTATAAACCATATCAGATCAAACAGCGCTGACGTGGAAACCAGGAGAAACACTTATAGAAGGCTTTCAGTCCACAAATCAGCCTAACAGAACCATGGATTTAGGCTAATGTAGCAAGTTAACTCTAACCATAAATATGATAATGTGTAAGAAATAGTCAAATGCTTACAAGTAGCCTACTAAACGCATCTTTTCCCAGCACTTCAATAATATCATATATAAATGTTTTATTTTTTTGAATTTTTTATGTGATTACAAACACATTTTTTGTTCATCCTTTAAAGATTGTCCTAAAACTAAAAAAAATTAAGATGTTGGAAAACTCTTATTTAAACACTTAAAAAATAATAATAATAACATTGTAAACAGTAGGATGTTTATTGGCTATTTTCACTACTTTTATTAATTAATATTAAGACATTATAAATGATAACTAAGTTAATTTCATCTACACCCTAAATTAAGCTTAGTGATTTATTGTCAGCTCCAGTGCTACCAGAATTTTTTTTTTTTTTTGTAGAACTCATTTCGTAGTTCTCATTTGAGGTGATGCTGCTCTCAACTTTGAGTCTGGAACCCTGTGAAGTTAAAATAAAACAGCATATCATAATGTTAAGTCTATTTATTAATAAAGAATCTGTCAGTATTACAGTTATTTTGGGGGAAATTTGAATAATTGCATTGCGAGCTGATTTAAATTTTCTGCTTGCGCTCAGGGGCAACAGCGCTCTTAGTAAAAAAAGTTAGTCTGGAGCCCTGGATAACGAAAAAGATGCATTGGGATTGGCAAGTAAAGGCATTCTTAATTCCATTGGAGTTAGACAACACGTGTCAGGACCTACTCATTGTCATAATCATCCTCTAGACCTAATATTATCACATGAAATCAATGTTGATGCCGTTGAAATACTGTAGCAGAGCGATGACATCACAGATCATTATCTAGTCTTGTGTATAGACGAATCCGACGAGCGTTCTGTGTAGGCTGCCATCTTGTGGCGACGCCATTACTGAGCTGTTACACCGGCATATACATGTGCACCGGCATGTAAACAAACCTCTGTGATAACGTGAAAGCACCCTTGATGACAGCTACAGCCAGGCAGAATGACTTGTTGGGTTGATGATGTTAGACAGCGGCCTCCAGTCGCAGATGAAGGTACAAACAATCTTACAGATTATTTATGAAAATAGCTTGGCAAGTTGGCAAGCTAGCTAGGCTAACGTTTGCTAACGAAGAAACTATATAAAAGATCTGTCCATTTGGCAACAATAAATAAATAAATGAAATCAAATAAACAAATTCATGTTTTTCATTATTTATCTCATTTTCAAATTGCAACGGGCAAGGGTAAGGTAACGTTACAGCTAGAAAGTATACATAATATCGACCAATTAGTGTTTTTAAACCATGGAAATTTCAATATAACAGGAGAACAATTATGTCACATAACGTTACATTTAGCTCAGGAAAGCCATTTAATGACCATAGCATGTTAATTGAATAGAAAAAATAGCAAGAGAGGAGATTTTACTGATCACTATATCACATATTTATTAATTTTTTTTACTTATGTCATTAAATAATTGTTATTATACGCGAATGTCCATGTCTTGTCAGTGGCGCAAAAAGTGGGTATGCGCTATATGCGGCGCATAGGGGCGCAGCACAATGGGGGGCGCCAAAGCGATGGTAAAAAAAAATAAAAAAAAATTATATAGGCTATATTGTATTTCTATATGTAGCTGCCGTTGTGCGTTTCTAAATCATTTCTGCATTCCTTCATTGTTATATAAAATTTTAGAGGACTAACAGCTAGGCTAGAGTAGGCGCCCTCATGGAGAAGGGGAGCGGGTAATATCGCGAGCGGGCGGGGGCGCCGTGAGCGCTGAGCGAGCAGGTACGAGTAGTTAGTTGTCATCGAAAAGGATGGATTAAACAAAATGCTGCCTGTGGGGCTAAAAATAGAAAAAGAAAGAGAGAAAAGGAGATGGCATGTCAATTGATGCGACAGCAGCTAAATAACTGCATGCATTGCTGAAAGCCAACAGGTAGGATTTAAAATGTGACATCCAGGCATGGCTATCTATATCTCGGTGGCCATCGGGACTACCGGGAGATTCCCGCTGGGCCGACGTGCTTTTCAGCCAATACATTTCATCCTTTTTTAATTTATTTGTCTTAACGGCCCACAAAACTCATACATCGGCGGCCCATTTGTTTGTTGTTTGTTTTTGTTTGTTTTTTGCTTAATTGGCGGCGCTGTGCTGGTGTAATGCATTGGTCAAAAAAAGTCAGCTTTAGTTTTTTTTTCTGACACACTGGCCCATGAAATACATCATTATGCGCAAGTATCTTTCAACTATAGAAATTAGTGCAAAACTATGAAAGTTTCCTTTATTTTTCTGTGCATTTGTTTTACAATAGCCTTTATGGCTATTACTATCATGGGATTAATATTATAACTATTATTATGTAGTAGTGTAATGTAGACAGACACTAACTAAAAGAGGTTCAAATTTTTCTCTGTTTAATTTGCACCCTGAATATGGGTTGGAGCTTTCAATTTTGAACTCTCAAAGTGCACCAGACTGCTGAATTTAACATTACAGAACACAAATTTTTCTTACGGGGGAGCATGCCCCCGAACCCCCCTAGAGAAACAGAGGTCCACAGTTTTACCGAAAATCCTGTGAGAAACACCGGTATTGCTGTTCCAATGGAGCTTATAGTTTTCTGGGTGGGGGGGGGGGGGTTCATCTAGGTGGAGTAGCTATAGTTTAATTGTGTTAATAAACGACAATTTTGCACTTATTTTCTTCTGTTAGCTCTCATTTCTTCCTACTCACTTATTACACAGCACACTTACATTACATTTATTTTTCCTTTTTTTTTTGGGGGGGGGGGGCGCTAAAATTGTTGCTGCATACCCCTCTGAAACTGGGTAGTTGCGCCCCTGTGTCTTGTACTCGCCCAGGAAATCTGTGTAAACCGTACGGCACCAGACAGGGCTGCGGTCACGCTATCTGTGCTTCAGAAAAGCGCGGTCACGCCATCTACGCTTAAAATTACACTGCATGTCTACACGAGGTTGCGTGGTAGGCTCAAGGTGTATGCGCTTGGGGTATTCACAATGTTTTCTCTTCAAAATTGAAATTTTACTGCCACCATTGAAACAATTTATAACGGAAACTGTTTACCCACTCGACATTATACAAGGGGTAACGTTGCAACGTTAGTGACAGTCGTAAATCGCGGGCTGTTTATTCCAGTGGACGCAAGTTGCAACTAAAACAATAGGAGGCAATGGCGCAACGCTACCCAGCTGCCATCTTGTGGCGACGCCATTACTGAGCTGTTACACCGGCATAGACATGTGCACCGGCATGTAAACAAACCTCTGTGATAACGCGAAAGCACCCTCGATGACAGCTACAGCCAGGCAGAATGACTTGTTGGGTTGATGATGTTAGACAGCGGCCTCCAGTCGCAGATGAAGGTACAAACAATCTTACAGATTATTTATGAAAATAGCTTGGCAAGTTGGCAAGCTAGCTAGGCTAACGTTTGCTAACGAAGAAACTATATAAAAGATCTGTCCATTTGGCAACAATAAATAAATAAATGAAATCAAATAAACAAATTCATGTTTTTATTATTTATCTCATTTTCAAATTGCAACGGGCAAGGGTAAGGTAACGTTACAGCTAGAAAGTATACATAATATCGACCAATTAGTGTTTTTAAACCATGGAAATTTCAATATAACAACAGGAGAACAATTATGTCACATAACGTTACATTTAGCTCAGGAAAGCCATTTAATGACCATAGCATGTTAATTGAATAGAAAAAATAGCAAGAGAGGAGATTTTACTGATCACTATATCACATATTTATTAAATTTTTTTACTTATGTCATTAAATAATTGTTATTATACGCGAATGTCCGTGTCTTGTACTCGCCCAGGTAATCTGTGTAAACCGTACGGCACCAGACAGGGCTGCGGTCACGCTATCTGTGCTTCAGAAAAGCGCGGTCACGCCATCTACGCTTAAAATTACACTGCACGTCTACACGAGGTTGCGTGGTAGGCTCAAGGTGTATGCGCTTGGGGTATTCACAATGTTTTCTCTTCAAAATTGAAATTTTACTGCCACCATTGAAACAATTTATAACGGAAACTGTTTACCCACTCGACATTATACAAGGGGTAACGTTGCAACGTTAGTGACAGTCGTAAATCGCGGGCTGTTTATTCCAGTGGACGCAAGTTGCAACTAAAACAATAGGAGGCAATGGCGCAACGCTACCCAGCAACAGCTCAGTAATGGCGCCCGCTTACTTCCGGTAGTTTCGCCGGATTCGTCTATACTTCATTTAGCCAAGGCTGCAAAGCCGACTCTGTCATAAATTAGGGGTTTCACAACTACTGATTTTTGCTAGTCGACTAGTTTTGCATAACAGTCGACGACTAGTCGACTAGTCGTTAAATGGTTTATTCTAGGGGTGTGCGATATCATGAATAGTAAATGTCTCCACGATCTGCTTTTGAAGAAATATGGTAGTATCGTGTTACAGTGTATTCTATCAGTTCTGGCGCCTCTGTCTCAACTGTACAATGCGACGTACCCTACAAACCACACGTCAAGGAATAGGTACGGGACACTGCAATTCACAAAAGTTCATTATTTGCATAAGCCTTGCCGGTTAAACATTTAATTCACGCGCTGTTCTAACGTGCACTTTCCTGAGCGCGCGGCATACCCCCGACGCTCACAGGCACTAGAAGCCTGTCAAACAGCGCCTGAATACTGGACTAAGTTATCTTTCGAGTCTTATTATGCTAATACTGTTAAATGCATACAATGTTTACATAAACAGAATTGGCTGTGTCTAAAGTGAAAGCAAACATTTGAGAGAAAATCTGGTGTAATATGCGTCTATATTAAACACGTCGCGTGCTGGTCTAAAAGCGAGAGTAGTACTCGTATTTTCCGCACTATAAAGCGCACTTAAAAGCCTTTAATTTCCTCAATCCGGCCTTTTCTCAAGCCTTATAATCCGGAGCGCATTATACATGGATCAATGCTCGCACTCGTGTCCATCTTCTGCCCGCTTTGTCACACGGCCAGTTCAACCTCGTATAAATCAGGTTATGTGTGTCTCCCGCTCACGAGCGCTCACTCTTAACACACACACGAACAGACACTGCTGTCAGCGAGTCAGGCTGCGAATGCAAGTTACGTGCCCACCCCAGCGCGCTCACGCTTACTAAATAAACGCCTCACCTCCGACGCCGCGCACTCGCTGCATTCCCTTTAGCACATCAGTGGATGCATAACACAAACCCAGTCAAACGTTTGAAAAATGTTCTAAAATAGGTAATTGAAGGTGCGCCGTATAACGCTTATAGTATATAGTACTGCCGCTTGTACTTAAAGGGATAGTTCACAAAAAAAATATATCTATATATGTCATCATTTTGTTTTCTGTGACGTGCACTTCATTAAATCCGCACATAGCGAGGGGAATTGAAGATCGGATTTATATCCATTTTGCAAAAACACATTTATGTGACCAGGTGTAAATGAAATCATTTTGATAAATCAGATATCAGCTATCCGATCTGAGAAAACGCATGAAGTGTGTAAACAGCCCCATAGAAGCAGAGCTACCTGACTTGCAGGTAGTGTTGTCACGATACCAAAATTATTGTTTTGCTACCGATACCAAGTCAAGTATCGCGATTTCGATACTTTTCGATACTTTTCCTGAAAAGGAAAGTATTTCTTACAAGGTGATTCATATGCACCTCCTTTGCATAAGTCTGTGCTCTTTAATGTTGTAATAACCTAATATAAATAAATCACTGACATGCACATGCTCTGATTATATAATCATATAGCTGATAGATAATTTTGCTGATGTTTGTATCCTTTATTTTATTTTAGCAGCTTGCAAATTATTTATGCCATCTATGAAAGTTGGGGGGAAACTTGTACACCTAATACAAAAATAAATGAAACATCTCCAGTTAACTAGCAGATAATTCATTTAGTTCGCTATTAAATAAGAGATCTAGTGCTAATATCTGGGTTTTTTTTTTGTTTTTTTTAAATCAAGCACCGCTCTTTTTCGCTGCTATCAGTTGGATACAGTGTCTTTTGCGGCTCGCGCACCATCTTCACACGGACGCGCGCTTCAAACTATCGCTGTTGCAGAGACCTCTTGATCGTGTTACTAATAAATTGCAATGTATAACTATCAGACCGGCCCTCGCGGCCTCGAAACACCACCGGCCCTCCGGGAAAAGATCCGACTCTCCTGATTGCCACTCCGCTACTGACAGGCGGCCACTGTATCACGTGTGCTCGCGCATGCAGCCGTCTCGCGGTAGTGTTTGTCTCATGACAGCTGCAGCTTCTATGCTGCGTGCGTGAGGAGAAACACAGACGTTCATAGGGAGAGACTGGAAGCGTGCGTGGCACACACCAACATCTCTTACAAATCTGGGTCGCGGTCATTCATAAAAGTATCGATACTAATAAATTTAGGTATCGTGAGGTTTTTAATTTCCGAGTATCGCGATACTTTTGAAGTATCGGTGCACCGTGCAACACTACTTGCAGGATAGGTTTCGCCGAGGTCGTGGTACACTTGACCACATCATCATTGAAAGATTTATAAGGAGGAAAGGCTATTGATTGTGTTGAACATGAAAAGTTATATAAGGTACTTCAGGAACTGTAAGAATCTGACCCAGTTGTTAAGATCGCTTTATATAGATCGTGAAGCAATTGTCAGAACACGGGATGGTAATAGTGTTGCTTTCGTCAACGAAAATTATGACTAAATATTGTCGTCAACGAACCTTAATCACGTGACGAAAACGAGACGAGACGCAACGCAAATGCTGGTCGTGTGACGATGACTATAACGAAATGTATAATGCAATATCGTTGACGAGACTAAATGTGGTTTACAAAAATAAAAACTATTGGTCAACTATTCGTTGACCAAAACGAGACGAGACAAAATATTAAAATGTTAATAATTATTATTTTGCAACCAAAGATGGAAATTTAATTATAAGGTGTTCCAACCTTATAATAAAAATTCAAAAGGAAAGTGAAAAGATGGGACCCCTAAACATCAAAAATAAAAAAATGATGTCAACAACTGAAACCGGAGCAATTAAAATGACCATCAACGGATAAGGTTAAGGGCTTCTTCTTGGAATCTAGATAGATTGACCAAACCGGCAACTAGTGTTGTCAAAAAACTCGGTACTTCGGTACCAAGTCGGTACTAAAAAAAAAAAAAAAAATGTTACGGTACCAGCTTTTCTAGGTACCGAGTACCAGGTTAATCCAGTTCTAGACGCGCTGTCTGAAAGGTGCACAGTTGCGTCCTCTTCATAACGCTGATATGCTCTCTCTCTGAATCCACTTGTTGACACGAAAGGAGGAAATAGCCACATATGGAAATATTTTGGATTAGGCTAATGTCCCGTTGCCATAAGAGGCCGATTACATGCAAATTCGCAATTTCAAATATAGGCGCGAGGCAAGCGCGCTCATAATAAAAACTCGTTGCATAGCAACGACAGACGCCACGTGAGAGCAGTACAGTAGTATTCACCCGACACCAGAGTACCACTGGTATTAGTATCGACGCATCCCTATTTATGTCATTTAATGTCAGTGCCAGTTCTAGGCGTATTCTTGCCTTTACACTCAGCAGGTTTAAAAAGCCTTTTTAAAATTAAATATGAATGCAGTTTTAGATTAAATAAAAGTACAGTCAAGTCAAATAAAACATGTTTTATCTCCTGTATAGTTTGGTAATGCTACAATAAGATACCATTCATCAACACTTAGTTCACATCAACACATTGAGTGAACAATATATTTTTACAACATTAATTAATGTTTGTAAATGTTATTTAATACAAACACTTGGTTGTTCATGTTTGTTCACTTCATTCATTGTGCATTAAATAAATGTTAACGGATTAAAACTTTACAAACAACTTTAAAAATGTGTTAGTGCATACTATTGTTTATTTTAGGTCATTTTATCTAATCTTTTTCTAAAGTATTTATAATGCAAATGTACAGTTTCCATACCGTGATAAACACTTAAATATATGTAAATTTAAACTAAGCTTTGGTACCGAATTTAGTACCGAGAACCGTGAATTTTTACTGGTATTGGTACCGAATACTGAAATTTTGGTACCGTGACAACACTACCGGCAACTGCACATCTGAAATAAAAGCACCGAATTTATTAGGACGTAATATAATGCTGAACATGCACCAAATCTGGAGGAGCAGACATCAACCTCTCAACCAAATGCAGGCTATTCCAAGCAATTGTGTTTTCTATATAAACATACGTATGTGAAAGCTGGACTATGGAAAAAAAAAAAAAAAAACGATCGAAGAAGAATTGATGTCTTTGAGACATGGTGTAGGAGAAGGCACTTAAGGATACCATGGACAATGAGGGTTAGACTGCAGTAAGCGTTCTAAGAATGAAGCATGACTTCCCCCACTGATCACATGTTTCAGAGCAAGCCTTGTGGTCCTGTGTGGTACTGCATGCAATCACAGGATCCTTTTCCCTCTGATGTGCATGCTCAATGGCCACATCTGTCTTTTCCAAATGTTGGTTTATTTCTACTGGTATACAATGTATAGATAAATAACTCTTTATTGTATGTAACTTACACCCAATCGCTGAATATTATAAACTCACCAATGCCATAGAGAGCAATCCTGGTGTTTCCTTTCTGCAGAAGAACTGGACTGACTTCAAGTTTCTCCACTGAATGATTGCGGCCAAAATGATTGACCAGACCAGCGCAGCTCAACAGGTCTATAGCACATAGACCATCAGCCTGGAACACACATTCAAAGCCAAACACAAAAACTTTAAAAAATAAGATTGGAATTATCAATTATGTAATTAACATTTAAATTGCATCTTACTGACAAATTTAACACATAAAAGAAAGAAAAATACGCAATGACTTACTTTCTACAGCTGAGAATCAGAAGTCCTTATACTGTTTTGAGGTCTGCCTATCTTCATTTTTCAGTGGTTGATTAGTTTACATTACATTTTGGTGATCAAAGATGTTAAAAAGATAAAATGATTGACCACAGGCCAGTGGGACTTTAAGATCCACTTTACCACAATGCTACACTGTATAACAAAAAGCCCGTCCTGCAGAAATGTCAGGGCTCCAGACTGCGACCAAATGGTTGCATTTTGCGACCAAAATTTGAGAGTGTGCGACTGAATTTTACATCCAGTCGCACATGTGCGACCAGTATTTGCCACACGTTAAACACATGGTAAAACGTGGAAGGGGCACGTCAATGAATCCGTGACAAGAATAGCGTAAAACAGCATATCATAATGTTTAGTCTATTTATTATTAAAGAATTTGTCTGTATTACAGTTATTTTGGGGGAAATTTGAATAATTGCATAGCAAGCTGATTTAGGGTGTGCCCCTAAATTTTCTGCTTGTGCTCCCAAAATTTTCAGTCAGGGGCAACAGCGCTCCTAGTAAAAAAAAGTTAGTCTGGAGCCCTGCATGTGGAACCCTCTAATGACTGAGCACGGAGGATCATGAGCAATTCACCTTTGGCTAAGCCACGCCCTAGAATGTAGATTGACCAATCACAGCGCAGCCAAGAACGAGCTCCCACAGAGGTCGGACACTTTTTCACAGCGCTTCATTGACTTAACACAGGCGTCTCATATTTTTGGTCTCGGCAGGCTATTACCGTCGTAGTTTTATCCAAAATATGGTTAAAAGCACGTGACTTATGCAGTGTTTCCCACACATTGACTAATTCGCCACCTAATATTGCGTTTCATTTTTTAACACCATTTAAAAGACGCAGGGTATTCTTTCAGTTGTATTTCCTCGCTTTCCCTCCGTCTCACTCTCACTCACGCGTCTCTCTCACATACACACACACAACGTGCACACCTCGTCTGTCTATGAGGCGCAAGACTGGACAAAAGCGAAGCGAACTCTGTGAGCGACACTGGGCGAGAGAGAGAGAGTGTGACTTTATTTAAACTTATAATTTATATTACTGGACAGTTTAAAGCTCATAACCATATTTTGTTGTTACTTGTTATTTACCTCAATAAATTTAAGGTCATTCCTAATTTATTTGCATTTTTTAATACATTTTAATCATTAACTTTAAAAGCACACTCCTTTTACGACTAAAATAACAGTCAAGGGTAATAAAAAAAAAAAATTATAATTCCCAAAAATTATAGCGGAAAAAACGGAATTTGAGAAAAGAAAGTCCAACGGAATTTGGGGAAAAAATAAAACGGATTTCATAGGGCCCTACTTCAGTGAGGCGCGGTGGTTTATGGGATGAGTAGTTCCTTCACTTGGAAATGAAAATATGTACACAGTCTTGTACCTTAGACTTTTTTTCGATTTTCTCTTTGTTTTTTCACTCGGAATGATATGTTGTATGCTTATGAGTTCAGCCATAGCTGGTTATCCTCAGACATGCTCTAAAACTCTTTAGATGGGGATTTTCCAAAACGTCAATGGGAGAAATTAATGGAAAATTTACTTCTGGCACCAAAGCTCTCTTGGGCTGTGGGCGGGACTGTGATGCTGTATAGGAACTGCATTCCCCAACAAAAGTAATTTCAAGTTTTATGTGCAATATGCAACAGATAGTTCGTGGACATGGACTATTGGCTGTCTGTAGGCACGCCTGAGGCTGCCTTACTCGCTATGTGCACACACTACCCATTTAAAACCCAATATGACAATTTCAGTGAACTAATAAATGTATGAATTCTCTTACCCCAGTTGGGTCATCATGGTTACCATGCACACTGAAGACAGGGATGGAAATGTTTAGATTATTGTCCAAGTAGTTCACCCATGGAAACCTGACAACATAACAAAAGGACATTAAGTGTCTGTGTGTATGTGGACATTTCTGCATCTTTGTACAATAGGGGAGTATTTTATACTGAACAAACTGTCATCATTCATCAAACTTTAAATGAAAATTCTGATCATTTATTTGAGGGTTGGTTGCTGTTTGTGCTGCTTAATGTGCTTGAGCCATGGTTTCTCCCACGCATAACTTACAACTTGCTGTTTGGCACTCAAAACATATGGACTCGAGTCGATTGACTTCCATTTCAGTTCATATTGACTTTGTCTGTCAACAGTAATATTTCCCTCCCCAAAGCATACCTAGCCCACATTCATGACCATATCTAAAACAATGACACATACACGTGACATGAGCAATTTTCATTTTGGTTGAACTATGCTTATAATAAGGTGAAAAGAATGAACTTGCATGTCAAGACTTAAGTAAGCAATTTTTCTAAACCAAGATACCAAAAAAAGCTCGAGTCTTACTTGCTGTGGCTGAAATTGACAGCCTGATCACTGATGATTTCAAAGACGATTGGCCGGTCACCCATGCAATACTTCCTCATCATCTCCATGCAGCTATGCATAGTTTTACGAGATGGTTTATTGTCATGGAACAGATCCCCACCCAACAAAACAAAGTCAACCTGACAGAGAAAGAGAGAAGCACTATGAAAAACAGTTGAAGTTGAAGGAGAAAAAGCATAGAGTGCACATTATACAGATACATGCATCTGTGCAGAGAAACATCTATGAATCAGGGTTGTGCATGAATCAGAATTGAGAATCATTTTTTTCTCAGCTAGTATACGCTATATTGCGTGAATATTGGAGGTGGAGATTTAAAGCCTTTTCTCACAGCCTGATAAAATTAAACGCATCAATTTGATTGCGGATCCAGAAAGGTTCAAATGACAATCACCAGAGACAACAGATTCACCCGCTGTAAAATGCAAAAGACTTCATTCGGACTTCGGAGTGGCTACTGAAAAAAAAGAGACTGCAACCGGACCCATGCGAAAACAAGGCAGTGTTTCCCCTACAATGTATTCAGCAGCGGCGCAGCGCCACCGCTGGATTTTCAGCGCCGCTGCAAAATCTTTTCATGATCAGCAATATCATGACATTCAATTCATTCACTTATGGGCTATATGCACGCATAAGTTCCGCATTTGACGTAAGGATGCTCGTCCATTTCCGGTTGTGTAGCTTAAAGCGGAGGAAAACCGGAGAAAACGGGATTATGGCAGAGTCTTGAATATTTACTGTCCTCCCGTCTTTGAAACGAAACGTACATACGTTTAGATGTAATTTTATATATAGTTATGTTTATTTAATATAATTTTAAAAAGAAGCATAAACACAACGAGGGGTGTCTGTTTTATCTGTTTTTGTGACTAACGTTTCATTAGTATAACCATGGAGTATAAAATTCAATATAAATTCTCGGTATTGCATTGGACTCTATGATCGGCGGAAGTTATCGAGCATCCTTAATCCTTCACCGGAAATAACGCCGTGCATAGAGCCCATACACCTAAAAACACAGACATGGCGACCGGCAGCGCTGCTAATGTGGCTCTGAATCCACTTGTTGACAAGAACGGAGGAAAGAGCCATATATGGAAATATTTTCGATTAGGCTAATGTCACGTTGCCATAAGGGGCCGTTCGTTAATTTAAATAAGGCATACGCGCTCCACTCAGAATAGAAGTGACGCGGCGGCGGCGGGCTCGTTTATCCAATCGCGCCTCTGTTCAAGGTTGCATAGCAACGAGAGACTCCACGGGACAGCGAGCACTTGTGGAAAGGAGAAAGCGGTACGAACTGTTTCCATGAGCCGGACGAGGAAGTATCACCTACTGCTCAGAGTCCTAATCTCTCTTCCGGCTTAATAATACCAGTCACAGCGCGAAATAAACATGAATGAGCATCTGAAAGTTGTTAAAAGATAGAGTACAACTTATCGAAATCCGTATCATGTGTCACATTGATTCGCTCAATCAGCGTTTCAACCGTGGAAAGACGTCAGTTAAACAGCTTGTAATCAATGTCATGTATCGTCATATTTACGTCAGAAAACCCACATCAACTCGTTAGTCAGCTAGAAAAATAACTCCAGAGAGAAGCATTTTGCTAAATATATACACCATATTACATATGCATTATAATCTTAATGTTCTTCAATATTTAATGCATATTTGAATAAATCTGGCAAGTTTTTATGACAGTCACCATTTAAATGTTTATATAATCTTCTTATTATAAAAAAAAAAATAAAAGTGTAATTTAAGTGTTTGTATAGCTACAAAACAGTTCATTATTACCTTCATATTAGGCTAATGAAGCCTAGCAGGCTACTACAACTAGACTCCCATAGTTTACAGCATTAGTTAAGAGATTTGATTTCCTTGAGAAAATTAGCCATTTATTGTAACTTATATCCAAAATAATCAATACTGAATCGAAATCGAATTGCAAGCTTATGAATCGAAATCTAATCGAATTGTGAAATTTGTGTCAATACCCAGCCCTACATTCTAAATATGATGATATCTGCTCTTTTTTAAAGATTCTTTTATTATTAAAAAATAACATCATGTAATAGTATTTAATAGTAATAGTATATTAGGTATGTAATAATTTTTTTATAGTATAACGACCTCTTAACTGTCAAAATATCATTAAAGCTACATTATGTATTTTTCTCCGCCGCTAGGGGTCGCTATTAACCTCTTACAATAACAAAGGCGTAGGTTTATGGCGCAGTGAATAAGCGTAATGATGGAACTTGTCATGCAGATGGATCTAATGTGTATGGAAAATGTATTTCTACATTTTTCAAACTCATGGTTGAAGGGGTTATTTAAAAAAAATTCTCACGGAGGTGCAATTCCCCAAACCGCACACCGCCCCGCCCACAAAAGTGAGAGTCGACTCTGAGTCTATGAAATGAATTGTTTTTCAAATGAGTCAATACCTGTTTCTTAGTGACGTAGATACGAAACATGAGCGATATTGGCCGCGCCCAGTTACTGCGCGCGCAGATGGAAGTGTAAACTTCAAGTCTAGAACACATTCAAATACTTCAGCTGAATAGCATCATGTCGAGAATACGCTCTGTTCTACAATGCAAAGAGAGTTCAGCCACTTGAGCATGTGAAGAATCAGTGGTTAGAGTTCATATTTGCAACGATACCACAACAGTATAGCCCGATTGTGTCATCATTTTAATGACAAATCATTCAAAAACATAAATGAATTCAAATGTGGATTAGCAAGCTGGTTGTTCCTGAAGGAGGCCTCAGTACCCAGTGTATATGGATCAGCTTCCTCCTCCGAATCACAACCTCTAAGTATTATTAATAATTGTTGCTTTTATGGGTTTTGTAGCGTCAGGGCATTATGAGGGAAGGCGCAATAAGTATGTGTGTATGTGTAAGTTACGCTCAGCACAGCTTCTAGGTCTCCAATGTCATTTTTTTTTAAATATGTGAAATGTTTGTCGCCGTCATAAAGAATAGAGTGTCTTGTTGTACTGCAGTGCTTTATCAATATGTTTATGCGTTATGCTAACAAACAATAACTGACTGGGTCATCAGCCGATTAGCGTCACGCAAAGGAGTGGTTTGGAAAAATGAGTCGTTGTACAAATCATTTGGGAGTCGGTGAGCAAATCAGGAAAAAATAAATGCATATTATAAGACAACAAAAGTGTTTTTTGTCATTGCATTCATGTAAAACTGTTGTTGGGGACTCCCAGAAAAATATTAGGAACATTTTAAATGCCATAATAGGTGCTCTTTAATCAGCGAGATTTACAGCAAAGTCAGAACCAGAACAAAAGTGGATGTTTCTTACTAGTTCAGATGAAATTTTCCGGTGAAAATTATTACGTTGGTCATACTTCCAAAAAGAATAATCTGTGATTCTGAACGCCAGTATACACACTGGCACGGTGACTGACAGCCTCACTGTCTCCTCAAACATTGTGGTCATCCGCACTGTGCCGTGTCAAAGTACAACTCACGTTAAGTTGATAATTGGCTTTATGCACAGCTGCACTACTTCCTGAACTTAAGCAAGCTCCTTCTGCCATTATTGGACAAATTGATTAATCCAAGTGTGCCTGACCTCAGTAGTCACAGGAACAATAATCAGACACACCTGAATTAATCAAGTTCGGCCAATAATAATGGCAGACAAGAAACAAGGAGCTGGCTTAAGTTCAGGAAGTAATGCAGCTGTGCATAAAGCCAATTCTGCGAACAACTGGTGTTTTTATATGCTTTAAAACAAACCACATGTAAATGTATACGTCAACACCATTGATAAATATTTTCTTCAAAGACAAGTCTCAAAAACATGGTTTGAAATCGCTGGTATTACTGACGTCACAAACTACCTTGTCAGATCAACGTGCGGGCAATCTTTAGCATGTCATTAAATACCGCTCTGAAGCAGTGGAGTCATGACAAGCCAGGTTTCCTGGTATATTTTTCTGTTGGCTATGTTACTAGGTCCACGTCCTGAGATCAATGCTGGGACATGTTTGTGTTCACTTCACACAGAAGGCAATATAGCACTTCTATGGCAATTTTCTGGTATCAACGCACTGTGTGAAAGGGGCTTTAGATTTTGAATATTGGTGATGGGTGATTTTTGTAAGTTTGTGAAATAATTGTATTATTATATTTATATTATTATAATATGCAATTAAAATAAAATCACCTCAAAGTCTCAAACAATATATGTACCCATTATGTAATTCCCACCTCATTTTGCACAGCTTGTTTCATGATCTCATCAAAGGTCACAAACGTGTCATTTCCTCTAATGGCATCTTTCTCCAGATAACCTAGGTGAATGTCAGTGGCAATGAGGATCTTGAATGTGTCCTCATCATCACTAAAATAACAAACGCAAAAAAAAATAAAAACACATTACAACATTCAAAAGGAACATTGAAAACTAATAAAAGGGTCTTATAAATGAATTGTAGTGTCATGACAGCTACAATAAACATTACAGGTTAAGAGCTGTAGGAATAAAAACTTAATCAGCAATTATCAGACCTACAGTTATTGTGGTTCCAGACATTTTCATTGACTTTAAGACATCATGTGAACAAAGCTAGCTGAATTTAAATGTCACAATCACTTGTCAATCAACCAGCTGATCCCTGTTATTCCTAGGTATAACTAAACACAAAAATGTATTAAAAAATTAATTTCTACCAAATAAATGCACTTACATGGTGTTTCCAGCTGATGTCATACTGAGAGAACTGCACTGACACACTGAAAATGATGAAGTAGGGAAACAAAAGACAGATATATGTTGATGATGTGGATCTACAGGTTTAGTTATTATACCGATATGATTATGCAGAAAACATCTACAAACTGAGTATGCCATGCATGCCACAGTCGGCTCCTAAACATGCGTGTTTCTCACACAGAATTGACAGACAGAGCAGATTTGATTATAAAAACTTAACTACACAAAGCTGCTGCTAAATGTTTTAGATGTGATTTGTTCATTAAAAAATTTAACCCCTATTTCACATCCATACATTTCCGTACACCATAAAAACGTAACGTTACAGTGAGACTCATCTTCTCCTTGTGCGCATAGAGGACAGGCTTCTAAGCTCCCATCATTAATTTAAAAGATAGATTTTGGTTGATTCATACCATTTCCAGTTGTGCAAGTATATACAGCTAACAGAGTTAACAATACTAACGCCGGTGGAGGAAAGAGACCACACAAAAGTTGAGCGGACACGATGTGCGGCATTTTTTACTGCTCCTCTGCTGTAACGTTCAGTGGTCGGTAGTCATAAAGTGGGGGAGTTCAAATGGCCACGAAACTTTGTACAACACACGACAAACATATGTACTTTATGTCTACCTACCTCTGAGAAGTGTCCAAAGTTGGTGAAAATAATTTCTTGTCAGTTTTACGTCTGGTTTAAAATCGCCTTTCAGGAGGAAAATGCAGCCTGACTGGGAAAATTGAAGACAAATGTGCACCTGAAAACCATAATGACGTGATTGGCTAAAAATAATCAAATATTGCAACAGCGAGCCAATAAAAAACAGTGAATTATTCAGAGATGAGGGAAAATCCATAAAATCCGGCACAGAGATTTGCGACAAAATGGCAGCCTCTATTTATTGGAATATCCACATACCTAATCAAAGCAAAAGAAAAATAACTTTACCTCAAAAGAAGTCAACTGCTCCTCAGAAGACAATCGTTCACATGCAGGCAAGCAATCTTCTCCTCCCACCGCGGAACTAGAAGAAGTCACTCGCGGGAAGGTTTTTCCCTTGGAGTCCTGGGAAATGTAGTTTAAACATTCAAGCGAATTGGCCGCACAAAAAAACATATATATTTCCCAGCGTCCAAACAAGCTGCGTATTACATTGATTTAACATTAAAATCACACGCGCCAAACGATTTGGATGTGAATGGACATGATTGTCATTACAGTTAATAATATATTTCAGAATGCACAGAAACAGTTTGGTATATAATTTGATTCTAAAATATTTAAGAGATACAGAGTTTATTAGAAGGATTTCAGTGTTTTTTTTTTTTTCTTTTTCATTTTATTAGTTTATTTGTCAGGGACAATGCAGCGCACATTATTACATACATACATACTCGTAATAGACAAAGCCATAACAAAAATGTTTAAATGTGTTGCATAAAAGGTTTCTAGCCAGTAGGCTAATTTGCGACTTTTTTGCAATTTTATTTTATGTATTTATTTATTTATTTATTTATTCCTTCTTTTATCGAGGCTTCACACTCCCTCCCAGTAGGTGGCGGAAATGCACCTTAAACTGGTTTACCAACCGCCATAAAGAAGAAGAAGTGGAGGAAGAAGAAGAAGAAGCAGAAGAGTAAAAGCTGACATTCTCTGGTAATAGCAAAGATATTAGAATAACACAGTCATTTTTGTAATGGCATGGTTTGCTCAACATGAACACAGCTGGTCAGCGATGAGTTTTTGGAAAATGCCTGTCATTCAATGAAAAGCAAGTGTTTACTAGTTTAAATAAGAGTAACATCTAGATCTGTCTGTCAGTCAGCCACTAAATAAGAAGGTAACTTACTGTGGTGGCACTATGAAACAATTATGGTATTGAATGTTAAATTATAGGAAACCAATGTACGTCAATGTAGTCCTTATTCGAATTAATTATTTTTCTAGCAATATCATAAACATGAATTTGACATCTAAAGTTAAACGATTTAAACAATGTTTATAAGCACCAAATGTTTGTCTGTAATTATTGATAAACTTGGGAACCCTAACTTTACTAAGTTAATGATAACCGTTTTGTTTGTTTGATCATTTTTTTCTCAATCAGGCTGTTTAGTTCTCTCTCTGCCATGCTTTAAAAGGGTCCAATTCCAAATGACGGAACTACTTTTTGGGTGTCCCATCTTATATCTCACTTCTCTCTCGCTCAGTGATGGAGATTCCAGAAGGTTTTAACCAGCTTGACCTGCTGGAGTCTCATGGCCACATGATTCCAGTGGGGACAAAGAGCGGCTGGGAGGACGAGGAGGAAGGAGATGATGATGAGGATGAAACCTGCCACACAGAGGAATGGTATCAGCAACAGGAGCTTAAATTGCAAGACACTCCAACTGAACTGATATTATGGGCTGCTGAGAAGAATAGAGTAAGTGATCTTTATCTCGAGCAGTGGTTTTCAAACCTGAATCTCTTATTTAAAGGGATCATGAAATTGAGAATCAATCAGAGATCATATGGAGAATCAGAAATCGGGAGAATTGTGATGTCACTTCACATCCGTGCTGCATACGGGTGTAGTCGCTTAAGTTCAGAATGAAAGTTGGAAAAAAGGTTTAATTATAGTGTGCTTGTACAAACAGGGAATTTACCTTGGTTTTGAATCTTGCAAGGATTTCACAACAAATATTTATTCCTCAAAGGCTTTAGAACACCTGCAAAAACAATTGGGTGAAAGTATAAAGAAACAAAACAAATATTTACATTTCTGTGACTGCAGTCACAATACTTTTTTGTGAAAAACACGGAAATAAGAATATAAAGGGAACCAAATGTTCATTAAAATGGAATATTCTCTATAGTCTCAATTTACAAAATATCCAAAAACCACCCCTAGATGGCACTGTGCAATGCATTTGAAAGACTTGAAATATTGATGTTTCAATATTTGATGTTTGATTGTAAAAAATGTGTTTTTTTTTTCTCTTCCAATAGTATCTTACTGCTGGGAGCTTTAGAACTCCCATGTACAAAATCAATCCAATGAATTTGAACATCTCTGCAGGGTTGATGGTGGTCCACTTGTACCTTTTCCCAGTAGCAATGTTTCTCTCTGCCAGCTTGTTTGCTTTGGCACACAATGTCCTGATTGAATCAGCTCTAAAAAAGTGTTTGAAAAGGCCAAGGGGGCTTTGCTCTGTGGAGGTGTCCAATTGCACTCCAGGTTCCAGTCGGGGCAAAACCTGTGTGGAATGGGGGCCACATCAGGATCATTTTTGGTCTTCCATCCTTGTTCCAGCTGGTCTGGTGGTGCTGGACACCTGACAGGTGAAAGTGACTGCCTCCTTCCCCTTCCCCTATGATGCGACCTCAAGGCAGGGCTCGCAGGTGTACTCGGCTGCTCTGCGGTTTCCTGATTTAGACTAAAACACACAGATTTTGTCATTAGTTTACTGTAGATTCCCACATATCAAAAGCTGTACAGCCTTTCCAATAATGAAATAAAGATTAGCTATTCATCATCATGTGTGCATATTTTACGTTCAAGTCATAGGACTTCTAACTGCAAAATTATTACTGGAGCCTTTATCATAGTAACATTATATATGCACAAATAGAATGTCTAAAAAAACCCTCCCATACAGACAAATAGTACAGGCCTTAGATAAGGCTTACTGCGCCATTATTCCTGAAAAACTACAATAACATTTTCCTAATATAAAAAACATTACAATAAAATAGACAAGCAAAGTAAACGAAATAGCTTATGAAGATGGATTACATGCGGCCAAAACACGCACATTGTTTGATTGCGCACATAGCATGGCGCTCATTGTTTGATTGTTTGATAATAGCTCCGTTATGGATAGATTCCGTCCAATATTTGATAACTCTTCCTCCTGAATTTAGTAATTTAAGCACATTCCTCACATTCTTTCAACTAAAATTCAAAATAATTTCTTGCCTAATTCAGCTCAAAATATCTTACATTGTCTTTGTCGACCTCTTGTGGGGAAAAAATAATATAGCATGCTATTTCATGACTATCCACTAGATGACCTTATAGCACTATTTATAGCACTATATTAGTGGTTCTCAACCTTCTCCTGCAGGGACATGTTTTTGTTTTAAAGGGTTAGTTCACCCAAAAATGAAAATTAAGTCATTAATTACTCACCCCCATGCTGTACCAACCCCGTAAGACCTTCGTTCGTCTTCGGAACACAAATGAAGATATTTTTGATTAAATTTGAGAGCTGTATAACTACCACATTGGCTCCTAAGGGACTGCCTCTTGAAGGCCCAAAAAGTCAATGAAGAAAATGTTTAAATATCCCAAGTGACTACCGTGGCTGAACTATATGTTTATCAAGCGACGCGAATACTTTTTGTGCGAAAAAACAAACAAAAATAACGAGTTTATTCGACTATTTCTTTTCTTCCTTGTAGGCCAGAACGAGACTTCCTTATAGATTTCCACGACGCATGCGCGAGAATTGCGATCTGAAGTAGTGTAAGCTGGTGTAAGCAGATCGCAAATCTCGCGCATGCGTCGTGGAAATCTAAGGAATTCTCGTTCTGGCCTACAAGGAAGAAAAGAAATAGTCGAATAAACTCGTTATTTTTGTTTGTTTTTTCGCACAAAAAGTATTCGCGTCGCTTGATAAACATATAGTTGAGCCACGGTAGTCACTTGGGATATTTAAACATTTTCTTCATTGACTTTCTGGGCCGTCAAGAGGCAGTCCCTTAGGAGCCAATGTGGTAGTTATACAGCTCTCAAATTTAATCAAAAATATCTTCATTTGTGTTCCGAAGACGAACGAAGGTCTTACGGGGTTGGTACAGCATGGGGGTGAGTAATTAATGACTTAATTTTCATTTTTGGGTGAACTAACCCTTTAACCCTGAAATGGCACACCTGGGGCTTGAACTATGATGGTTGTTGAACAAACTCAGGGTTGCAGGATTAGTTTCGAGTTGATGAAACCAAACCAATCCAATCAGGCTTTGTTGGTACCATGATGCTGATCATCAACTTTCTCTGTCAACTCAGGCTTTGATCCTGAGTTTAAGAAATTAGCTGTGACATCAGTAGCTAACAGCCAATCATATGCTGAGAAAGAGTGAAACTCATTCAAAACTCATTGAAAGTAATTTCTCGCGAGAGAAGTAGCGCAATTCACTTATTAAATAAAAGTATTAAAATATGAAGATTTTAAACAAATTTACACAGCAAGAAGAAAACAGCTGTTTGTGAAAGAGGACAACTGAAAGAAAGTCTCGCTACTGTAAATCAGTGCAAGTAAAAGTTGTGAAGTTAGTTTATACAGTTGATAAAGTTATAGAGAGAAATGAACATTTAAGCTCACATGTAGTCATTTTATAGCTTCATTTATTGATTCTAAAGTGTATTTACATTACCTTTATATACGTATTCATTTAAAATCTGCGTAATAATAATTGATGAACTGAAATTGCACATGTGAGATCGTTTTAGGGTATAATAATTACAGAAATAATTTCTAAATCACTCAAATTTATTTACTAAAAGCCAAGATTTTATCTTTTAAAATCATTTGCTGTGGAGTGACTTTATCACGTCAGACATGTGTCACTTTGCTCTCAGCTGATTGGTCCAAGTTCGGTTTGTAACCTCTTACCTGGAACATAACCTGCCCCGGACCAGGTTAGCCGTGGAGTCTAAGTTACTATAGCAATGAACACTGCTAAAAGACAAACCCCTTTCATGGTTCCTAAAACCCGGGGTTGGCACAAACTAAACTGAAACATAGCTGGCTAGCCACCTAAACCGGCTTCATGGTATAGGCCCCTGATTTCAGGGTTAAAACAAAAATATGGCCTGTCAGGGGGTCCCCGCAGGAGAGGTTGAGAACCACTGAGCTATATGAAATGTATCTGAAGCCATACATGGATTTCTCTGCAACGTCATCACTGCATGCACACTCAACCGGGAGTCAGAAGAAAGACATGTTTTGTGTAGTAGGCTATGACATAACTTATATAAAAGCAAATCCGG